TAGATCAAGACCTCTAATTTTCGAAGTCTACAAATTATCAAGCGAGGACTACAAGACCAGAAGTTCAAGCCAATACATCTGTGTTCCAGAAGTCTCTAGATCAACTTCCGATCTTGAAAATAACCAGTAAATTGAAGAAGAAAGAAGCAAAGTGATAACATTCATAGTTTTAATGTTTATAAGCTTAGTGTATCCTGATTATTCGGAAAATCGTTTCGATAATTAGGTTTTGATTCCGGGAGTTTTCTTTATACTCGCCGGCTTTGTGTCCGGAGGGGTTTTTACCCTTGTCGGCTTTGTGCCCGGAAAGATTATGATCTTTGCCGGCTTGGTATAAGTTTATCGCTGTGCCTTTGTTTAGGTCTTTAGCCGTATCCTGTGTGGATCTGTAATGTTTGTCTTTTATGACATATCAATAAAATTTCTTATGGGAAAAAAAAAAAGGTTTTCTTATTCATCTTGTGTTATAACAGAACATCTGATTATATTTCAAACGCTCCACAAATTATCTTAACCAAATCGTCTAGTTAAGTTTGTAACTTTGTATGATATCATGCAGCCAGTTCTTCAATATGGTCATTAATCTCAAGCTTCTTGATGACCAATTTGTTTTGTTGCTGATCAACATCGAGAAGAATAGTGTCATCCTCTGTAAACTCTCCTGCCAAAAGTTTTGAGGAGATCTCTTTCTTCACTATCTCCTGAATCACTCTCTTCACAGGCCTTGCCCCATTGTTTGGATCAAACCCAAGCTGAGCAAGTAGATCCACCGCTTCTTTTGTGTACTCAAGATTTATTTTCTTTTGCTCCAACAGATTCTTCACTCTTCTCATCTGCACCAAATAGTAACAATACATTACATTTATACCACACACTAACCAAATAACCTAGGCTTATAAACTTATAAGAGAGGTGGATATCATTACCTGAAACTCGACGATTTTGGATAGTTCGTCTAAATCCAAGGGTTGGAAAACAATGTATTCGTCAATCCTGTTGATGAACTCTGGCTTAAAAGTTTGTCTTGCTAACTCCACAGCTTGTTGCTTCATCATCTCATACACTGCTTCTTTGCTATCTTTATTGTTGCGGAAAGTCTCGAGTATGGAGTGTGATCCGATGTTAGATGTCATTATTACAAAACAGTTTCTGAAATTTACTGTCCTTCCTTGAGAATCAGTTACTCTTCCATCATCAAGTATCTGTAGAAAGATATTGAAGACATCAGGGTGAGCTTTCTCAATCTCATCAAACAGAACCACCGAGTAAGGTCTCCTCCTAATAGCTTCAGTTAACTGTCCACCTTCTTCAAAACCAGCACAACCAGGAGGTGCACCAATGAGCCGTGAGACCGAGTTTTTCTCCATGTACTCACTCATATCTATCCTCACTATCGCGTTCTCTGTGTTGAAAAGGTATCCAGCAAGCGCGTTGGCGAGTTCTGTTTTCCCAACACCTGTTGGACCCATGAACATAAAACTTGCTATAGGACGGTTAGGATCTGATAGACCAGCCTTTGAGCAACGGATAGCATTTGCTACTGATTCTACAGCTTTGTCTTGTCCAACTACTCTCTTGTGAAGAACATCTTCCAACATGACTAGCTTTTCTTTCTCTGACTGCTGAAGGTTTGATAGTGGTATACCTGTCCACTCGCTTATAGTCTCTGCTATGTGAAGATCAGTTACCTCTTCCTGTTCATAGTCTCCGGGGTTAGTGAGATTCTTCTCAGCTTCTTCTAACTCGCGTTGGAGGGACTTAAGTGTTCCATACTTCACCTCAGCAGTACGGTTTAAACCACATTCACGTTCTGCGGATTTATCAATCTGTAAAACATAGAATATGAGACATTAAGGTTGATGAAGTGTTGTAGCCATAACATATGTTCTTATATTTTAAAGAATGAAAATTAGTAGTGTGGAAATTTTTACCTCTTCTTTGAGTGAACGTAGTTTAGTAATGAGAGACTTTTCTTCTTCCCTTTGCTTACTTAGTTCTTTCTGTTTATCTTTGAGCTTGGTCAAATCATTATCCATCTTCTCTAGAAGTTCTTTAGAAGCATCCTTTTTCAAAGAATACTTCTCAATCTCCAATTTGATCACAGCTTTGTTTATTTCATCGAGTTCAGTCGGTTTTGCAATGGTTGAAACCCTCAACTTTGAGGCAGCTTCATCCACAAGATCAATAGCTGAAAGAAACGAAGAAATTTTCATCTTTAAACACAAGAAAAACATGTCAAGAATCACAATAAGGTGCAAGTTTTGTACCTTTGTCTGGTAGAAACCGTTCGGTTACATATCGATCTGCCAAAGTTGCTGCTGAAACAAGAGAACCATCTGATATCCTAACACCATGGTGTAACTCATACCGCTTTCTTAACCCACGAAGAATCGATATAGTATCTTCAACAGATGGCTGATTACAGAACACTTTCTGAAACCTACGTACCAATGCAGGATCTTTCTCCATGTATTTGCGGTATTCGGTTAGCGTAGTTGCGCCAATGCATCTCAGTTCACCTCTTCCAAGCATTGGTTTCAAGAGGTTGCTCGCATCCATTGTATCACCTTCACAAGCTCCTACACAATGTTTATAATAACATCAGTCAATATCGTTCGATACATTTACATAACCCGATTAATATCATCGTTTACTAATGAAAGAAAGGTCACCTGCACCAACAAGAGTGTGGATTTCATCAATGAACAATATTGTCTTGCCATTGGAATCAGCTATTTCCTTTAGTATTGCTTTCAACCTTTCCTCAAACTCTCCTCGATATTGTGTTCCAGCAAGTAGTGCACCCATGTCAAGAGATATAATCTACATTACAAAATGTAACACTTTTACAATCTTTCTCTCACACTTTTGATCAGAGTAAAATGTTAGAAAATAAAAGTTACCTTGTGATCCAAGAGTAGTTGAGGGACATCTCCTTTTACAATTCGTTGGGCTAATCTGAAAAGGTTAATACATCTCAGTACAACAGTAAGTTAATGAGAGATATAAACACAAGCCTTAAGCCTTACCCTTCTGCAATAGCGGTTTTGCCTACACCGGGTTCACCAATGATAACAGGGTTGCTTTTAGTCATCCTGCATAGTATTTGGATACAATGGTTGATTTCATCCTCACGTCCAATGAGAGGAGGGAGCTTTCCTTTTCTAGCCATCTCTGTTATATCAGTTCCATACGTTTCAAGTGCTTCCTTCTTACCATCACTCTACATATACACAAAAACCAAAAACCTAGTTAATGACCTGTCTTAATAACATATAATGAACTAAAACGGACCACGAACCTGGTCTGATATATCGGAGAAGCGGCGCAGAGAAGGGAACTGGAGAGAAAGAGGAAACAGTCGGCCACGAGTAGGAGCTCGAGTGGCCGAAGTTGTACCGTCTCTAGAAACTCCGATGAAGGGATTTGGCCGGGAGAAAAAGGAGTTGGGAGAGGAATGGGAGCTGAAGTTAGCACAGGCAGAGATGGCGCGACAACGAGGGAGGAGAGAAGGTCTTGAAAAGGCATTGTGTGCCTTGATGGCTGCAGAAACTGACTTTGACAATCTTCTGGACGCCATGGAAAGATGAAGTGACGACCAAGGGAGGAGCTTGGTTTAGTGTTTTAAAAGAGGATGTTTTAGGATGCGTGGAGAAGAAGCAAGTGGATGTTTGGTGAAGAAGCAAACGAGTATGTAATAAATGTTTGCACACATGTTAAAAAGGAAACGTTTGTATAGCAGAAATAGAAAGTTTTAAACATGAATTAGGAGATTATAGGGAAAAATGTCAAAAGATTTCTAAACTTTCAAATTTGAGACGATTTTATCCAGATTTTCAAGAAGTCATTTTTAAGTCACAAAATTTATGTTTATTATTTCTGTAAAATAGTTAAATTTTGTTGATTTTGTCGATTTAAGCCTGACGTTTAAACTCTATCAAAATCGTAAAAACGGGGTAAACTATATGTGAGCTGTTTCTGTTTGTCCTAAACGACCATGTATTTTAAAACACAAAACAACGTCTTACAAGAAATCGAAGAAACTCAATTCCAAATCCTAACCCTAAAAAAATCCACAAATTCTCTCTTGTCGAATTATTGCCATAGCGCGAATCCGTGGAGGAAGAAAGCCACTTCCAATGTCGTTGTGTCGTTTAAAAAGCGTGGTTGTTTAAGCTAAACGAAACCAACACACAAATAGTTAACCCCGTCTTCGAGATTTTACCGTAAATTAAACGTCGTGGTTAAATCAGAAAGGTCAGCAGAACTTAGGTATTTTACAAAAAAAAAAGTCAACAAAAACATTGTAATTAAAATTAATTCTTGAAAGTTCGAGATTAAGTCGTCCCAAATTTAAAAATTTGTGATTTTTATGACATTTTCCCCTTATTATCATAAACCTTTTAAAAAACAATTTTTTTTTTCAAAATATTCCGATTGTGAAAGTTTTTCAGAGAAAAGAGTATAATCTATGTTGAATGTAATAGAACCGGAGCGAGAGAATTGTTGATGACAGTTTTCCATAATTTGCGATAAATAATAAATTAGAGTTAAAAAAAAAAAAAATTCTAATTGATCGTAACACCAAAGAAAATAATAATAATAAATTTGAAAGTCTGTGATTTTTCCTACATTTTTCCCATTTGAAAATAATGCAAACCAACAAAACCTGCGTCATCATATTTAGCTTCTCCTAATTGGTCTCACCTGCATTATCTTGCCAGTATTGTCATCAACCTGTTGACTTTTTTGCGTGACTTTTAAACTTGTTACGAACCTATCAAGAGTATGGATTAAACCATTCAAGATTCATACTTTTGATTCACATAAGCAGATTCTCTTAGTTTGATCCCCAAGATACACATCTCGCTCTTCATGACTCCAAGTTATATCAAAATAGACGCTAACAGAGTTTATTTAATCTTGTTTGTATAGATCAAAGCTATTATAACTTAGAAAGTAATCATGTGATCTTCTTCCATATGAGCAGTACTCTCGAGCTTTTGGACAACAAGTTTGTTATATGTTTTGTCAACATCAAGAAGAACAATGTCTTCCTCTGCAAAATCTCCTTTCAAAACTTTCAAGGTGATATCTTTCTTCACAATCTGCTCGATGATTCGCTTCACCGGTCTTGCCCCATTCTTGGGATCAAACCCAAGCTGAGCAATGAGAACCACTGCTTCCTTTGTGTACTCAAGTTTTATTTTATTCTGTTCCAACCTCTTCTTCAAACGTCTCAACTACACAACCAAAACAACAGTTACAATGGTTTGAACCAAAAAAAAAGAGATTCTGAAAACTTAAAAGTTTTTTTAATCTTTACCTGAAACTCGACGATTTTGGATATTTCACTTAAATCCAAAGGTTGAAAAACAATGAACTCATCAATTCTGTTCATAAACTCTGGCCTGAAAGATTTTCTTGCTAACTCCACAACTTGTTGTTTCATCATCTCATAAACTGCTTCTTTGCTATCTTTAATGTTGCCAAGAGTCTCAAGAATCAAGTCAGAACCTATATTAGAAGTCATTATTACGAAACAGTTTCTGAAATTTACTGTCCTCCCTTGAGAATCAGTTACTCTTCCATCATCTAGTAGTTGTAGCAAGACATTGAAGACATCAGGGTGAGCTTTCTCAATCTCATCAAACAGAACAACTGAGTAAGGGTCTCTTGCGAACAGCTTCAGTTAACTGCCCTCCTTCATCGTAACCGAGATAGCCAGGTGGTGCACCAATGAGCCGTGTGACTGAGTATTTTTTCCATGTACTCACTCATATCGATCCTCACTATCGCGTTTTCGTTGTTGAAAAGGTATCCAGCTAGAGCCTTGGCAAGCTCGGTTTTACCAACACCTGTTGGACCCATGAACATAAAACTGGCTATAGGCCGGTTAGGATCTGAAAGACCAGCCATTGAACAACGGATAGCGTCTGAAACTGATTCTACAGCCATGTCTTGACCAGCTATTCTCTCATGGAGCACTTGATCCAACATGACCAGCTTTTCCTTCTCTGATTTCTCAAGATTTGATTGTGGTATACCAGTCTTCTTGCTTACTATCTCCGCTATGTCACGATATGTTACCTCTTCTCGGATAAGCGACTGTCTAGACTCCCGGAAATTACTGAGGTTCCTCTCAGCTTCTTCTAACTCGCGTTGGAGAGAGGTAAGTGTTTGGCCTTCAGCTGTTTTCTTGCTCCCATTGCTCATTGAGGTCATCTGTTTATTCCTGAGCTTGGTCAAGTTATTCTCAATCTTCTGTTTTTGTATTTCAGAAGCTTTATCAGTATCATTTTCCATAGAAGCCTTCTGCATCTCTAGTTTGATCACAGCTCTGTCTATTTCATCAACTTTAGTTGGTTTTGAAACGGTCTCCATCTTCAGCTTTGCAGCAGCTTCGTCAACAAGATCAATAGCTGAAACAAAGAATCATTATTTTCTCTGAAAACACAAATATTTTTCCAAGAAAATTTTGTAGGTAAACACTCGTATACCTTTTTCTGGCAGAAAGCGTTCAGTGATGTAGCGGTCTGCAAGAACAGCTGCTGAAACAAGAGAACCATCTGATATCTTTACATCATGGTGTAACTCATACCTCTTTCTTAGCCCTCGAAGAATCGAGATGGTATCTTCGACTGATGGCTGATCACAGACCACTTGATGAAACCTACGTTCAAGAGCAGGGTCTTTCTCTATGTATTGGGTGTATTCGGTTAGCGTAGTTGCACCAATGCATCTCAGTTCACCTCGTCCAAGCGATGGTTTCAAGAGGTTTGCAGCATCCATTGGATCATTATTACTACTTCCTACACAAGTGTATACCAGCCAATTCTTCAATTAGTCTCCCTTTTGGATCTAACAAAAGCTAATGAACATCGTTTACTAATGAAAGAAAGGTCACCTGCACCAACAAGAGTGTGGATTTCATCAATGAACAAGACTGCATACCCATTTGAAGCAGTTACATCCTTTAGTACTTCTTTTATCCTTTCCTCTAAATTTCCTACATATGTGGCACCAGCAAGCAACAAACCCATGTCTAGAGATATCACCTACAATATAAAGCAACCAATCCAATCTTATTGAAATGATCCAAGAGATGTAGAAGTAAAACAGTTAACAAAAGAACTGAAGTGATAGTAACCTTTCGATTTAGGAGAGCTTCAGGGACATCCCCTTTTACAATTCGCTGCGCCAACCTACAAAGGTTAAGATATCTTCAATAAATTTTGTCTTAAGAAAGAGTAAGATCATAAAAGATCATATTTTGGCTTACCCTTCCACGATAGCGGTTTTCCCTACACCAGGTTCACCGACGATAATAGGATTGTTTTTCGTCTTCCTGCATAATATATGGATGCAATGCAACGACGAATTTCATCATCCCGTCCAATGACAGGATCAAGTTTTCCTTGTCTAGCCATATCAGTTAAATCATTTCCATACTTTTCAAAAGCTCTATATCTTACTTTAGGAGCTTTACCTGATATATATATATATATAAGAAATGCATATATAGGTCACTAAAACACAACATTCATGTTGAAATTTTAAAGCTCAAGAGCAACACAAGCCTTTAGGATAGAGGTATCGTTGATTCCAGCCTTAGCAAATATTTTCACAGCAAAGCCATCTTTTTTATCCAAAAGAGCTTTCATCAAGTGTTCTGATTGAACAGTTTGTTCTTTCGAAACACGAGCTACCTTCGAGAAGTCCTTTACAAACCATCTCCGTATACCCAATTGTATTAGCCTACGTTAAGAAAAGATTGTAAAACTCAGCGACCTAAGAGGATCATGTACGTACGGGCCTATACCTAAAACTTGTAATGTATTCATAGAAAAGAAACTGAAGATAGTCACAGAAACATGTATCGGACTACAAACCATAGCTGAGAAGTGGCGCTAGGCTTAAAAGTTAATGTTCGTTTTTTTTTAATGCTTATAGAAACCCTAACCTAATTTTATTGGCTGCTAAATCCGGTAATTTTAATTAAACCGGTAATTTTAATTAAAAAGGTAAAATTACCACTATGAACATATCTTAAAATCAGATGTTTTTCTTTTTTTGTAGGGATAAAGGCAAAAACATAAAACAATATTGTTCTTGTGTATTTTTCTAAGTATATTCTGTTTTTGAACAAAATAAAAAATTGTTATAATCGAATTTCACATATCAAAATACAAATATTGTTCTTATTTTCTTCCAGCCAATTAATTATATATGACTTCTCATATAAAAATCAACAATCCAAAACGATTAATTAAGTCATTCATATATAATACAAAAAAAGATTGATAAAAGAAAAACCAATTATACAACACTTTGTCTATTTCCGAAACAAAATAAAATTACATAAACATAAAAGAGAGCCATTCTTGACTGGCTTCACTTTAACCATGAAGCTCTTATTTTACCTGAAAACAGTTTAGCAACACAACATGATATTTTAGTTAAAAACCATCTAAACATTTTTAAAAACATAATTAATTTTTAAAAAAGCAAACCTTTTGTATATGGTTTTGATGTCTTCCTTCATATAAGAAGCTCCAAGAAAGTAGTCATCACTGTAGTTTCCATCAATGTTCGGAATACAAAACTGTCCATCGACAGGATATGTCTTCCCATCAAACCATATTCCAGAAATGATCTCCTTTCGAGCCGCCATTATATCTTCATCTTCTTCTGATGTATCAGCAGCCACTAGCCTATATGAGTAAACTTTGTTTTGCTGTCCTGGATGATAAGCCATCTCTATGGCTTGTCTAGCCATACAAGGGTTAGCGATAATGTCAAGCATTAAAATCCTTGTTGCACCGGTGAGATTGATCTGCTCATTACATGCTTTGATTGATGCAAAGAAGATTCTCGCCTCGTGCGAGTTGTTGAATTGATTAATTGAGACTTCTCGATCAGAGTTGCTGGTATCACCTTTAATCATGAAAGTTTCTTTGCCATCTTTCCAACCTTTAATCTTGGCCACAAGTGTTTGGAGGAATATCAATGGGATGACATATTGGCTTACTACAAGAATCTTCTCATTTGTATGATCACATAACTTCACCAAACCCAAGAAGAACTTTGTTTTTACTCCCTCAGTTCCGTCAATGTCTTTGATAATATCATCTATCTGATCCACATTTGGAGCGGGAAGACCCCTTACCCGGTCCGAGAAAGTAGATAGAACCGGGTGAAGCGTGATTCCAGTCAAGATAGAGTGTGTTTTGAACCCCTTCCTTTTGATGTTTCTTTCAATATCCCATGCCAACTTTTGGCTTGATGTCGGCTTTAAGACCACCGTAAAATCCATCATTCCCGGAACTTCAAGACGAAACTCTCCTTGATGATTGTAGATAACCTTGTTTGTCAACATTCTCAATTCAGTTAAGTAACAAATCTTGTCACCGTGATCAGTATCTTGATGAAGTAAAGCATCTTCCAGTTCATCAAACAAGGGCATCTTCAAATCCAATGAAAGTCCATCAGTGGCAGCATCAACGTTTAAGTATCTTCTGATTTTCCCCTCAGCTTGGTTGTGCTTTAGAAACTCAGGGAATGCAACATCAAGAACATTAAAAACCTCCTTCATCTTGTTTTGATATAATGTCCCAATGAGTAAAATCTTGTTAGGAGTCTTGATACGCGCAATAGACTTCAGAAACCTCATCATCTCGTTCCTCGGATCGGTTCCTTTATCAAAGATAACCAGTGAAGGAGTCTTTATGAGAGTATCTTTACAAAACAATGCAGCTTCTGTACTACTGTTGTCATCAACTATGCTGGCGAATTGCTTAGCGCCTAAGAAGAGTATCCCACGGTTCAAAACCCATTGTTGTAACACTTCTGACTGTTGAGACCGGGTAGTAGCATTGGCCGAGTAGAAATCAAGAAACAAAACACCATCGACCTTTAATTCAACAAGCTCTTGTTTCCAAAAGTTAACCATCCCTTTTGGAAGGACAAAGAGAGGTTTACTATTTGGATACTTTTTAAGGTAACCATATACGAAATTGATCATCAAGAACGTCTTTTCGGATATTGGAGCTTGAGCTACAATGCATCCGTTGGAGTCTTCGACTCCCAAATTCTTGCATAGGAAGTTAAGTATCTCAATGTGATGAGAACTCATACTACTTCTATGCGAAGGATGAGGGAAAATGCCACTTCCTAAAAAGCCATCTTTAGGAACTCTCAGACTGATATCTTTGCAGTTATTCGATCCGAATCCGGGTGGCAACGGATGATCCTGATCATATAAAAATTTGGATTGAAAAAATAGTTGATGGGATAATCAAGCAAATGTTTTAAAAATTGATAACCAAGTTGAAACCGCTAATTGAATCGGCAACCATGCTTTTCAACTCGGTTAAGAAAACCATTTGAAACCGGAAAAAACCAAGAAAACATATTTTGAAATTCTGTACCACAATTTTTTTTATATATAATGAAATATATTTTCTCCTATAAAACTTGTAATTAAAAAAATCATAACCTTTTAATATAAACTGTAAAACATTTTATACTAAAAAATTAAAGAATACTCATTAATTATTTTCTAAGTTAAAATAGAGGAATATATTTTTAACCATGTGTCTTGTTATTTAGGATTTGCTTAGATTTATTAAATTGATATTTGTTTTGATGTGTTAGATTACAAGTTATTTTTGAATTTTATGTTAAATACACATAAATAAATATATATTAGCTATGTATAAGTTATATATTTGTTTTTGAATTTATATATATATATAAAATTGAACCCGGTTTGATCCGGGAAAACTAGATTGAAACTCAAGTATTGTATTGGTAACCATATAAAAGGTATATATCAGCTTTATGACTTAATTAAAAATGGTTACTGACCTCGTCAATGATACCACATATCCAACAAACATGACCAGAACCTTGCTTCCATATCCAAGAATGCTCACAATTTTTTGGTATTTCTCCACTTGTCTACACAAAAAAAAAAAAAAAAAAAAAAAAAAAAAAACTCATTAGTATCAAAATCTCAACTTATCAAATGACAAAACGTTTTTGCTTAACTAAACAACTTGTCATTGACAAATGGTAAACCTCAAATGTGTCTGAAACTGGTTTATCTTTTGGCCACACAGTTTCATTCAGGTCGAAGATTTCAGTTTCGACCAGTTCATTTCCCTACACATAACAAAGATTAGATTACATAGTAGATGATTTATCATATATATGGTGAAATGTACACTTACATCTAAAAAGATATTGGTGTCTCCTTGACCAGTGTTACCACCACTGCTACTACCACCAATCATGAGATGTGTAAATGAGCTTCCTATTGTGTCTTTTTCAGAAGTCAGATACATGATTGGTACATCCACTAATCCATGGTTACTAGTTCCACCAGCTTCTTGATTCTCTAGTGTCACCAATTTTTTCCTTTTGCCATCAATGTTTTGATATATGTCTGAAAATATAAAAAGGTATAAACTTAATTCAGATTTGATTTATAAGAAATATGAATAAACCAACAGAAAATTAGAAAAGAAAATTCTAGCTTGTAAAACTGCTTTCTTATCTTATGAATGATTGTAGATTCATCTGTTATATTTTCTACTTTTCTGTTCAGAAATTAAAATCCATATGATTTATGGTTATTTTGAAAGACTATCTGGAATTAAAATAAAGAAATGAAAAAAAAAATTGTAAAAGAAAAGTACTCATAAATATAATTAAGACACAAGTATAACTACTGGAAAAATCAGCTTTTAGACATTGTTAAACTTCAAGTTACTTTGCAGCATAATAATAGCTTTTTTGTGTAGGCATAGAAACAAATATTCATACCTTTCTCTTCTGATAATTTCCTCTTTGAATCCATTGAAATGAAATAGAGGTTCAGAACTCAAAGCTTCTCAGTTTCTTTTTTCTTTTTTTTTTTTTATCAAAGAAGATTTATCTAAATAGAATTTCCTACCCCCAACTCACTTATTTATATCATAAATAAGGATAATTAAGATGAAAAAACTAATAAATGTTTTACCAAAAAGACAAAAAAAATATGAAATAAAATATATTCAAGGTAAAATGTTTTATAAACTTTTACACTACTTTTTACGCGCGAACATTTGAAATACCGTTAATAGTATTCTAAATACCGTTAGTACTGTCATATCCGCTTAAAGACTAACTTATTTATAAAAATAATGAAAACCAATTTTCACTTTTCTATGGCTAAAAATTCCTTTATTTTTTCCTTTCTTTTTAAATATTTTTCAGTAAAAAAAAAGTAAAAGCTTGAAGGAAGATAGTAAATTCTTTTTCCAATTAAGATACACATGAAAACAAAAATCATTTACAAATTTATTGAAGTTCTTGCTTATTTTATAATTTCGAGTTTAATGAAGACTTCTTAAATGATTATGTGTATGTTGTTGACTTGGAATTTAGAAGAAAAGAAGTGAAGACAAAATGTAACGCTTAACACAATTACACAGTTACTTACAATTTTATCTTTTCCCTAATTAAATTGGCCAATGCATGGTAAAGTTATGTGGCATAAACAATATATGAAGACAAAAATGTAATGCTTATCACATGTGGAGATATTATATAAAGACAACATGTAACGCTAATTACATTTTTATCTTTTTCTTTAATCAGCCAATGCATGGTTAAGTTAGCATGATGATTACATTTTAGTGTAACGCCTCTCTATGGCTAATGCATATCACACATATAGACATTTGTGTGTTGGCTATGTTGACTTGGAAGTTAGTAAAAAAGGAGTGAATGACAAAATGTAACGCATATCACACATATAGACATTTGTTTACAACTATGATTTTTTACATTTTAATGTAACGTCTCTTTTTTCCTAAAACATGAAATGCATGTTGACTTGGAAGTTAGAAAATGTAACGCATATAACAAACAGACAATTTATTTACAACTATATATTTTTGAAATCAGCCAATGCATGTTGTAATTACCTGGCATAAACATATGTACTGTATATGTAATTAAAATAAATGTACAAAAAATCTTAAGAAATTAATGATTTAGCATTAAAATGTACAGGTAACAAAGTTCTCTTTATTGGGTTTTTAAGTAACTAAATAGCTAAGTTTAGATTTCTACTAAAGTTAAAATAGTTCATAGTATTCATGTTTTCTGAATAGTCTAAAATTAAACCCTAAAACCGTAATTTTTAATTAACTTTAGCCTTAAATTTTAAACAAGACAAAGAAATGAATAAACTAAGCCAAAAATGCAAACTTAGTATCCAAATTGGTGTATTTACTCAATTTTGATAAAAATCGGTCTTATTTTATAATTTAGACATTTATTTTTCTCTATATAAACATATCCTATACGACATAAATAACAACAAAAACAAGTCTTCTTTCTTTCCGTCAAAACCCGCATTGAGGAGTTCTCTCATCTGTGCATTTTGGGTTGTCCAATGCTCCAGATTTTTTTTTCTTTTGAGATGGCGTATTAGTCCAGAGAGAAAAATATGTAACCAAACCGCTCTTGAGAAAAACATTGAATCAACATTGGTAAAGAGGTAATTTCCAAATTTTGATTTTACCGGAAACAAAGTCGGCTCTATCATCAGAAATTAACCGGAAACAAACCCGGCTCTTTCATTGTAAATCGTCTGATGATTACGATCATATATCTTCTCTTTTGTGTAGGTAATTCACTACCAAAGCACAAAGAAAAGGCTGGATCAAGAAAAGGCTGGATATGATGGGTAACATCAATTTCATACACTAAAGGTTAGTTTTAATTCTGACTTTTAAGTCGTAATTTGAATTATTTTTTTTTGAATGAATGTAAAATTAGATTCAACCAAAAAAGAGACCTTGTTCTTACAATATATGCAACTTTAGATTGAAATAATTGCTTATAAATCTATCATTTAGAAAAAAACAGGTAGCTTAGTATCTCTAATTTTAATTATTTTGGTTAGTGTATAAACAGTTATTATAATATTTCAATTAGATAAATTGATTAAGGTGATAACTTAAAATTAATTCAAACATCACTAAACAGTAGATCCAAAATACTCACCAGAAAATTCATACAAGCCGTTATCAATCAACTTCAACTTTTTATATGTTCATGTTTTTTTCTCTCATCAATTTGTGTCTTTTTAAGTAGTGTACTACTGTATATTTGGCAAAGTAGTTTTTTCCTTCTATCAAAAATTGAGGTTTTGAATTTTACATACATAATAAAATGGTATTCTTCTAATTCTACTTATTACCATTATTTTTTTTATGATTTACATGATTCACTTCACACCATCTAAATAATGCTTTTTGGATTCGTATCCAGAATGGCTTCGGTGTACATGTATCTTTAAAATCTGGATTTTTGGCCAAAATTAAATATCTCAGAAAATAGTACAATTTTCATAAAACAATTATAGTCTTCCCAGTTAATTAAATTTAATAATAAAGTTAATTTGATAATTAAAAATTCATATATCGTTTATTATATATATATATATATATGTGTGTATATTCATTTCTTAAAATTTTAGTATATGTGATTTAATTTTTTTAAATAGATATCAAATTCATGATTTGTTTGGTTTTGTAAATATATTGCTATATGCACCTTTTCGATATAACTGAAGCTGATAACATATTAAGGGAATGTTAGTGGTTTGGGATTTTAACGACTATTAATAAAATCATAGAGAGTGTTAATCAAATTAATTACTACTAATAATTTAATTTTTAATAATATTCGTAAAATATGTTAATTTAATTATTATTTTGTATTCTAAATTTTAATTATTATTAAGGGTAAATTAGTCAATTTTTTGCAATACAAAATTTCAAATATAAAAAAAAAAGTTAGTGTAAATTTCAAATTTCTACTTAAAATTAGGATACACCAACAACATAGTCCTTAATAAAATCATAGAGTATTAATCAAATCTAACATATATTTTCATGAAACCAAGATATTGTATATGCTTTCATAGTTGAAATCTTTCATTAATGAGATATGTCTTCCTATTAAGTATACAAGCAAATATTTACTTCCTACTTGTGGTTATGTCTTCATATGTGTAGTTTATAGGAATAAAATTTATTTTGTTGTTTTAAGTTTTGTTGAGTCATACTAGGTTAGTGATAACGTCGAGTATTACAAACCTTGTTGCTTCCGCAAGATTGATAATTGAATACTTACTTTGATGGATGCCAAATCTAATTTTGCATCAAGAAATATTATTTATTTAACACTAGTCTTCTCCGTTGCCAAGACTCGCTAATCTGGCTCTATGATAACTCGGGCTGCTACACTACCAAATCTGGTTACAACTTGGCCAGAAACCTCTCCCCTGCTTCACTTCAGCCCCCTAATACCTTTGATTGGTATAAAAACATTTGGAATGTGAAAGTAGGCCCCAAGATTCATAACTTCTTGTGGAAAGCAGCAAGTGGAGCCCTCTCCCTAGGCAATAATCTGGCCACTAGAGGACTCATGGCTAATGTAAACTGCAGGCGATGTGGGGAAAGAGAGACAGAGCTTCATCTTTTTCAGAGCTGCCCCTTTGCCAAGTCAGTTTGGGAAGCCACCCCCCTGGTTCTTGCTATGACAGAGGACACAGCTGTTACTTTTCGCAGTCTCCTCTCAACCACGCTCAAGGCCACTCCTCTACCGCCCACAGGCTTATCCTTGACACCCCTTTCTCCTTGGATCTTTTGGAACCTCTGGAAAGCGCGAAACTGCCTCATCTTTGAGGATCGCCTCTTCCCCAGCCAGGACATCGTGGTAAAGTCTATCCGAGAAGCAAAAGAATGGCAAGATGCCCAGATTATATCCACAAAGCTTCCATCGCCCAGCATCATTCGCCCACCTCCCCAGACTTCTGACCCTCAAGCTTTCCGCTGCTTTGTCGACGCAGCTTGGTGCCCACAGTCGCAGACCTGTGGACAGGGATGGGTCCTGTATGATCCAACGGGACACACTCCACGTCGTTTTTCAACGACCCGACCTTTTGTCACTTCGGCCCTCGTCGCAGAAGCCCTTGCTATGAGAAGTTCCCTGAATTGCCTTAAGCCACTACAACAGACGGGTGCAGTAGGCAAAATCGAATTTTACTCGGACTCCAAAATCCTCATCTCTGCAATCAACAAGCAAGCAAGCTCTAAGGAGCTCAAAGCTATCCTCCAGGACATCACTTCATTAAGTGATTCTTTTGACTCAGTTTCTTTCAACTTTATCCCTCGTTCGGATAATATTGTAGCTGATTCTGTTGCTAAAGCTGCCCTTTGTGCAGTACTTTCTCCCTCCCCTCGTGGAGTGTAACTCTTTCTCACGTTTTATTGCAATCAAAGTTTGTCCAAAAAAAAAAAAAATTGGCCCGAGCAAAGAGGCTTGTATAACCTCTTTGAAATCACCTCAACACTCCTCTTATATGTATAAACCGTATCACTTCAAAAAAAAATCCATAAAGAATTGTTGATACGCCATATGTGATATCAACTTCTTCATCCATCTCATCCTCATTGCAAGAGATGTAGACATTGTACTCTTATGTCAAAAACTTCCCTTATGTTTTTTTTTTTGATATAATGTCCTAGTGAGTAAAACCTTATGCGGCGTCTTGATACGCGCAACAAACTTAAGGAAACTTATCGTCTCATTCATTGGTTCAGTTCTTCTATTGAAGATAACAAGCGAACAAATATTTAAGAGAATATCCCTACAAAAATAATAAGCTTCTGTACCACTGTTATCAGAGACTATATCTGAGATTGCATGGCATTTAAGAAGATAATACTTTGGTTCTAACTCCATTGATTTAAAACTTCTAACTGTTGAAATCGAGTATCAGCCTAAGTTGAGTATAAATTAAGAAACATGACATCATTGCCCTTCAATTTAACAAACTCCTTTTCTCAATTAGTTAACCATCCATTTTGGAAGCACAAATAGAATTTTACTATTTGTTGCTTTTACAGGTAACCATATATGAACCTGATCATGAGGAAATGTTTTTTAGATATTGAAGCTTGCATAGAAAAATTGAGTATCTCTATATGATGAAAATTCATAAAGTTTTATGAAGTCCCATTATATGGAAATATTCAACTCTCTATGCAATAATTTGGTTGTGTAAAACCTTGAAATGTGCTTTCTAACTCAAGTTCTTATGGTATTTGAAAAGATATAGTTAGTTTTTCAGTTTCTTTTTAATTAAGGCTACCTTTCAAGGAAACTTAATAGTAACCATCTCTTTCTGCTTCCAAAACGGATGTTTAACTTTTAGAAAAAGAGCTTGTTTAGTTGTAGGTCAATGACATTATGTTGCTTTACTTCTACTCTCCCAAGGCTAATACTCGATCTCGACAATTAAAGGCTTTAAATCAATGAATTTTAACTTAGAGTATTAACTTATTAGGCGTCAAGCAAGTCTTAGATATAGTCCTTGATAACAATGGTACATAAGCTTTATATTTTTGTTAGGACATTCTCTTAAACATTCACTGATCACTTGTTATCCTCGACTAAATAACTGATCCTGATCCGAGGAATGAGATGATGAGTTTTCTTAAGGTTGTTGCACTTACCAAAACACCATGTAAGATTTTACTCACTAGGAAATTTTATCGAAACAACATAAAGGAATGTACTTGTTGCTTTCTAATTGGGATACTGTTGGTACAAGAATTAGCACCAACAACATACCAACCTAAACCAAGGACAAACCAAGTAATCTTAAAATACAATTAAATCGGGGTATCTCGAGTAAAGCCCTTTAAGAACGGGCTGTGGGTAAAATCCCATTAGGTCGCCAAACCGACTTCTGAGGTGATAGGTTTCCTAGAAGGAAAAGGAATATCAATCCCTAAATTTAAGGGGATTGAACATATCTTGTAATCTAAATCTTTTCATATAAATAGGGGGTTGTCCCCTATTGGAACATTAATACAAGAACCCTAGTGATTTCATGATATTTTGGTGGTTTGAACCTCTTTTTCTTAATAACTTTTAGGTCTTAATTCGCTATTATTGCTTGTAAATATGCATTTATCATGTAGTTTAAGGTATTTTGCATTTAGAGTCCTAAAATTGCATATGCATTGCATTTGATGTTGATTTGGGTACAAAAAGGGACATATGGATCTTAAGAGGCAAATGGAAGTCTTGGATCACAAGAAGATGTGCAAAGAAAAGCTCAAGAATTTGAGAAACCACCTGGACTAGAGTGAAGAACATCGAAAACAAGAAACTTGGGTCAAAACGGAAGTGGATTTGGAGTTACGGTTAGGAAGTTATGAAGATTTGAAAATGAGAAATGTAGTAACCAAACCGGATCCGATCCAGACCCGACCCAACCGGGTTGACCCAACTCGGACCAAGATCTCTTATGTAGCACTTTTTACATTTTTGTTTACCAAGTTTGGTTGTTCTAAGTTGAAATTGGATCTATACACTTGTAATTGAATCCTTTGGTGATTTGGATGATTAAACTTCATTTTGTTTTGCAATTCTCACCATGATTTATTCCATAATCATGTATGAGTAAACCTAATTTATGGGTCTTTAGGCTAATGGTAGATTAGAAAGTTTTGATGGTTAGAAATTGGTTCTCAAAGTTAGTAATTAAGGTATCTATCATTAGGAATAGATTTGTGGCTAGGATTTGATTGGAAAATTAAAATCCTTAGCTTAGACATTTCACGCACACAAGCTGTTTGATGAAATGCCAATTTCAATCTTAAAGAGCAAAATACATTATAGCTATTGGAAGTTGATGTCTAGAGTGTTTTGTATGGTGTTTAAGCATGAATTTAATGATCACTAATTTCTTTATTGCATTTGAGAAATCTTAGCATGATTAAGAATAATTAATGAATGAACTAGTGTCATGAAAGTGAATTAGTTTATAATTAGGGACTTAAACCATTAGATTAAAGTCTTAATTACATATATGGGAACCAAAACCTAATTGATGAGCTTCCTAGTAGCAATCTACCAAGCTAAAGAGACCCATAGACTTTTATATTCTTGCATTTTCGTTTTTGACTTTTGTGTTGACTTTTCGTTGACTTTTATAAATTGCATGTTTCTCATTCATTTTGTCTTTGCTTTATGTTTATGGATAATTGCTTAGTTTAGACACTTGTTTAAGTTGGTCAATTATCTTTAGTTATTCTATTTCTCTTGCATTTAGCTTCTTTGTTTTCATTTCACTTAGGTTGTTAGTTGAAATTAAATATCTGCATTGTTTTAGCTTAGTTTAATTCTTGTAATGTGCAAACTTTATTCTTTGTGGTTCGACTCTAAGTGCTATAATGATATGATCACTAGTGGGTTAGGATATTAATTGGTAAAATTCACTACATCACCTAGTTTGCTCTTCAAGCAATCTAATTTTTCTTCTCAATCGATTGTTTGACTTCAAAGAGAGATAATCAAGTGAATTTGTTCACATCTTCATAACAAATTCATTGTGCGAATTCTTGATTCCACAGATACTATACCCTAAATGCTTGCTTCCTAACTCAAGTTCTGATATATGAAAAGATATGTTTAAATTTTAATTGTCGTTTCATTTAAGGTTACCCTTGCAATAAACCTTAAAAGTAAACTTATATTAGTGCTTCCTAATAGATGTTTCGCTTATTAAATAGTTTCTGCGTGGATTAAAGTTCAGTGACATTCTAATAGTTCGACCTCTACTCAACGAAAATAAATACATGATTCTAGCCATTAAGGGATTTGAAGCAGTAGAGATCACAGTAAACAATTTTCAACATGTATTGGGCTGTTTTACACCTTAATTTTGATACAATGTTGATTTCAATATGGCTAAATATGTTTTCAAATAAAGTACATAAACTATCAAATTTGTGTCAAACTCAATATTGACTAGAATGATATCGATCGTCTAACATTGATTAAAATGTCCAAATTTTAAGTGGGAAAAGTGTGTAATTCGATGTAGATAGCCAAACGAAATGATGATTGCACAATCGAAGGGAACGGAACGGCGAGACAAATTTCATATAAACAACCATAAAGGTCCCCATCGAGAGAACATGTTGTATTCGAGCTAACGTTACAACTATCAATAAAGTTAACTTTGCATTTCTTTGTTATCTATTCATCGATCATCTGTTTCTAGATCCGTCAACGAGTATAAGGATCCCCCGATGTGATCCTACCCGGTATCGGAGAAGGCGGACTCGACATCCAAAGTTAGAGAAGGTGAGAATGGTCAGGAATTAGGGTCCTTTAAGAATTAGTAAGAACGACCCATCACCAAAGTTCCTATATGCATGTAATTAAGCTGGATTATGAACAAATCTACAATCTTTGGTATCCTATGAATTAGAGTTAGCTTCTTACTTCACCTATAGTCTATACATCTCCCTGATTGAGATTTGTACCAAACTTGCTTCATCAATCTGAATTGATTCAATACTCAATCTAATTCTTTGAATGTGATAAGAACCAAACCATCACACTTTTATTTTGTTTTTTTTTTTTCCAAACTTAAACATGAGAACCAAATAAAAACATAAACCAAATCCATAACCAAAAGTAAACAACAAAGAGTCAAAGACACAACAAAGCTTAATTTCTCCAGCTTCCTCCATCAGATCGTCCCTGACCACCGTAACCTCCTCCATCACCACCATAACCTCCTCCACCATAACCACCATCACGACGATCACCTCCATAACCACCACCACCACCGTATCCTCCACCTCCACCGCCACGGTTATAACCACCTTGTTGATCACGTCTACCTCCATAACCACCTCCTCCATAACCACCACCACCACCACCTCCATAACTACCACCACCAGATCCTCCATAACCACCACCTCCTCCACGGTTATAACCACCACCGTTACCACCACGACCACCAGAACCACGAGCCTGAGCTTCATTAACAGTGATGCTACGACCATCAAGCTCTTGACCATTCATCCTCTCAATCGCAGACCTCAACGATTCCTCATCTTTAAAAGTCACAAATCCAAACCCTTTTGACCTCCCTGTCTCACGATCAATGATGATCTGATCCCAAAACATAAAAAAAAACAGATAAAGTTGAGATTTTTAAATCACAAAAAACAGAACGATCCTTTTCGATGATGAAACGTACCAGATTATGAGGTTAAGTAACAGAGAAAGTAACATAGCTAGTAGTAGTAACAAGAATTGAGATAGATAAGAGTCAAGAAACAGAGTCACACGGATTCGGGTCGTTTAATTTCGGATCCGGGTCGTCTTTTAAACGGACCTTGCAGTCGAGGACATCTCCGAATTGGCTGAAACTTCTCTCCAGTGACTCTTCATTGGTAGCCCAAGCTAAGCCTCCGACGAAACACCTGTACTCGCTCTCCCCAGAAGCCATATCCTAAAAAGTTTTGATTTTTCGGGTATTACGAGGAAGAAGAAGATGATGATGACTATGTCCGAAGCTCAAGGTAAGAGAGAGAAGACGTTTCTATATAGAAGAAGCCCGTGAAACTATGGTTCGTTCGTTGACTCGGTGCTTAATCATGTGTGTTTGGTTACAGTGATAACATTATCGTCATCTTTATGTAAGATTTGTGACCAAACAGTTGTTCCACGTCATAAGAATTGGAAATAAAAATCTTGTGCTGCTGATGTGATGGTTTGGATCGGACGGTTTATTTTGTGTGTGTGTGTGGGTCTCTCAGTAAGACACGTGTTATATGATCTTGAACTGGAAAAGACACAACACTAGTAAAGTAGTAATAATGTAATATACAACAATAGGATTTGTACGTACTATTTGATTCGTGTGTTTATTTGGTATTTTGCCATGAAGGATGATTAAAAATAGTTAAGAGACGAAAAAAAAATAGTTTAGAGGACCAAGTTATTTAGAGATAGTTAGTTTGAACTTTGAATAACATTTGATTATAAAAGAAAAAAAAACATTTGATTATAGTTTCGAGTTGAAGATATATTTGAGTTTTGGTTCAGTACCATTTAGTTATTAAAAAAATAGTATATAGGTTGATAAAATAATAAATCAGTTTTATATAAAAATAAACTAAATATATATTTTTAGTGGTATTATGGATTTTGCTAATTTTAAAATAAACAATTAGTATAAATTTGTCATTTTTAAGATTTAAAATATAATTTTATATAAAATATTTGTTTTTAAACAGGCGGCACATAGCAAGAAAACATCAAGATTGGCTTAACGAGTTCCTTGACTTAAAAGCTGACTATCTCATTTATTATACTAATTAACTTCCCGCATGTAATTAAGTGTTCTTGGAATAATTTTGTAACCTATAGATTCATTGTTTCATATAGTGAATTAATTAGTACGTAGGATTAATTAATGTTAGTACCATAAATTTGGTTTTCCGCGGTTATTAAGAGCGACTAAAGTTTCTAAAACTCTAAAATATATGGAATCTATAACTTATGAGTTTAAATGAACCTATGGGTTGATTTATGCAACTATAAAGATAGTCTTGGGTCGTGGTTCTTTTATCAACCATAACACTTTTTTGTTACTTGTTGTCAACAAATATTTGATTAGGTTTGATAACTCACACGAACCTATGAAAACAAAGGTTATCATGAATTTATATTAAGTGTGTTTTTTGTTTAATTAATTGTTTCTTTTATTTGTAGGTTTTGTTTATCTCCATAATTAATATATATACTTATGTTGTATTATATAAATTTAGAACCGCTTCACGCATATGGAATTATTATTTTTTGTTAGTATCCTCCATCAATATATTTCAATTTCAGTACAATATTGGTAAATTAAAATATTTGAAAAAATCAAAAATATTATTTTAGTCAGTAAGTTTATGTATTTTTAAAATACTTAAAATATAACATTAAAACATATTTAAATAATAGTTCGTAAGTTTATGTATTTTTTAATATTTTAATAAAAAGATATCCTTATATTAATCAAAAATATTAATTTTAGTCATTAAAATGTGTTTGGTATTAAGTTTTAGAACAATATGTATAATGTTAGTAAATATATTAGGTTTAGTCAGTAAGTTGGCGGAATGATCGATGTTCAAAATCTCTAATTTACTAATCACTTTAAACTTCTTTTTTTCTCATAAGAAAACCATCCAATATAATATACAACTTACTGCTTTCTAAACAGGAGTCGATTGCGGACAGCAAATTCTGCGATTTCCATAAGTCATTTAATACCATCACTACTTATTTCATATGTCAAATACCCTACAAGTAACTTATATTTTTTGCAAGTGTTTGCAAAATTGAGTCTTTTGAAGCTCTATTCATATTGTGGTGAATCTATAGTGGAAGAGATGGCTAGGAAAATGTAGTTGAAGTATGATAAGTATTGAAATTAGTATAATATCATTCTAGCTATGGAATTTATCTTAGATCATAGGTTCAAGGTGCAAATCATTTAATAATTAAATCTGCTTTTGATAAAATGGATCCAAGTACTTCTAAAGAAAATTCTGAAATTATTGTGCAAAATTTGAATGATCTTTATAAAGAACACATGGATAAAGCTTGGACTTCTTCCTCCTTGTCAACAACACAAACTCCATTTGATCTTCTTAATGAATCACCACTAGAGAATGATCTGAATCATGTAAGTATTTTTCTCCATTTATCTTTGATATCATAATCATCAAATTTTTCTATTTAGTGTCTTTTTGATACATGATGTTTTGAAGCTTGAGAGGAGCATACAACCTGATTGTAACAATACATAGTCGAATTTGTAAAAAAAAAAAATGGATGATCCAAGGCTAGATTTTCTGAGTTAGAAGGTAAAAAAATAGTCCATATTTTGTTCAATTAACTTTCAATGCTTTGTTCATTTATATGTTCAAATTATATGCGACATTGAAGAAAATTTTGATGATGGAGTTGAGGATACTCCATCAGTAGCATCAAATAGTTAGGAGTATGAGGCTAAGTGATATTGATGATAAGGTAAAAAAAAAATTGAATTGAAATTGTTACTTAAAAATAGAGATGCATTTATGAATTTTTTATTTCTCTGTTGAATCATTTCTATCATTCAACCCACTTCCAATAAAAGTTTCTACTTTGAGTTTTTTTAAAATTCTTATTACTTTATTACTTTCATCAAAGTTCCTTTGGCCAAAAAATCACATTTTGTGTTGTGTATCAGAGTTAAACAGTGTTGCTTAATTGAAGTTATGTTTGTTGTCTATCTAACCAAATATCCAATACAATATATACATAAACACTGCAACAACATTTCATAGATGAAAAACAAAACTAATACAAAAAAAAGATTCATGTGTCCTTCTGAATCAGAAGAGATGAAACATCATTATTACCACTCGTCGGAGTTTGTTCATTCCGACGCCTGCGCTTCCCATAACCACTATTAACAGCCACTTCTTGCCATCCTCCAAACGTCAAGTTATTAGAGAATGTATCCTTCACACTCTCCATCACTTCCCTCTCGACCGGAGACATTCTCTCTAGCGAAATCCCTGAAGCAGCTTCCTCAAATTCCCTCATACAAGCAATCTACACAAACACAACCAATGTAAATCGATTTGCAGGTTTTAGTTATAAAACGTTTAACCACATGATAAAGATTCATCCTTTTCTTTACCATATTCATGACTTGGGACTCGAGAAATGCTTCTCGATAGAGTTTGGTGATACTGATCCGAGCATACCATTCCATGTACGCTCCATCATCTACTTCATTGCCACCTCCAGGACAGTCCATGATGTGATCCCCACGTTCAGCCCATTCCTCACATGCTAGACTCATTGATGTATCCAAGTCATCGAGTCGCCTGTTCTTTCTGTCACGGCGTTTCACTTTCTGAGGTATTGGCTGGCGTTTCCCAAACTGCCTCAGACACCTATCTGGGAAATGTAGCTCTATTTTCTCGAAGCATACAAGAGTCGTTTTGGATCTCCCTAGGATCAGCTTGGCTTTAATATGTGGTGGGATCAAGTTCTCAAATCTTTCATATGGGCACCAAGTGATCTGCATTTTCACAACCAACGATTAACATGAAGATAAATAAACAAATTCTTAAAGATGAAGTGAAGGCTGAAGGGTTTACCTTGCTTGGATCTAGATCATCCAGTTCTCTGCGGTACTCAGATAAGTCGGTTTTGGATCTGCTGCCTTTACCTTTCCACAGAAGGGCAAGCGGAAAACTCGCTTCGGATTTCTCTGGTCTACCGATATTCAGATGAAAATAACTCCAACACTATAAACATGAGACAATTATATGTTACTTTTCCTAAAGATATTGGATTCTTACATGACCAAAACAACAAAACTAACACATAGCAGCCAACCTGTAGCAATGTCAAGCAGCCGCAAATGTTGCTCTGAGACTTAAGCGACGCGTTACCAAGCGCTCTGTAAAGACAAGCCAATGCAGCAGCTCCCCAAGCATATCTACCAGCTTGATCAAAATCCTCAAACAAAGGCAAATACTTAACAGAGACTTTATCACCATCAGTGGTAGCAAAGATAGTACTACCAATAAGATACAACAAATAAGCTCGAGTATGACATTTAACAACATCAAAAGAAGCATCTTCAGGGCACTCAGAGAAAGTTCTTTTAAGCCAATTAAGCTTAACCCTCGAACAATTAACTTCTTTGTTCGCAGCAGATGGTAACTTCCCTAAAAGCCTACCACACATATCCATAGCAACCTCATCACCAACTTTAGAACCAACAATTGGATCTCCATCAATCTCAAGTCCAAGAACTAAAGCAACTTCATCTAATGTTATAGTCATTTCTCCTAAAGGAAGGTGAAAAGTGTTTGTTTCTCTTCTCCAACGCTCAACAAGTGCAGAGATTAGTGAATTGTTTAGACTCATTGGACCAATCTTGCGGAAGAATCCGAAACCAGCTTTGTCCACGAGCTTGATTTGTTCATCAGTGAGTTTCCATTGATGAAGTAATGAAGTGTGTTCTTGACAACGAAGAAGACCTCGTTCCTAAAGTAAAGATGGGAACTTTAGATGAACCCTAAATTCAAAATTTGAAATTTCGAGGAAGAAGATAAGGGAATGAGAAAAAAAAACCTGTCCTTCCCAGACAGCAGAAGAAACATGGAGATCTTGTTCGTAGAGAACAGATGGATCAACTGGTCCGACATCGATGTCCATGGCGAATCCTAAACTCTCAAATTCAGAGACGAATTAGTAATGCGTAAACAAATTTGTGAAATTTCTCAAAAACACGAATCCAATTTCTCAACAACGCACCTTTGGTTCATCAACTGAAACTAACCTCTGATGAAGACGTACCCTAGTTGGCTCGGTTCAAATTTTTCTGTACCGGTGATTTTGGTTTGGTTATGTTTAACCGGTTATGTAAACCATATAATTGATATGTCAACTGAACGAGGAGTTCAGGTTTCAATCCTTACTCTATGTGACTCTATCTAACACACTCTAAATAACTTGATGACAATTCGATTTGCTAGAAAAAAAACTCAATTTGTGAGTCACAACATATACTATTGAGGCAAAAACACAAGGAAAGATCATGTGGTGATTTGTAGGATCAGTAAACAAGTCTTTAAGTCTCTCGGACGTAGCTAATCGGCCGTCGGGTATTAGTAGGCTCATGGGTCTAGTGAGAGGACGTGAGGTCTATTAAGAAAGGTGGGCCCATGGACTGGTGGTGAACATGTGGCCCACTAGAAAAATGTCAATCAGGGTGTTACGTATTGAGTATTGAATCTTGAGGTTACAAGCTGTTTCGAACCGATTTAATAGGTTACAATTGGGAAATGGCGTCGTCTTGATTGGTAACGTACTCAAAACTGTAATAAAGAAGCTATAAACTAGAGCAGTAAGTTTGTTACGAAACAGTACAAAACTGTAAAAAGAGCGGTACAAGAAAGGTATATAAAAGAGTTGAGCAGATCGTCCATCACCATACCTAACTTCGATTGAACTGGCGCGCAAGTTGAGTTGAATTAAGAGCCAAGAAAGTTTACAATCTCCACATTTGACTTCTGATAACTTCCACAAGTATATAAAACACATTACTGCTTAGTAACATCTCAACCGACACTCTCAGAACACTCAGGTAATCACAAGTCCTTGTCCTTGATTCTATACCGTTTGAAAAATCAGTGTATCATTTTGGATACTTTGATTTGATGTAAATATACACACTGAATACTTTTTTTATCTCCTAACCTAATAAATATCACCCCAAAACCCGAATGAGCAATAAAACAGAACATACAAAATATATATTCTACAGAACTTTCATGTTCTTGATTGCTCTATAAATCTCCCTGATATAGCAGCCGCAAGAGCTGCAGTGAACTTAGGATCTTTAGTCAAAGAAGAGGCCATTTGTTGCACCAGGACGTCTTGAATCGTTCCTCTCCCTTTCTTTTCCTCAACTGGTTCAAGCCCTCCTTGAACTAGATCAAGCTTCACTGTCCTAGACACACTTGCATTTGGTCCTGGATGGTTATGTGTCCCTTCGTAAGTAGCAACCACGAAAGATGGATCTTCTGCACTTCGTTGCACCTGAACAAGCACACATACCACTGAGGACCACAAACTAGAGAAAATACCAAAGAAAAGTTTCAAACAGAGCATGTAAATTTACCTTCTTTTTGACCAGACAAGACGGTGAAAACGAACATCTGAAGTAAGCTCGAGGAGATGGATTATCTCGCGTAATCTTTTGCCCGTATTTCCTCCATTGATATCCATCTTTCACAGTCTACAAGTAAGTATATCCACAAAACATTCATTAATCAATCGATTCACTCAAAAGAAATTAACAAGATCAAGACTACGAATTATGAAAAACAGTACCAAATCGTCTTTAAAACGAACGTCTATAGCCACAAACAATAGAACAATACTTGTTGTAGAGAGTATGATACTCAAGAAAACACTTACCAAGCTTGTGTCAGACTTCTCAGCATGGAAGTAAGCGGTTGAAACAGTTGATTTCTCAACTGTTCCGCCGCAACTGATTCCAATTGGGGAGCTTACAAACTCATCTCTGTCTTGTTTTCGTTTCCTTTCGTTACAAAAGTTAACATTTTCACGACTCTGCAACTCCTTAAAAAGATTCTGTAACTCAGAATACTTCTCAGAGACTCTAGCTAGCGTTTCAGTCAGCTTCTTGTTCTCCGAATTAACCCGGGTTAACTCCTCTTGTAACATACATGTCTTCAGTTCAAAATTTCACAAACCATAAAACAAAAATCAGCATTTACCAAACTAAATCCCTAAAAAGATCAAAGATTTGATTTTTCCCAACATTAAACATCCACTGATATAACTATGCAACGTCTAAATCATATAACTTGATCAACCTAATCGTATTAATCCTAATGTTTTGAGATGCACACCAAGTGTTCGATGAAAAGAAACTAACCTCATCTTTCACAAACCATTTTCTCATCACATCTTCAGAACCTGAATCCGAGGGTTCCCTTTTCTAATATCAACAAAAAAAAAGTAAGCATACCGGAGAAATTAAAACTCCGATTGAATTCAAAATTAAAACTTACCGGAAGTTTACCGGAGAAATGAAGATCGAATGGGTTGGTGTTAAGATCATAGTCCATAGATTTTGGTATATACCAAAACTATTAATGTTACGTGAGGAAGAAACTAAAGAGTATAATAGCGAAGACCAAATTCATGTTTGGTGAAAGATTTGGTCTTTCTCCTTTGTGTTTATATAGGAGCTAGTGGAGGAGAGTGTGTAATGTGTAATCTTCTTATCAATTATTTAAGAGCTTGACCATTTGTGTGGTATGTGAGGAAAGTCCATACATTTTTCTTTCTTTTTGAAAAATTTCTAACAAGTTATACATAAAAACCATCATAGTCCTAAGTTAATTTTTGTTATAAGAAATATGGGTTTTATATTGGTTAATAAAACATGTTAAAATGATATTAAGAAAATTATATGATCTAAATAAAATTATTATGTCTATAGTGCTTGTGATAATGATGTATTTTATAGGAATGTTAAAACTATTTTACCATTTATCTTTTCTTTTTTTTTTCTGATAGACCAAAAATACAAATAGCATAAAGGACCGATAATATACAAAACCTGTTCACTCAATTAGTGTAGATATTATGTTCGCCAAATTGAAGCAGTTTATGACCAAAAAAAACATCAATGTTCTATTTTAGCGATCATGTATTTCATCGCCCACATCAAAGTTTTCATCTCTATTCTTTGTTATATAAAATTGTCTTTCTACAAATTAATTATAATTTATACAAAAATTTAAGTTAATGTTTAGGTGTTTTTAATTTAGAGATACTATGTTTTAAAGATGCTATGTTTTAAATGTCTCTACCAAGACAGTTTTTTTGATAAAAGTTTCTTAAGTTTCATAACATCAAATATTAAACTATTTATATTTTATAATTTTTAATTTTTAAATATTGTTAAAATACTCTTTTTCATGTATACAACAAAGATGCTCTAATAAACTATGGAAACTCGGCAAACTAAATTATGGAAAGAACAAAAATTGTGAAATAAAATTAAACTAATTTCTTTTTTTGTAATAAAAAATTAAACTAAAATGGTCAGACCATAAAAGCAGAATTATAAATAAATAAAATACAAATTGTAGGAAAACTCTTTATCAAAATACTAGTAGTATTTAACAAGTATTGACGAAAAAAAAAAAAAAAAAAAAAAAAGAGAAACAAGTTGTATATAATACGTTGGCTTGCTTCGAAACACTTGTCCTAGTTTAGATTTAGGTGCTAAATCACAATCGAATTGTTATAGTTTTGTTGTCATCATCGGACAAAACAATTAAAACATCGGTCTAAAATTCAACAATTTCGGCTGTTGGATGTCCCATGTCGATGAAAATTTACATTAACTTGCATTGTAAGGTCTTATCAGTTTTTGTTTTTTTGTTTTTGTTGTTGTGTCCTCTTTAAAAAAACTTAGAACTTTTTGCTTGACTTTGACCCATCGTGTCATTGACTATGACCTTGTGACCGACCGGCATATTCCATTTTTTATGTTTATGTAATCCTTTCACACACACACATTGTATTAACTAGGTTAGCTAGGTAATAAGAACTAAGATTTCTAAGTGAGATTACGATTCCAATATTTAATATTTCATTTCATTTCATTAAGTTAGAAAGATACTCACTAGAAGGTGTAGAAAACCAAGTTTAGGAATAGATTTTGACCTAATTCACAGATAAAAAATGATACGGATAATAGCAGAACCCACACGTACGATTTCACACGTGAAGTCAAGTGTGAAATTGCAATTAATACGGGAATGGTAGAGATTTAAAGATTATCTTTTGCCGTTAGAAGCAGAGTATGACGAGTTTATAGAGCATTTGTTTAGCTCATTTTTCTGTATCATCGCATTTTGATCTTTTAAGAACTCTCTCTCTCTCATTAGACTTGGAGATTGTTGCTTTTCTCTTTTCTTGAGAACCAGTGAGTAATCTTTCCGTGTTTTATAAACATCGATTGATTAACGTTTGTGTTGAAGTGTTTGAGTTCTTGTGATTTGATTTTGATTTGTAAAGTTTTCTATATTAGAAAATTATATTCTATTGATCTATTCTAGTAATAAAAGTATATTTATCCTTCACTCGAAACAGCAGTAAGCTCTACCATAATCGTGTACTAAGAATATTACAAAAAAGAACTAACCCAAATTCGATCCACTCTGGAAACAAAAACTATTGTTGTGTGGCAAGTCTGTCAATTGGACCAAGGCCCAGTTGGTTTACCTGTTAGTCAGAAATGCAGGCGGTCTGACTATCTCCGGCATTAGTCGGCAAATATTCCAAACTCGGGATAGATAGTGTGGCGGCCTTTCGGGGAATAGTCCACTCTGAAGCACTTGATCAGCTGACAGGGTTTATCACAAAAAAAAAAAGAATATTACAAGAACCTAGCCCTGGGCATTCGGGTACTCGGTTCGGGTTCGGGTAAAAACCGTTCGGGTTCGGGTTTCTCGGGTAGAGGAGTTTAGGACCCAATAGGGTAAACATAAAAATTCGGTTCGGTTTCGGTTCGGGTCCATTCGGGTTGGGGTCGGTTCGGGTATAAATTTTCAGAACCGTTAAAAATCCGAGAAAATTTCGGGTACACAAATACCCGAAAATTTACCCGAATACCCGAAAATTTTCGGGTAAATTTTCGGGTTTTCGGACAAATACCCAAATTTTTGGGTAAATACCCAGATTTTCGGATAAAATTTCAGAATTTTTTTAATAAATACCGGGATTTTCGGGTAAAAAATCAGAATTTCGGGTATAAATTCGGATATTTGAATAGATAACTCGGGTATTCGGATCCTAAATTATTTTTATACATTTATATTTCGGGTATTTTCGGGTTCGGGTTCGGTTCGGGTTCGGGTTTTCGGGTAGAGGAGTTTAGGACCCAATAGGGTAAATCTAAAATTTCGGATTCGGATTCGGGTTTAATTTTTCGGATCGGTTCCGGTTCGGATTTTCGGTTCCGGTTTTTTTGCCCAGGCCTACAAGAACCCGACTATTTTTGGATGAAGAATACCAAATATAGAGCCTTTGAGTCCATACTCAATTTCACAGAATTTGACACAAAATTTTAATTTAATTGTAAATAATAATAAGATTTCAAAAACATGATAACACGTTCCACTTAACGAGTCTTGTGTGGCTTAGAAACTTTCTTCTTTCGCTTCTTGACAGATTTGGGTGTTTTATTCTTCCTAGACTCTCTTTTCTCCTCTTTCACTTTCTTCTTGTGCTCTTTCCTTGCAGCTTTCTTGTCTTCAGGACCCAATTCTTCTTCACTTTCTTCTTCGCTTCCTTCTTCGTCTTCTTCTTCTTCTTCTTCCTCTTCCTCTGCTTCAGCATTAACTTCTGTTTGCGGCTGCTCTTCTACTTTAGGAAGAGCATCCTTGAGCCCCGTGATCGTTTGGTATAGCATGTCTCCAGTGTCCTGCCCGCTTGTTATCTTCGCTACATCAGCTTCCGGGTTGTCCACAGCATCTAGAGATTTCGGTATGTATGACTGCGATCATAATAATAAAACCAAAAAGATAAGATGATTCTGCAGACAGTTTCACACATCAGTTCTTACGACTGAACATACTTCACTAACCTTCATAAATACTGAATCCGCAATTTCATCCTCAACGGATATCTCTCCGCGCTCAATAACTTTTCTTTGGACCTGCTCATTGTTACACACTTCATTAATTTGACTTTACCAATACAAATGGTCCAGCTTCAAAAGTAATATTGCATATAGTAAAAAGTTATACATTACCTCTTCCAAATAGCCATCGACATTTTCCTCTGAAATTGTTGGGTCTACTATGAAGTCAAATAGCTCCCGTATTGTCATCACAGCCACACCGTGTTTCTTGAAAAAATCCTGCGCGTAAATGTCAATACAATCCACACATCAGACACTTTTTTCCAGTCAAAGTAAGCATTGTGAAAATCAGGCTACTATTCGCACTTACTGAGACATGGTCACAATCTTCCCGTAGAAAATTGAGGGCAAGAGGATGGTCCAGATCCACAGATTGAGAAACATCAATAATATAAAGGTGCCCCTGAAAAAGGCAAGATAATCATATAAATATATTTAGCTTCTCTATATTTTTCAAAACTTGTTTTTGTTCCCTTTCAATGCCAGGAAAGGTCAAATACGTGAGCCATGAAAAGCCAGAGATCTTTTATAAACAAAATAACACAAAACTCACCTCAAAATAAAGTATGTTATACTCACTCAGATCCCCATGCACCAATTTGCACTTCTGATATAATACTCGCATTTGAATTATCAACTGAAAGACAAACAAGAAAGTGTCAGTGAATTACCAATACGGCAGCTACAAGACCATAAAGAAAACAGGTATAAGTAAAGTACTACAATAAGATACTCAGGACCTTCTAAAAGAGAAAGTCAGACGTACCTCTAGATAACACTCGCGTAACTTGTCTAATGATAATGCAGCATCCTTGAGACGCGGTGCAGCCCAACCATCCCTTCCTGCAAAGATAGTTAAATACAAAAATCTTAGTCTATTTGACTTGGTAGCTGAAAATTCTTTACGTCATCATTTCTCTATATAATGAAATATGCTGTTTTAGAGTAAAGAGAAGAGTTGCCTGGAATCAGTGACCAAAAAGAAAGATAATGAATTAGAGCGAACCTATAAACTCCATGACAAGAACATGAAGGCGTAGAAGTATAACAGCTGGACACCTAATTCCTGCTGCATGAAGCCTGCCAACGATACACAGTTTATAAACCAACCAAGGAATTAAAAATTGTTGTAATATATAGATAGAAAAGAATTAGAACATATCCCCCTTTTATTTGGAGGACAAGATATGTCAACCAACATTAACAAGATTTCATATGGCTTAGTAAAGCACAGATGACTGCCAAAATTACTTAATTTAATTATACTTCAGTACTATTATTAAATACACACCCACGACAAATTGTAGGTATTACCTCTTGAGATTTCTCTGTTCTTTTTCTGCCCACGTTTTCACCATCTTCCTTGGATTGTGGCGACAGTACCCATATCTAAATCGGTAATCACCTTGAACATATCGATCTCGATCCCTGAAATCATCAAAGTTGAAAATGTGGTCAAAAACAAAATCGTCTAGCTTTTGAAGAAACGATAAACAGCATTTATTACTGTATAAGCTCACTTGAAAACCAGAACGGATGTCTTGTACACTTTTATTGCAAGTTCTGAACCATCAGATTTTGTGGCATGATAAACATTAGCCTGTAAGAATATAATAAAAGAGAGCCCTGTTAACAAAGTAATCCAAAACACATCATCTTCTTGACTGTTAGCAATTAACTAAACCACTGAATACGAGAGTAGTGAATGGTGACATACTTCTTTTCCTGTCGAAATACAACCATTAACATCATTGAACACACCCCGATTAAGCATTCTAAACAAAACCATACGGGTCCTTGGATCAAGAGCCTAGAACAAAGAGAAAACAACATCAGCACACTCCATTAAACACTTGATAAATGAACAAACCTGACATTCTTGTGTAACAATTAAACCTCACCTGTTCAACTGTTGCCCGGTCCGCTTTATCAGTATTTCTGCTTCTACCAATTTCTGTATCCCTCAGACTACCACGAATCGCAGTTGTCACAGAGTTCGACATCCCAACTTGAACTCTTCCTTCCCATCCCTGCATCCACATTTATCTCAAATCAATTTCCATCTACATTACCTCATAAAACCACATAGTTCTCCACCTTACAAATACAAAAAAGCTCCCTGAACACAAATCCTATAAAGCAGAGACTACAAGCAATTCAGAAGCTTTCTCAAATCCTAATGTCCAATATCAAAATCAATAAACCAAATAACAATTATGGCGCAGGAGAAAGCAAAATATCAAATTTCAAATACTACAAACATCAATTGATAATAAAGTCGATAACTTTCGAATTTTTATACCTCCAAAGGAGAAGCACGAACATGACCAGTAAGCTTCTGCGCCTTATTTGATATAGGCTGAAGAGAACTCGAATTAGGTCGTGAACCATGTCCACCGTGAGCATTAGGACGACGAGCATGGAGAGAGAATCCACCACCGATTAGCTCGTCATCGTCTTTACCGTCTAGCCAATCAAGAGCTTCAGCGATATCGGAATCTGACGAAAGCGAGAGATCATCTTCATCATCTTCTTCAAATTCTTCTTCGTGTACAATAACCGGAGCTGAAATCGGTGGCGGTGGCTCTGCTGCTGCTACTACTGATACTTCCTCCATCGATTTCTTCAGAGAGGCGGCGAAATATTACCGGCGAGAGAATCAGAGGAAGAAGAGTATAAAACCCTTTTCTCGTTACTACGACGTCGTTTTATATGATTTCGGTTTACTAGATCGGTTCGATTTGGATTTTTTACGATTTCGGTTCGGTTTTTTTATAATTAACGTCTTGTTGTTCTTAACGTTAACGTATGAACTTCGTGTTGTTTTCGTTGCTCGCTTTTTTTTTCGTTGCTCGCTTCTTTGGGTTAGAAGAGGCGGGAGAAGACTAAACCCTAAAGGAAGAAGATTGAAGAAAGCGAGAGAAGAAGATGAGTCATCATCATCATCAAGCTGTTGATAATCTGGTTAATGTTTTAGCGAGAGCTTCTCATGATCTTAATCTTGTTCACTCCAAGCTCGACAAGGAGTTTCAGCAGATTTATCCCGAGAATGTAAGCAAAATTCGATTCTTGATTCAAAGTATTGAACTTTGAATCCAAGCTCGATTTAATCTTATGAATTTTGTTGTAGGCGAATCCGATGAAGCTGATTCAGAGAATGAAGAAGTTGCAGGAAGATGTGACTGGTCTTAAAGACCAATGCTTAGAGCTATTGTCTGCTAAACAGGTTCGTATCTCGTTATGGTGTTAGCAGTGGAACTAAGCCTCGGTGTTAGATCGATGAACGATTCATTCTTAGTGGTTACAAGTTGTGAAGTCCCTATAATTAACAAAAGATTGGATTTTTATTGATTCCAATGAAGAAAGGTTTGATTTTTGCTGTAGAGAGTTTCAATAAAGGGGGTTTAGATCTTTGTGATTTGAACCAAAGGATGAGTTTTTATTGACTGTAATGAGAAATGGTAAGTTTTGTTGTATGGAGTTTTCTATTCCTGTCATCAATGGTCAGATCTGCTAAGGCTTTTGCAAAGTTAGGCATTTAAGACAGAGCTTGATTGTTTATAGAAGTGATTGTTGAGTTGTTGTTATAACAGGATTTGATTGATAAGGCACAGACAACACTTGTTGGAAATTGCAACCTTATTCAGAAAATGAATGCATCCTTGGGAGAATCAACAAATGGTGATGCGGATGATGCATTGGCTGATTTTAACCAGGTTCGTCTTCCTTTTCTTTATTGGGAATACAATGCTTATCATTGAGAAGATGGCAAGAATTATTACTTATGCAAATAAATTGCTTGTGTAAAGTTTTAACCTTCCAAGTCAAATCCGATATCTAATACTCAGCATATCTGTATTGTATACCTTAGAAATCAAGTTCATATAAGCATACTGATACAAAGAGGCTTTTTAGACTTTCCATAATCCCTTTGCTTTTTCATTTTTTGCTTTTAAGCAGATTATCGACGAGTGGACAACACAAGTTAGATCGAGAACAGGTAACCAGAACATAGCCATTGAATGTCACTGAAACATTAACATTTCTGTTTATAAAGAAACTTTGGGACATGTATTGCAATTGCTGCTGATCGACTTGTTGTGTGTTTTGTGGTTATATTTCTAAATGATGCTTCTTTTGTTTCTGATGCAGTGGGGGATATAGGGGAGGCAGATAAAGAAGACATCAATAAGATGCTTTTCTCAGCTATTGTTCATACCAATTGAGTATGTTCCTGTTCATGGTAATGTTTAGATCTACACAACCACTGCATATATTCCAAACTGTGCTCTAGATTTTTGTATCTATGTATTTCCTTGTGCTTAAAACTTGAGTTTTATCTTGGTTGCAAAATCTAATATGAAATACGATTGCACACACAAAAGTTTATTGCTTTTAAAGACAAGAGAGTACAAAGCAAGAAAAGAAGCCAAACCTTACAGTAAAGAGTAAACAAGCAAAGGGATAAAAAGTCCACACAGAAAACAGCCATCCAATAAGATCGTGTGATGATGATGATGATATGATTGAGCCAAACGAAATCTGAAGTTTTGAAGTACCTAAGCAATTGCATAAGCTTCAGACCGTCGACTTAGTTTAGAAAGGTGCTAAGGTACTCATACGCCTCCATTCCTTGTATTTCAACTCTTCGGAAAGTATTTGTAACAATGTTGTAGTAGAAAAGGTGAAACGGGTGGGAAGGATAGTAAGACGAAAACACAACTTCATTTGTTCGAGTCATTCCACTAATGAATAACGAGGCTTCTCCAATCGTATCCTCAAATGAAGCAGGAAACTCGTATATATGATGAGCCCATGCCTGTGTTTCGTGATCTAGATACCACAGCGTAAAACTTTTACTTGTATTATCAACATGAAGGGTGATATCAGACTGCAGTATACCTAATATACCGTTGTAATCTACAAAAGTCCCAAGCTCCAATGCTTCAATCATTGTTTCCATGATGGCTGGAAGAGCGCTGAACACTTCAGATCTCACGTCAAAGGAAACTATCATATGTTCACCGGTAGACTTATCGATAGCTGGATAATACAAAATACTACTGATGCATATCCCTTTTTTTCGTGCAAAATGGGGCACGCTACAAGGGATAGTTCTCCATGCGTTGCCAGGTCCAAAATTTAGAACTTGATGATCATCAAAATTCCTTCCGCTTCGCCAAGTCATCGACAAAACCTTCAACTGATCATTGACCTCATCATACCCATAATAGCTGTGCATACGAATCCTTGTAGTGTTCATTCTTGAAGTGTTCATTCTTGGTAAGTTTGAGGATTCTTGAGTACTAGGTTTACATATCATTTGCACATGCTTGATACTTCCATTTACAAGCCGCTGATATATAAAACAAACAAATCCTCTGATAGAATTAATATATACTTTACTGTCTGGTATAGAACTCAAGGGGAGATGCATAAGTTGATTGGTAGCCACAGGAGGCGCGTCCTCTGCAAGATGTTGAGGCTGAGGCATGGAGAAAAAGGACACATCATTGTTTACTTCTACGCGGCAAGTGAACAGAAACTGTGAAACAAAACCTTGAACTCAGATTCAATTAAGTAAGGTAAAGCAAAACAAAAGAAATGAGCAAAGAGAAACAAACAAAACCTGGCGAACCTGAGCCATGGCTTTTGCTACTGAAGAACAAGTAGGGGAATGAGAAGTAGCTGATGAAATTGAAAGGCCATCCAAAGCTGTATATATATATACTACAGTGCCACTACTAATAGAGAAACGAAGCATGAAGCAGCCTTTGCTTTAACAAACATGAAGCAGCCTCTGCTTTAACAAACCTACCTACCACAAGCATCATTGCAAGCACTATTAACATACTCCGGTCTCTTTTGGAAACTTTTATAACATTCTTTTCACTCTTTTTACAAATAAAAGGTAATGTATTGCCATTCTTAAAACATTCAAAGATGATTTGTTTTCTGTAAGTCAAGTTTTGAGTACCTTTAAAACATTTTCTTTTACATGTATTCTTCCATGTTTTCAATGATATATAACTTTTACACTAAACAATCAATTTTGCTAGTGTTGAACCCACTCATTGTGGTTTAGAAACGGTTCGGGTCGGTTTGGTTTAGATATAATCATATAATTTGCTTATTCTAAGACTCTTATCCATTGCAAATAAATTGTTTGTGTACATTTTATTCACTGCAATTCTAGCTGATCAAGAACTTCTTCTGCTGTTGTACTTTGTGTTTATTTATAAATGCTGCTTCTTGTTTCTGATACTGTGGGAGTCATAAAAGGGAGATAAAGAAGACATCATCAATAACATAACATGCTTTTTTTCTTGTACTGTTCATACCAATTGAGGATGTTCATGTTTATTTTCTGATCAACCTCTCCATATATAATCGATATTGTGATCTAAGATGACAAAATTGTACAATACTCTTTAAACAATAGCAAAAAGTTATTTACTATACAATAACTTACATTAGCTAATCCTCTATTGTGCTTAAAGCATGGTTTATATCTTGGTTGCTTGTTTGGCTTCAAAGAGAGAGAGCCATTGGCTTAAAATTTAGATGAAGGACGAAGCTTTCTCACCAGCCATTTCCTACGTAACGAGACGTCCAAAGCCAAGAATGTCTTTGCTTTCCTCTCATCTTCCAAAAGATCACAAGCATCCAGCAGAAGCTCATCGTCCATATCAGGCAAAGCTTGCAATGCATCAATGGCATTTCCTATTCTTGAGTAAATTTCGTGCTGCGGAATAGGCTTTGTGCAACCATCATCATCACCTTCTGCCTCACACAGAGGATTCCTCGTCTCTAGTCCTGTCTTCTGAGCTTTATGTACAATTAGCCCCAACGGTGGAGTTACTGGGTTAGGTCGCTTATTTTGCTGCTTGTGTGGCAAACTAAAGTCATTGACTATCTCATGGTCATAGTTTTCCAACTCAATCATGAGATTCTCACAATTGAAACTATCTTGGGAGAGATGTTCATGTAGCTTGCACAAATTGCCGTAACTATCCAAGGTTTTACCTTTATATATAGTTGCATCTGGATGATCCTGAAACATCAGACACTAATTGCTTAGAATCATACCTTTTAAATATTCCTACAGTGGTATCCTTAACATATAAAACTTTATACTAATAAGACAGCAAAGACACAACCCCAAGAGTTTCATATCTCAAAATAAAATAAAAGAGAGTGCCATTAGATAGCCTTACTTTGATATATGCTTCCCAATATTCATCTTCAGCAACAATGGTTTGCTTCTCCTCATCCCAAGTAAATCCTTCGACATTGAGGATATTGTTGATGTCGTCACACTCTTTCATCATTAATATGAGACGATTCTCCAGCACAAACATGTCAGTCTCTATACCAAACTTTGCATTGAAAGATTCTGCCATGACTGCCCAAGCTTGCTCTGTAAATGTCTCACCAATCTTATTACCTCTATCAACCTGTTCTAGCATAAGATCGATAAGACAGCGGTCCATGAAATGTGTCCATTCTATACAAGGACCGGTATTGCTACACAGGTAATCATTTTTCTCATTGCTGGCATAAATCACCATCTGGAAACTTTGAGTTTCCCCTAGAGTATCTTTAAATCCATCTGTGCTTCCACTTTCTGAAAAGGATTCATGTAAACAGTGTTAAATACCAAAGTATCATTTGTTAATCACTTCTGCATCACTAGTTTCGCATACACAGCTCTATGAATCAAAAGGAGATAGAGAGCACAAGTATGAGTTTTCTTTTTCCAAAACGAATCTCAAAGGCAATGCTATAGGAGAAGCTTACCAATCATCCGCACATTTTCTGCCGGACTGGGATCAAAAGATTGAGCCAAGCGTGTGTATCTCCCATCCGACGTTTCCTTCCCAAATATGAAGCAAAGATTTGGATAGCTTGGAATAGTTTTAACACGATATGATCTAGCTTCTGGATGTGCCTACACATGCTTTATTTGTAAGCATAACCATATTAACTGATATCTTAAAAGGAAAAAAGAATGTGGCATGCCTGTATATAGGTATTCCAAATGCCATCATCTGCAATCACCATATCTCTCTTTGTATCCCATGAGAACCCATTTTGCTCGAGAAGAAACTTAATGTCGTTGTACAACCTCCTTAAGTGTTTGTACCGATTCTTCAGAACGTCTTTGCTGTGTTGAGACATGAATTTGGCATTGAATGCTGTAACCATTTCATTCCAAGCACTTGATATGAAAGTCTGCCCAACTCTGTTCCCATTTTTCACTTGGTCTACTAATAAGTCAATAAGATAGTAGTCCATTGGTGGAGTCCAAAATGTCCTTGTGCGTTCAGAATTGTGCACTTGGCTGGCCTTAGTCCCACCTGCAGAAGCAAGATTTATCACTCTAGGCATTTTTTCACTAATCCAAAAAATTTAAACTGGATAAGATTTAACTCACTTGTTTGGGCAGCCGAACCATCATCTCTGTGATCTTTGCCTTGAACTGGATGTGGTATAACCCCTTGCTCAGCTGGACAGGCAAATATGGTGTCCAAATCGTTGTAGCTCGGTAAAGATTTCATCCTATACGTTCTAGCAAGTGGATGCTCCTGCCTCATCAAATCTTGATTCAAACTAATGGACTGAAGATTCAAACCTTATTCAAAATAGAGATATATTAGCCTAAAGAATTAAAACCTTGATGTAAGAATCCCAAACAGCATCATCTGCAGCTATCATTAACCGAGTTCCATCCCACGAAAACCCGTCTTCTTTCAAAATAGCTTCCATATCCTTGTAGTATTTCAACAACTTGTTGTACCGATGCCTCAAAACTCTTTTCCCATATTGACCACTAAATTTAGCATTGAACAAAGCAAGCATATCTGTCCATGCTTGTTTACTGAAACCATTACCAGTTTTGTTACCTTTACTGATTTGATCAAGCATAACCTCAACAAAGTATTGGTCCATAACCGGAGTCCACTCAGTTTTCGAGCTTTCTTTACTCGATAAAACAACACTTCCACTACTCTCACCTACACAAAAAAACACACACATTGTATAATCCAACAACTAAGTATACATAAAAGAACAGTTTAAAGTAAGAACAAAGACACACCAATGTTGACTCCATTAATCTCATCTTCAACCTCAAAATCATGACTTGATCTACTATATCTCCCATCAGCAACAGTATACCCATAAATCAAACACAAATCATTATAATTCAACACAGGTTTCGTCTTGTACACACGAGCTTCAGGATGAGCCTGTGAACATCACAAAACCACAAAATCAAAACCAAAAAATGTATAAAGATTTGATTTTTATGTTATTGTTCAGACCTTGAACATCACAAAAACACAAAATCATATCAAACAACCAAACCCAAAATCAAAACTGTCGAAAAATCTGATTTTGTTAACGACCTTGAGATACAAACTCCATAAACTCTCATCACCAGTAACAATCTGATGAGTCTGATCCCAAACAAAACCACCATGATCAAGAAGACTCTTCACATCATTATACTGCTTCCAAAGATTCGTGTACCGGCTCTTCAACACATCTTTATCGTACTGAGAACCGAACTTTGAATTGAAAACACAAACCATGTCGGTCCAAGCTTGTTTGCTAAAAGTGTGACCTGTTCTGTTTCCTCTGTTCAAATGCTCTAACATAAGATCTATGAAGAACCGTTCCATTGTCGGAGTCCAATACGTTCTTGTTCGATCATTGCAAGTGACTTGACCAACACTACTCATCTTTCACACAAACGAAGAACGATATATATAAGTAAAGGTTACAGTTGCGCGCGGCGGAGAGATGAAATTGGGCGGAGTTTGGGAGAGAGAGTAAACCTAATCCTGAATTGTGTTTCTGTTTGGCTCCACTGTTTCGTCTCTCTCTCTCTATTTTACTTCTCTCTGCTTTTGTCTTTATGGGCCATTCTTTACCTTAAAAGGGCCTTTTTGGATCCAAATAAACATTTTTGTTTGGAGAAAAATCTTAGTGTTAATTACAAATATTATAATTTGATATCTTACTAATCTTACTAGGTCCTGACCCGCGCTACAGCGTGGAGGAAAGTTGTCGGTTTTGATTTTTAAAAATATTTTATGTGAATCGAATAAAATGTTCTTTGGTTTTGAAAATGTAAGTAATTATTTAGGGATTATATAAAACCTATTTTTAAAAAGATTAAAGATTTGTGTGGTTTTAGGCTAACGTGTTATTGTAGGATTATTAAAAATGGGAATGTGGGATAATTGGTTATTGGTGTTTCATTGTTATTCATTTATCAAGATAGTGACGTTTAAAAAAAAAACTTTTAGAACGTTACTAATTGTGTGTATTATTTATTTGCAATTTATGAAATTTCTGTTTTCGGAAAACTTTATTCATGAAGGTTATATTATGGTTTTGTTTGTGAACCGTACGTGGTTCTGATAACCATTCTATTTTGTTTACGGTTCTATTTATTCACTGATTGGCTTACATTGGGCTTGAAGGAATTTTCATAATAGTAACTAATATGTGAAATATTACAATTAAATCTGGGCTTTTGGGCCATTATTAAATATGGAGATAAGGTCCACTACCAAATTCTTGCTCCTGTGTCGTATTGTCTGATTCTCAATCTAATCATTTTCCACTAACTCCTTTTCCTCCACCGTTTCTCTTTATTAAGATGTAAGTAATAGAGTAATAATAATATTATGTTTATGTATCTATTTTAGACTCGAAACACGGTGGTAAGTTTTTATGGGCTTTACCCATTATGAAACCTATTAGATAACAATGAAAATAATCGAAATAAAGGCCTATAAAGCTGGTGACCAAAAAAAAAAAAAAGGCCTATAAAGCTATAAACGCAGTAATTAATGAAAGGATCCAGTAATGAAGTCGGGTTTTGTTTTTGTTTTTGACCCGACTCAGAAATCTTTTTGTACTTCTATTTTACTATAGTAGGGATTTGAGAAATTGTACAGATGAATTCTCTATATAAGTTATGAGAGTTATTACAATATTTACTATAGTAAGAATTCTTTTTTTGCAAAAAATACATATATTAAACATTTTTTTTTGTCATCACTTATATTTAACATATGTTGGTTGTTTTGGCATCAAATAAAATCAAAACTATAAATAAAATTAAATATTTTAAAATAAATAACAATTTCAATATGTTAAATTATTTAGAGATATATAATTTTATTTTTATCAATTAAAAAAATTTCCAATGCGAATTTGTTATATATGTATCATTATGAAAACTATAATTTTATTTTATTATATTTTGGTAATGTAATAACCAAATTTGGAGATCTAATGTGTGTTGATTTGTTATGTTTTAGTACTTTTTGTTATCGTCTTTAAATTTATTAATGATTGCAGATTATTAGAATGGATACAAATATCTACCATGGGCAATTCCTTGCGACCCTATTAGTCATGGTAACGGTTAGTAATAAGATTTGAGCCGTTGTACTGTGGCAGAGAATAACGTTTCACTATTGACAACATTCTTTTGCTGATCTTGAACGCTATCATTCTCCATGCTGATTTTGGACATCATCTTCTTTTTTAACAGCTAAAATTACGGCGAACGACTCTAATTGCGCATCACGGGAGATCTCCTGTAAATTTATCGTTATTAATCTGCAGAAATATTAATAAATCGCGTTACTTGGGGCTCGAACCCCAGACGTCTTGGTATAGAAGCCAACACTATTGATCAACACTATTGGACCAAAGGGCTTATACAATTTTTCTTTCTGTTTTGTGCTATTTTTTTTTACCTTTTTTCAATTTAAGAATCATATATTAGATGTTTCTAGAGTCTATTAGTTTTTGTTGATCTAACCAGAGAATGGCAAGAAGTGCAAACTCCTCTTTTTAGGGAGGTGTGGTTGCATGCAGTTTTACCCTCACCTGGATTCAGCAACTCTCCTTTCATGGTCATTGTTAACACGGATGCGGCTTGGAATAGAGATTCAAAATCTGCTGGGCTTGGTTGGTTGGTCACTTCCCCTTTGGGACTGCTCATCTTAAGACACTCAGTCTTCTCTGATTTTGTGTCTTCATCTTATTGCAAAATGTCTTGCAATCCGTGCAACCTTATGTAATGCTTTGGAGCTCAAGTTTCAGGATTTAGTGTTACTTTCTAATTGCCAGGTCCAAGTAAAGGCTATTTGCTCTCGGTCTTCGCTGTTGGAAGTTCATGGTATTCTTTTAGATATCTTCTTTTGTTCGTTAAGTTTAAGCACTTTTTGTGCAAGTTTATCCCAAGGTCAGCCAATTGTGAGGCTGATTCTCTGGCCAAAGTGGCCTTTTCGGCGCTAGTATAATTGTTCTGAAAAGTTTAATATATTAACGGGTTGATAAAAAAAATATTAACTATGATACCTTTTAACGAAAAGCATTACCAATTTTTTAAAAAAATATTGATAATTTTAGTTGTTTTTCTCCCATAATTGTTTGGATAACTTTTTCTGGTGGATTTCACCATCACATATTAGTTCTATGTACTAATAAACTATGTCTTTCATAAAACTGAAGGACATTTATCTTGTAGAAGAATTATATATATATAAATTTTTAGTTGCTCGATTACAATATATTTATTAGGATTTCCCTTTAACTTTTACAGTAATTATCTTCTCAATTTTAGATATTTCCAGGACCTCCATAATTTAGTTTATTTATCATATGTGGCTCTGAAAATGTACCATCTATCAGGTTATAACCACGAGTGTTATCTGAAAATGCCTCTCTATCTATATTCTCAACAATCTTGAAACTTTCATCAACTATAGTTCTATTAAATATAATGGCATCATACCCTGTCCGTGCTACTGGAAAATGACCATTTCCCATCTGAGGACTCGGCATACTGGCACTATATACTTCTCCTCCCCACTCGATATTAGTGGCCGAACTCTCCTGAAATATTTTTTCTGGCCAATACCCAATATCGTGTCCTCCAAACTTGAGCCACCAGTTACCATTTGCCTTATCCTTTAATCAATAGTTACATCAAATCTAAGACATTCCCAGGTTTAATAATGTTATATCATTTATTAGTAAAAAACAAAGCATTTGCTCCAAACAATCTCCTAACTTGCCATCTTTTACTATTTTACTTTTTTTTTTTTTTCTATTTTACTTTCTACCTCCCAAAACTATTGATTAGATTAATTTCACAAAGTCAAATATAATATGCAATCAAACATGTCTACAATACAATATATTTTATAAATTATGATAAATAATATATCAAATAGAAATTATGCTAAAAACTAGGTTTGAAGATAGATGTTCAAATTATATTGTGTATTACATTTGATTTTATGAGATTTGCCTACTTTTTTGGTAGATAGAAGGTGAAATTTCAAAACTTTTGACTTGAGAAGTTTTTTTTTTTGTAGATAATTCAGTAACACTTTGAAGCATAAACTTGTTTACTTATAAGTAAATAATAAACAAGATAAACTAAAAAATATTTATAGATAAAAAAAATCTTGAAACATAAAGAAAGAAACTAATATAACCCACATACCTTGAATATACCATATTCACAATATACACCTACTGGAGAACCACGAATCGCAGGAGGGCCTAAATCCATACCCAGAGAAATGTCCGGACGGACCATAATGATCCCAACTGAACACATGTTGTTATAACATTGGTTTTCACCTATCTGTATAATTTTATAAAGCTTTATATGCATATGGTAAATATTTATATGTATATGATATTAGTTATTTTAGAAAAAAATATGGGATAAATAATAGACAATTCATGTGTACATTACTAGTAGTTTTACCTTCGCATACACAAAAGTTCGAGTTCTTTTATCAGAATACAACTTTGGGTTTACCTGAAATGTAAATAAATTTAAAATAAACATATTAAAGATAGCCATTTTGGTGGAACCTTTTCAAAATACCTTATCTATACATTTTCAAAAATACACCTGTTTAAATATGAAAATTATAAAATTTTATATTGTTTATAAGGTACTTCTAGATAACAACTACTACTGGGATATTCGATCTAAATTTATAAGATTTTAAAAGGTTTTAAATTGTTTTTACAAGGTTTACAAGATTTTAAAAGGATTTGAAAAGTTTTTAAAAGGTATTTATAAGATATTTGTATGGTGTTTATGAAAAATATATAAAATTTTAAACTCATATAATTTGTATATACATTTATAAGATTACTCACATATTGGATAGATGTTAACCTTTTCAATCGCTTTTCTTTATAAAGTTTGAAAAGAGGGTATTTTTAAAAAGTGGTATTTGGAAAAGAGTATTTTTGAATTTAATAAAGTATATATTTATCATAATTTCTTTATGCTGATAAAATCTAGAGCATATTTTACAACTCAAATCAAATATAAGATATGATAAAATAAAATAAAAAATGATATGATAACCATCTTACAGTCCAACCAGCTTGAATAAAATCATCTCCAATCTGAATGTGCATACGAGCTGAACTGTACTGTTCAAATTCAACTTTAGGATCATTTACTGTCATTATCATTGCTGCTCCATAGTAACTCTTTCCTTTTGTCTTTGTACGAGACACTGCAAACTAATATTCATCACCATATACATAATTAACATTTATTTTATCAGTTTGATGGTAAATATATATATGATTTGACATTGGTTTAGAATATAACAAAGATTAAACCACTTACATGATGTTGATTAGCATTAACATTATATTGGCTATAAGTGAAATTCCAAGAACCTTGAGGCCTAAATTTATCAGAGAACATATTAAGTCTCAAGAGTTCATCTTTTGAAATTCTCTTTATGGGTACAGTACCAATGGGACATCCTATGCCATTTTCCCACAAGTAACCAAATTTTTCATTATTTGATCTTGATTTTTGTAGGATTGGTGACTCCTGCATCTATATTTTAAATACTTTTTTTAATTAGTGATTGTTACAATAATCAAATTCACATATATTAGATATAAATTAATATATACCTTGTAATGGGATATGTGATTTTTCATCAATGGATGGTCAAACGCTGGTTGCTTATAAAAATCCACACATCCATATAAATCGCCTTGTGTAGTCTATCATCCATAATAAAATAGATTAGTGAATCTTTTGTAAACTTCATTGTTAGGATTTAAGAACATGCATATATTTGTATAAAAAAAATTATATAGACCTTAATAATTTGCATTGCAGGTTTGTTGATGACTTTAAGTTGTTCTTCAATTTCAAATTCGCTGAAATTTTTAAATATTTTAGCATCCACAAAATGATTACTGAGACTTGTGATATCGCCAAAATATACGATACAACCCAACAAAAATAACATCTTCAAATAACTTAATTTCATATTCCCTAAAAGAGAGTTGGGGTGAAAATGTAAGAGTAAATATATAGTTATAATTTATCATAATGACTATATATAATAATAAAATATATGAGACAAAATAAACATAAAGCACATTAATGATTACTAGATACATGCAACTTTTTAGTTTAAATTAATAACTAAATATGAATTTTCTAATTAAATTAATAAGTACATGTGACTTTTATGTGAATTTGTTAGATATATGCAACTTTAATTTTTATCTCATTTACTTCAATATAATTATATATATGGGTATATTGAAATTAACAAGACAAAAAGAAACTTAAATGCATTGATAGTCTAATTGATACTTATGACTTTTTTCATCAAAGTGTAATGATCAAAGGGAAAAATGTCAAAAAAATCATGAACTTTCAACGTTTAAATCCCTAACTTCTGAAATGCCATTTAAATATTATATGCTTAGAGCAACATTATTGATAGTATTTTAACTTATATTATATATTAAGATATTGTATTTGTATGTAATGTATGTATCTCTACAATCTAAGATGATCTCTGCGTGTGTTGATGATTAATATTCCAGGGGATAAATATTGGAGGCTATTAGCTTTTCCCATGAACAAGACCGATCGAGAGAGATGAAACAGAATTTGGGAAAAGATAATTTCTTCATTCAAGTATAAAATGAGATACAAACTAAGATTAAATACAAGTGAAACTAAACCACTATGCTAACCAAACTATACAAGAGACTAAACCAACTATATACATTCTCTAATAGAGACTTCATAGTCTATTAGTAGACTTTGCTGTGGCCGCAGCGCAAAATCATGAGCCCCCAATCATAGTCGCAAAAGGAAGATACCGAGTTCTTCTATCAAGTCCCATATCGAAAGATTGAAAAACAACATAGCTACATATATACAAGAGAAGAGTCATTAACTATCGCCGAGCTTTGTAACGTAAGCTTGTAATCCAAGTGGAGGCTTAAATGGTAATGGAACGTTGTTTCAGTACCTTTGGTCGGGCTCTGGATTAGGGTATATACTGATCTGCCCAATCCAAGTCAGAAGTTGAGTCATGTGGCTTAGGCGAAGGCTTGAGCCAAATGGGTTCTTAGAGTGGGGGGCAATGCGTGCTAGGCTGGTTTCACAGAACAGCGAACACCTCCCGTTTCTGGCAGTGGATGGACTACGGGTTAGATCCTTCCCAGTCCAATGTGGCCTTATGGTCTGATCACAATTGAACCATTACCTTTTTTTTCCGTTATTCGCTTCCTTGGTAGGGAAGTAATCAGATATTATAATCACAAAACACTATTCTAGAGATTGATACTACGGATGAGATTCACAATGTATATTCTGAATTACTTGAAATCAAAAGGCTCTGTTTCTGTGCTTTCAAAGTTCAAACACAAGTGATCAATGAATTTGGAAGTTTCTTATTAAATATGAAAATCTTTACAATAATCAAACCCAAAGATTTTCAAATTCAAGTTATTAATTACAGTCACCAATCCAAGTAGTAAAAATAGCATTAATCCATATTCTCCGACAGCAACCGAACCAGTTCAAGCATCAGTTTGGCTTCTTCCTTCACTGACACTATTTTCCTTTCTTATGTAGTATCTGTATATATACAAGCTACCTATAAACAAAAAGAATACAAAAATTTTAGCAAATCTTGAATTAGAGTATCCTGCATCTGTTTACAATTAGTTCAATCTCGTCTTTTCATATCGCCAAGAACATCAACAATGAATATGTCGAATCAAAGACTCTCTTGGAGCATAAATCAAACTTTATATTAGTGATATAGAAAAAGCCACTTTATATACACTATATGAAGATTGCTAGACGAAATAGTCTCGTTTCTTGATACAAATTTCTCAGCTGGGCATTTCATCAAACACCATAAGCGCATTGTAATAAAAAAAGTTTTAGACTAACCAGCAAGACCGAGATTGAAGTACAACAAAGTTCGCCGGAAGGATTTTGTCGGTTTCCATCCGGATTTGATCTGATGTTTTTGTCCAAAGGAAGATTTGTCCATTACAAAAACCCTGATTTTGATGTTAATCACTTAATCTCACAGTTGTTTGATTTCTTTTACTTGTGGAAATGGAAAACTTGATTTTGCCTAAACGTAAATTGCGACACAGACCGACACAAACCGATAAAATTTGGGCCGAAACGCAATCTTACAAATTAGGCCCATTTAACAAAATACGTAAAGCCCAATTTAGTTCTTAACTCGCAAAAACTACTCGTCTTCTAGAACTCTTTTAGTTTTTGCTTTGTTCCTTTTGTTCTTTGATCTTGTAGTGTGTGGTTTGGACGATCTATTAGCTTTAACTAATGCGGTTACATAGACAATTATCTCCCAAGTGTTTGTAAAGATATGAAAGACTCCAAACCAATCTTTCCCATTGAATACATGAGACTCTTTAACTCCAAATAACCACAACAAGAGTAACCTTAGAACAAGAGCTTGTAGAAAGACCCATATAGCTTAAGTTTCAACCTAAAAGACACACTACACAAGTAACTGAGTAAGATTGGCAAATCCCTAACCAAAACATATCAACCTTCATATGATTATTTGAGCAATACAGAGCAAAAAAATTCAATTTAAGGATGTGAAAGACACCAATCTCCCATCAAATACATGAGAGAGCAACCTAACAAGACCATATTAGATTACATAACAGAACTAGACCAAACAAGAGCAAACATCCATCATTGTTGGCTCCTAAAAGACACACTATACAACTAATGTTTTCCTCAAAGATCTAACTGAGTAAAATTGGCAAATCCCTAACCTATACATACCAATCTTCATATGATTATGAGCAATACAGATTACAGAGAAACAAATTCAAATCAAAGATGTGAAAGACACCAATCTCCCATCAAATACATCCAAACTCATCTTCAGACCCCAATCAATCACAACATGAGCAACCTAAATAGATCATCTAAGATTACAGAACAGAACTAGACCAAACAAGAGCAAACTTCCATCATTATTGGCTCCTAAAAGACACACTACACAACTAATGTGTTCCTCAAAGATCTATTTGAGTAAAATTGGCAAATCCCTAACCTAAACATACCAATCTTCATATGATTATGGGCAATACAGTTTACAGAGAAACAAATTCAAATCAAAGATGTGAAAGACACCAATCTCCCACAAATACATCCCAAACTCATCTCCAGACTCAAAACAATCACAACATGAGCAACCTAAAGAGATCATCTAAGATTACAGAACAGAACGAGACCAAACAAGAGCAAACTTCCATCATTCTTGGTTCCTAATAGACACACTACGCAGCTTGGTAAAGTTGGAAAACCCCTAACCTAAACACATCAATGTTCATATGATTATGAGCAATACAGGGAAGCAAATTCAAATCAAATTTATGAAAGCCACAAATCTCCCATCAAATACATGAGACTCATCTCCAAATACAACAAGAGCAACCTAACGAGACCATATAAGATTACACAACAGAACGAGACTAACAAGATCTAATAGAGTAAAATTGGCAAATCCATAACCTAAACATACCAATCTTCATATGATTATGAGAAACACAGAGACACAAATTCAAATCAAATATATGAAAGACAACAATCTCCCATCAAATAGATCAGACTAATCTTCAAGTACAACAAGAGCAACCTAACAAGACCATATAGATTACAGAACAGAACGAGACCAATAAGATCTAATTGAGTAAAATTGGCAAATCCTTAACCTAAACATACCAATATGTTCATATGATTATGAGCAATAAAGAGAAACAAATTCAAAAGACGAAATCACCAATTTATTCCAATTAGACATACTTGGTACTTATGTATCCATTGTATCAAACCCGATCAGATCCAAACACGAAACCAAAAACACACAAATCCTCACACACACCGATAGTTACATTTCATAATCCAATTCCAGATCTAAGAGACAACACGGCCAACGACGGGATACTTAGCTACAAACTTCGTCTCCCAATCATTAAGAGTGTTCATCTCTTTCTCAGTAAGACCTTCAAGAGAAGGAGAGATGTCTTCTTCGTTCTTACTCATCTTACCCAAGGCTCTGCTCGCGTCTTTCCCGGCGAACATTGAGTAATCGCCTTCGGGGCCGTAAAAGGATTTTCCGGTAGTGACGTCGAATACGCGGCCTTTGATTGCGACGTAGATCGGTTTTGATCCGTCGGTTCCGTTGTACTGGCTTAGCTGCTCAGCGGTGAACTCCATTTTTGGTTTTTCTCAAGCTCAGATCGAATGTTTCTGGAAAGAACCAAATAAAAAGTTATAAAGGTTGAGAGATACTTATACCAGAATCTATATACAGTAAAACCTCTATAAATTAATAATGTTGTGATCATGAAAATCTATTAATTTATAAATGTATTAATTTATCGATAAATTAATAATTATTAATTTATAAAGAGATTTTCCTAATTTGAAAGTTTTTTTCAAAAAAATATTTAAAAATGAGATTTAATCATGATAATTAGTATTTTATATAATTAATTACAAAGAAAATAATAATTATTATGTCTTTAAAGAGAATGCTAACAGTTTTTAATATAGTAAAATATTAGAAATAAAGTCTAACAAAAACTAATGTGTCTATATATACATATATTTTGAAAATTTTATCTAATTATTAATTTATAATATTATTGGGACCATATATTTACAAAGGATTTTCAAAAAAATTATTATCTTATTAATTTATCGAAATATGTCTAAAATTACACTGGTCCCAACTTGGGAACGGAGAAATTTATTAATTTATAGAGATTATTAATTTATCGAGTATTAATTTATAGAGGTTTTACTGTATATAAAGTTAACTTTTTCTCTCTTCTCCTTATGCCACATCAGCTGCCATATTATCATTCATCTTAATTTTTTACATTAATTTAGAATTACAACACTTTAGTTTTTAATTTTTTTTCTACCTCATACTTAGCCTTTATTTTATTTTTTATATTCAATAGTGGTTTTAAGAAAATAAATAATATAGTAAAATACATTTATGTCCAAAATAAATAAAACAAGTATCTATTTATAAAGTAAAGATCAATTTTTTGATTAATGGGGCTAAATACAAAAACAAAATACAAAACAAGGATATTTATATTATACATATAGATATACCACTAAATTGATGTCATCCGAAGCCACATCAAACGAGAACACAACCGATTTTATGCATAACAAGTAGAAAAAAAAACTAAAAAGTAAAATGAAAACACTTGGATAAATAAATAAGTGGATTCACCCGAATAATTTGGCTTACGAGAATTGAAGGCTTTTGAAATGAAAGGTTATAAGAGCTACTATTTGACATAAATCAAAGTTAAACGAATAACAATAAACATTTCATATACTAAATTAATACAATGACAACATTAAAAACAAAAAAATAAACAAAAAACAAAGAAAAATCAAAATATAAATTTTAAAATATAAAAAACAATTATAAAACTCCCGCGCGCAGCGTGGGTCAACAACTAGTAACTTTATATTTCTTTCCTCATTTTAAATCTTATCAAAATCGGGAATATTTATATATGTCAATATAGGAATAAATTTAGGATAAATTGCAAAATACTGTACCACTATTTCGGAATTTTATTAAATGAATATTTTCATTAGAGTAAATTTTATATTAAAAATAATAAAATTATCTTTATTTAAAAAATCGTGCACTTAAAAAGTCGGTAATTCAATAATGTGTAACCCAATATGCTAGTTACTATGAAGCAAAATATTATTCTTGAAAATATCGACTTTTAGGCTGATTTTGCATAATTTTAATAGTTTTTCTTGCCGAGCATATAATTCCCTAACTACATTGGCCAATATTTTGAATAAGAAAAATTATATATGTTAGCATCTCTAACATCTATAACATAGCTAAAAGAAAAAAGAATCTTTAAAATTAAGTGTCACAAAGTATTGCAACAATAACTTATGACATATTTTAGTTAATTTGGTTTTTGTTAATATGCAAAATTGTAACTAAAATATCTAATCTCTCTTAATTAGAATTTGTATATTGGTGTCATAAATAAATATATGAATTTTTCGTCAAATAAATACTCATTCCATTTGTATGTTTTTCAGTTTTAGGATTTTTTTTTTTTTAAAAAGGTTGTTTTCTAATTTTCTATGTATTATTAATTAAAATTTGCAAGTTTCAAACTAACTACTATTGGTTTAAATTTATAAAATAAACTGTAAATCACATAAAGATGAAATTATAATCAAATTTTTTAATTTTTTTAACATATGTAAAATCTATTATAGAAATATCAATTAATAATGTAGAAAGTATATGATTTGTTTTGTTTATAATGGCATAAATATATAATACCAAAAATTTTGGATAAATATTAGAGTTTGTCAGTTTGTAGATACAGTTTAGCTAAGATCTAGCTCTGTCCGAAACTTGCACATACATGATCTTCAACTCTATCGATCGCTTTTTACTTTTTTCACCACGGTAAAAGAGTTAAACATGTATGACATGTTCTCAAATATTTATGACATATTATAGATATTCTTACATTTTGGCATTTTAGAAATGTCTTTTTCCTTCAAAATATGATATTTTAGACAAAATTCTCTTTTATAATTGCGTAAAACTTTATTCCTAACACTAAGTTTCTAAACAAACAAAAAAAGTCTTTCGAATCCTTGTACACTTAACTGTAAAAATACATGTTTAATAGATTGTAAAATAATATAGCAAATCTAAATTTAATATAACTTTTCTAATATTTGTATAATATTCTGTAATTTTATTTAAAATCAATTTGCAAAGCGTTCTTGTTCTGGCGCTGTTGTTGCCCTCGCCGTATCCGAAAGCAAAGTGTTCTTGTTCTCCAATTTTGGTTTTTGCTTGTCGGGTCATGAATTCTTGGTTACCGGTTTGGAGAGATTGGCTCTCATATTGATAGGAAGAGGTAGATGTTATCAGCTCGGGTTGGCCGTAGGCAGCCTTGATAAGTCTCATTCGCTGGTTTGTTGCCGAGAAGAGGTCGTTTTTGCGTTCTTCGGTTCTAGTTCATTTTCGGTCCTAAGTCAGTTTAGTTTTGTTGAGTGTTAGGGTTTAATCTCTTTCGATTTCAGTTTTAAGTTTGTGTTGTATCTCAAGTTGTTAGTTTCGCTCCCGGGCAGAGCCGCCCCAAGTCACAAGCTAATGAAGCATGTGCTTGCGGCCCTCTTACATTTATTTATTTTTCAGCCCTTAATTTACTAATAATCTCTTATAGCTCTATTGGTTTAGTAGTAGATAGTGGAATAAGAGTTAGTGTGTTCGATATTCCATACTTCAAAAAAACATTTTGGCCTTTTTTTTGGTTTTTAGCTTGTAGCTCTAAAATATTTTGCGACGGCTCTGCTCCCAGGAAAATCTAGTTTTCCTCCGGCTTTTTTTCGGGGATATCTTTGTCGTCCGCCGGCTGTCATCTCCCTCTTTTGGGCGTTTGTATTCTACCATGTTTACACCTCAAGTTTATCAATGAAATTTTTAGTCGACAAAAAAAAAAATTAAAATCAATTTATTTATATTACCACCGGTCGATGCCTTTGAATTTGAATCAGTTATTTTAACAAACCGGACTTTGATGTGCCCACTAAACCAATTTCGCTCTTTCGAGACTTTTCTCCTCCTCTAGTCTTTCCAATTTTGGTAAGCGCCGCAAACAAAAGCAAAATTTGCAAACACAAATTTGTAAAACTCGAAATTCAACTTTGAAGAAGAAGAAGAAGGAAATGACGATTTGCATGTGTTGCGATTCACACCTAGTAACGAAACCAATTTCGAATCCATGGAGTTTTCCGAGGAGAACGAAGCTAGGTTTTGTACAGATCCGTCGCCGCTTTCCCGATATTACCGTCAAGGCTTCGGCGGTGGATTCACCTGAGAGTTCTTCAAATTTCGCTAAGCGTATGGATCAAGCTTGGATTATCTCACAGGTTTCGTTTTCTCTCCGAGATTTGTTTAGTATTGCTCTCTATACTTGTTAATTTTGATGCGTTTGGTTTTAGTTGAATCTGAGTAATATTTGTTGGATGTGATTTTCGGATTATGTACGATTGAAGAGCTATGTGCAGTTTTGTATGAGATTAAGAACTTGGATTTGTGATAAGTATGGTAAAATTCAGATCAAGAGGTGAATTAGAATCAGAAAGTTCTAAAGGTCTTTTGTATCTAGCTGTTCTAAAGGTTCTAAAGTTCTAAAGTTCTAAAGTTCTAAAGGTCTTCTGTAATTGCAAAGTATCTTTGGGTTTGTTTAGGGCAAAGAGAAGTGTGTATTTGTTTACAAAAGATTTTGTTCACAGTTTCATTTGGTTTGTACCTTTTGTCTTATGTTCTTGGTGATCTCTGAGGGATGAGTCTTAAACAGAGTAATCTCGCAATTGCATTGTAGTTTTGTTGTAGCTTGCTTGTACAATTCTTGAATTCTCTGCTTATTCTCTTATATTGCTTTCAAAGAATCTATCAAAAGTTAAGACTTACAAGCCTTTCTTCTATTATTTGCCGTATAGTCGAATTAAACATTGAACTTTCGTGTGTTGTTCTTTACAGTTTAATAGATCGTTTTTTTGTATCTATGTGTCTCAAGATTTGCTTTTTTCACTGCAGCAACCAAGTCCTGTTGGATGTTCGTCGTGCAATGCAAAGGGTCATGTTGAATGCAAATGGTGTGCGGGGACAGGATTCTTCATACTAGGTGATAACATGCTTTGCCAAGTACCCTCAAGGAATACTTCTTGCGTGATCTGCTCTGGACAGGTTTGTAATAATCCAACTCAATAAGCATATAGACCAGTATGTATCTTCCGGGTTATAGATCTTCTAAGGTTATGAACTTTTGATTCGTTCATTGGTTATAGGGCTCTGCTTGCTGTAGGGATTGCAAAGGAACTGGGTTTCGTGCCAAGTGGTTAGAACAGCCTACAGTGCCGTCGTAGCTGATGAATACGTGAGGGTTTTCCAAATCTTTGATGATTGTTTATGGAGCTAGAATGTGTATATCACTTTATATATATATTGATTCGAGTTGAATCTGAAGTAGATATGCATATATCTTTATACATGTGTCGTGTATATATGTTCATTTATTCTTTGTGCAATAGTAGTAGCAAAGCATCGTCTTCGTATTTCTTTTGACCTTTCCATGTGCTAAACGTAAACCATATGTGCAGCTTCGTTACCGTCGTTGGATATGGTATGGCTGTAAATAAGTTGTTAAAACGAAATTCAAACGAAATCGAATTTTGATTCTCTGTTCCTGGATAATGGGTTACTTACTTCGAAAGCCGAAGTTACGAAACTTTTAAAAATGTTGAAAAGGAAAAATACAAATTGAATTCTGGTAGTAACAAATTGAGTTCGTGATAGAAAAATACATAACAATTGAAAGCTGACTTGGTCGAAAATATATGGTAGAAATTTGAAATTAATAACATAATTAATGTATTTATTTTTTTGTATGATTTTCATATTTATATTTGCTTCTATATTATGTTTGTTTAAAACTCATGTTTTGTTTAAAACTTTATAAATGAAATAATTTAAAAATTATGTCTTTTTAAAAAATAATTGAAAATATATATTTAAAGAACCACATGACTCTTTCCAACTACAAATTTAAAAACTCCAACATCATTTATTTACTTCCAATTTTACAAAATTAATAATATAAATATTATCAAGAACTCCAAATGGATCTCTCTTTGTGGTATTATATTTTTAACTGTGCTGATGTATCACACTACATAAATACCTGAATATATTTTCACCTATAAACTTAGAAACCCATATTAAGGCCCATTGGAGATTAAACCCCATAAAATGCCCATTAGGTTTTATTTTTGCTGGCATCGTCCCCATATTTTTAAGAGCTAGTGAGAGAATTTCGTCACACAGAAGGAGAAAAAAAAAAAAAAAAAATGCCGGCGGCGAAGCAGAGAACTCCGAAGGTTAACCGCAACCCTGACCTAATCAGGGGTGTCGGCAAATACTCAAGATCTCAGATGTACCACAAGAGAGGTCTCTGGGCTATCAAAGCCAAAAATGGCGGTGTTTTCCCCCGTCACGATGCTACTTCTAAGGTCGTTGCTCCGGTGGAGAAGCCTGCCAAGTTTTATCCTGCTGAAGATGTTAAGAAGCCACTCGCCAACAAACGCAAGCCTAAGCCTACCAAGCTTAAGTAAATCATAATCCATTTCACTTCCTTCGTGTTAGAATGGTTTTAGATCTTGTGAGAATGGTTTAATGTAGGGTTCATGTAGATTCTGTAAACAATCATGTTACACTTTGATTTATGTATGTGTATTAGTCAAAATACTTATATGGTTTTTGCATATGTGTATGTGTTGCAGATCTAGCATCACTCCAGGAACTGTGTTGATCATTCTTGCTGGTAGGTTTAAGGGGAAGAGAGTTGTCTTCCTCAAGCAACTTTCTTCTGGTTTGCTTCTTGTTACAGGTGTGAGTTCTTATCTCTTGGAATAGTCTTGGTTCGATTTGCTTTGGTTGTTGTTCAATTTGGAAACTTTGTTGATACATAATGTGTTGCAACGTTTTTCTTGGTTCGATTTGTTTTGGCTGTTGTTGTTGTTCGATTTGGAAACTTTGTTGATACATAATGTGTTGTAACGTTCTTCTTGGTTTGTTTTGTTTTGGCTGTTGTTGTTGTTCAATTCGCAAACTTTGTTGATACATGAATGTGTTTGTTGATGATTTTCATCATTTCAGGACCATTCAAGATCAATGGTGTTCCATTGAGACGGGTTAACCAAGCTTACGTGATTGGAACCTCAACAAAGGTTGATATTTCTGGAGTTGACACTGAGAAATTTGATGATAAGTATTTTGGAAAGGTTGCGGAGAAGAAGAAGAAGAAGACAGAAGGCGAGTTCTTCGAAGGAGAGAAAGAAGTATGTAAACAAACACAATACATCTTGTTCGTTTAGTATTGGATTATGTATTGACAGCGATTGTTTTTGTCTTCAGGAGAAGAAAGAAATCCCGAAAGAGAAGAAAGAAGATCAGAAAACCATTGATGCTGCTGTGATCAAATCTATTGAAGCAGTCCCTGAGCTCAAGATTTACCTTGGTGCCAGGTTCTCTTTGAGTCAAGGAATGAAACCACATGAGCTTGTTTTCTAGATTTCATTTTGTTTCTCTTCAAGAATATCAACAGCAGATTTTGTCATAATAGAAGCAAATTCACCAAAACTAGTATCACCATCTCCATTTGTATCTGCGTCTTTAATCTTCTCTGTTAGTTCTTTATACGTCAATGGTTTGGCCTATCTTTGCCATCGCTCCAGCAAGCTCGTAAAAGAAAATGTCGTAGTAATTGTTTGGAATTGATTAGTATCTCTTCGTTCAGAATAAGGAAGAATTGTGCCAACAAGCTCAAATTACATCGTTGAATAGATTTGAAGAAAAGAGAACACTCCCCACAACACCATGACTATAGTCAAGAAAACAAACTTCGAATAAATCGATTAGAGATATTGATGATGATCAAGACGAGTAATCCTCAAATTATGCTTGCAATAGTTATGCCTACTACTTCTTCTACTATATTGCGCATTGTACTTCTTAGATACATGCTTTGATACCAAATTATTTAAATATCTACAAATTAAAGTCTTACTTAGGTCGATCAGTGTTTATCTGTAGCAAGAATTTGGTGTTAATGTGTATGATTTGAAGTTGATAATAAGAAAATGCTTAAAAAATTATTTAACTTTCATCTTCTTATGATGTTACATTTTTTGTGTAGTTGGGAATTATTAATCATTTATAGTTTTTAATATGTCAATTTTTTAATCTATAATTTTATATTTTAAAAATATTTTACTATGTTTTCTTCATATTTTTTTTTACGTTTTCCATGGTTTTTGCTTACTTCTAATCATTATTTATTCTGATTATTCAAGTTATGTCTAGAACACTGAAATATTGAAAAAAAAATGTAGTCACATTGAAATCCATTCAAAATATTAATTTGATGTTTTGGATATATTTGATAGAATTTTATCAAATTAATTAATCAATTTAATACTTCATTGAAATTTTAATTCAAAAATGAAAAGAACAAGAACGATGGAGATGAGTTCGTCTCGAGAATTCTTGATATAATATAGACTACAAGAGGGTAGTAGAAACGTGACAATATCATATCTCAATTACCTCCAAACATCAAATTACTATCTATTGTATCTTTGGATTAATCATCATAGTGGAATAATCTTAAAGAGTGAATGGATCCTTGGGCAGCTGTCCCTCTGTCCACCATACTTAAGATTTTGTATTTCGTCATAACTAAAAAATGGCAATGCTAAAAAGTACATTACAATTGTTTATGACTCATTATACAACACATATCTATTTCAAATTGTTATTTTGTTCAAGATCATGAATCTGATAAATCAAAGCAATTAAATTACTGGGAAAATGTCATTAATTCATGAACTTTCAAATTTACGCCACTTTAAATCCACTTACTTTCTATGTAACCATTCCAAACATGAGCTTGTCGTTAACTTAGTTTTATAACATCATCTTTCGTTAACCGCGCCAAAATGAATTTCATATCTTTAATTTATCCGTAGAAATTTTTTGTATGTTAATAGTATGATTTAAAGCAAGTGCACTGGTTATACGTCCCACCAAATTTTTTTTTTTTCAGTTTTTTTTTTATTTTTTTTTAAAAAATAGAAAACCAATTGCGGGTCACCACGTGTCAGTGGGGCCCGCAAAAAGTGGACAACAACAAACATGACCGTCCAGATTGAGAGTACGTCCCCCTTTCTTTTCTCATTTTTTATATTTTTTTTTACTTTAAATTATGTAGAACGATGGAATAAGCTGCCATTGCACTTGCTCTTAGGGAAAGTTTATGGTTTAAATGTGGTTTTTGGGAAGATTCATGTTTCAAATAAAACCTTGATGTATTAAATAGTCTTAGGGAAAGTTCATGGTTTAAAATGTGGTTTTTTGGGAAGGTTCATGTGTCAAATAAAACCTTGATGTTATGAATTAATTGGTCTTAGGGAAAATTAAAGTTCATGGTTTAAATGTCGTTTTTCGCAAGGTTCATGGTTCAAATAAAACCTTGATGTCAGAATTAGGGATATTTATAAGCCCTAATCGTATATTTTTCTTTCACTCGCCACCTCTGTTGGCAATAGCTATGAATCACTTAGCCAAACCACAGTCGAAAAAAAGGAAAACGAATCAACCTCCTCCATCATCGTTTTTGTCTCTACCAGATGTCATCATCCTAAACTGTTTATCTCGCATATCAAAATCATACTACCCTAAACTCTCCTTAGTCTCCAAAACCTTTCGTTCTCTCCTCCTATCCACTGATCTTAACCTAGCTCGGTTTCATCACAAAACACAAGAACGTAGCTTCCATGTCTGCTTAAAGTTTCCCGACCGTCCGCATCCCTCTTGGTACACACTATGGATAGACAAGGAGGAGAAGAAGAAGTCTACTTTGGTACAAGTACCCTCGTCCTATACTTCTAGTGCAGCACTGTTCTTGGTTAATGGTGGTTCTTATGATTATGCATTCAGACAAGCCTATCCTCCCTCTAAGGTCATGTTGGTTCGTAATAAAGATTCTTGCATATGGCGTTATGCTCCTAAGATGACTGTAGCTCGAGCTAATCCCATTGCGTGTGTCTTCAGGAGGAAGATATATGTAATGGGAGGTTGTGCTGATGATGAATCTGTGAGTTGGGGTGAGGTTTTTGATATAAATACTCAAACTTGGGAACCTTTACCAGACCCTGGCCCTGAGCTACGCTTCTCTACAATGATCAGAGAGATTCAGATCATCCAAGGGAAGATTCACGTTAAGAGCAATGAGAGCAAGGACTCTATCTATGATCCCAATAATGGTAATTGGAACGGTGTAGAGAAAGTTGTTGTGAGTGAGAGTACGTGTGTGGTAGATTATGTCTTGTACTCTTGTCGTAAGAACAGTTGTTTGTGGTATGACAATCGATGTAAGGATTGGAGACTTGTCAAGGGTTTGTCTTCACTGAATCGAACTTGTCGTAGTGGTTTAATTGAAACAGTTAAACTCGGTGGGAAAATGTTACTCTTGTGGGACAAGTCTACAAAGCCTGGCCGTGGTATTTCTGAAGAGAAGCATATTTGCGGTGCACTGATCGCGTTCGAAAGGCGCAAATATGGTCAGGTTTGGGGAAAGGTTGAGTGGTCTAATGCTTTGCTTACGGTTCCTAGTTCATATAGCTTCTTGCGTTCTACTGTAATACGGACTTGATCAATTATGTATTCAAAAAATATGTATTCAACTAGATAAAGATTTGTTCTTTTCACATTAATCCATTTATCATATGGTTTTTATGTTGCCAAGGAAACAAAAGTAATTTCAAAAAGAAAAAAATAAGCTAGCAAGATACTAGCCTACAAGTTTATTTGATTCACTTTTCTTCCCTATTGAAAACCCATAAAAAAAAAAAATGAAAACAATTTTTGTAATCAGAAACAATTATTCCCATTGGCAAAACTATAAATACTTGAAAGACCAGAAGACATGTTCATGTAAGGATGAGGAGCTGTGGCTACTTTGTTGTCCAAGAAACCATAAACATCTTCTTTCACCTCAGTATAGGGAGCCATATTTGCCACAACAGTCTTCCTCAACTCTTCCAATGCATTTTTCATTTCTTGTAACTGAAACATATTCATCTCCTCTACTGGCTTTTCCCACCAATTGGTCGCGGACCGCCTCACGCTAGCTTTTCGTATTTCTTCCATTGCTTGACCTTTCTTCTTCTCTTCCTCTACCTCGCTCAAAACCTGCGTTAACTGCATGTTCAGCTCGCAGCCGGCCGCAGGGTTTCCTTGCGGTTGTTGTTGCGTCGTCTGAGCTAAAGACATGTTGTTTCGGGACATGTACCGATCCAGTACTGATTCGACACTCGGATGGCCGAAAGAGAACGGCTTTTTCGCAGGCGAAAACACGATGATCCCAATCTCTGCACCACACAAGGTGCAAAGCTCACTAGCTTTCTTGAAAAGACCGGCTCTACGTTTCGAGAACGTGACTTGCCTGTGGCTCTCTTTCTTTATCTTAACCATTGGGATCTTTTGTCTTCCGATGCTCTCTTTCTTCTTGGACATCATACCTTTTTTTTAATGGTGGGTGTTTAGTTTTCTTTCTTTGTAGGTAAATTTGGTGGAGATGATGGTTGCTTATATATACATGGTTGAGTCTAGTGTAGCATTATTATGAGATCAACTTGCAAAGTTGGTGATTTATTTTTATTTTTGTAACATCCATTTTGTAATTACTGGTTTTGTCTTTAATTAGATAATAAAATACTAAGATTTGTGTAAGTTATAAATCTTAATTTGGTATTGCAAGGATATATATTTCTCTACTTTTTTTTTATAATTATCTTTTGTATTATAAAAAAATAAATGATTGTCCTAATGAGTGATTCTTTTATGTTACAAATAAAAATGTTGTCCTAATGAGTGAGACCAGCGTGGCATTACTAGGGGATCAGCTTGCAAAGTTGGTAATTGTTTTTTTTTTCTTTTCTTTTTTTGTAACATACATTTGTAGTTACTAGTTTTGTCTTTAATTTTTAGGATAGATAATAAAATACCAAGATTTGTGTAAGTTATAATTATTTCAATTTGATGCAATGATTTTTTTCCTTACTTTTATTATTGGCTTGTGTATAAATGGATGATATATTGTCCTAATGAGTGGGGTTTTTATGTTACACAAAAGGTTGCAAATCAAAACGTATGTGTACACATGTTAAAGTATTATGCAAATAAAAATATATTTTTTTTGTCAATAAAAATATTGTTTTAAGTTATTAATGTTGATGTTTACTTGTTTTTCTTTTGATACACAAATTCATATTTTAATCTAGAAAGTATGACAACAATAGTTTATCTTAAGTTTTAACTTCTTTAAAAAACTCATTTTTAATTGGAGTCTATGGGTCTGAATGTTGAATGCGTATTTGACTGTACGTAAGAATCGGTTTTAATATACGGTACGGTTCAATTGCGGTATTTAAAAATTTTTTTTGCAGAAAATGCAGTATGCTATGCTTTTGCATCCCTTTGAGGTTTATGATTAGGGATTGGTAAAATATCCGATAGATTCGCTTTGATCCGTTATTTAATTCAATTTGATTTAAACAATTCAGATATGTGTAATCTTATGAAGCGAACAAATTATTAAAAGTTTACATGTATAGCAAGATGTTTAGATATATAAATCGACATGTAGTTTAACGCCTCAGTTTTCACAATGTATCCAAATCAAACCCATGTAAAGGCCTTTTATTTGAATATATAAATAAGCTTATGTTTTCCCAAATGAAAAAAAAAACTTATATAAGTTGCACGAGACATGGTCAATGACCTCGAAAAAGAAACTCTACTCAGAGAATAAAAAAATAGAAATAAATAAAGGAAAATAACAAAATCAAAGTATCATTTATTCGCATAATTGAAAAAAACATATAAATCTTCTGAAAATTTTAAAAATAATATATCATTCCCCTTTTTTGGATCTCCTTTTGATTTTTAAGTTATATTTCTTATAACGTAATTTAATTCTGCAAAATCAAAACCCTAAAATTTTTCCACAGCTTATAAAAACACTTTTGTCTCGTTTGTATTCTCTACATTTTCCACTTCTCCTCTATTCGATACATGTTTCCATACCACCTTATAAACGTAACAAAAAATTTTGCCACCCCCTTGAAGGTATTTTACATAAATCATTCTAATCCCTTGACATGGAGGTCCTCCACAGACAATATGCACAATTTCTTGGGTGTTGTACTATTTATTGTGTGGAGGGCTTTCAAGTTAAAGAATTTGGATGATTAGTGTAGTAGTTAGAATTATATGGCATAATGATGTGAGATCTATCATTCTTCCAAATCTTGGTAAGAATTAACTTGCTTCCACCCCAATTTACAAAGTGTTCATTTGGTGGCAGCTTCATGAGTTGGTAAAGGATAAGGATGCATGCGAATTTTCCTAACCAAAATTTGGAATGGATGCTAACTGCTTATATCATTCCCTCATGAAGCATATAAAGAGCATACATGTTTTATCTTAAGATCTATTTAGACGATCCTTAATAAGGGGGAAAAACACAAAATACTCTGATTTCAAGCTATTATATATGTAAAATCAGTTTGCCATCTTACCAGTCCATCAAGTCTTAAGAAAATAGCTTAGTTAAGAGCAAGTACATTGGTGTACCCACACCAAAGTCCCACATAATTTAGGATTAAAAAAAATCAAAAATGAAAAAAAGGGAGGGACGTACTCAAAAACGGAACGGTCCCGTGTGTTGTTGTCCACTTTTCGCGGGCCCCACTAACACGTGGCGGTCCGCGATTAGTTGTTTTTTTTGTTTTTTTGTTTTTGTTTTTAAATCGTAAAAGAAAAAAAAAATTTGGGACCAAAGCAAATTCCACCAATGTAAATGACCTTATTCAAAGTTTGCCTCACACTATTAGAAATTATTCTGACTTTTAGAAATAGATAACACCTAAAGTCATAAACAACCCCAAATATGACAGTAGCAAAAACGAGTTGTATTACGTAATTTTGGGTTTGGTTGATAAAGTTTTACATGGTTCATTTGTAGAAAACACAAAAATTATGACCTATGAGATTATGCCATCTGAGAAAATAATGACTATCACCTATTAAATTAGTTATATAAGTTATAAACTATAACTTAGATAGTTGTCACTCTAAGCTATTTTTCATTTTATTTTTCTATTTACAAACTTAATCTAAGAATCATTTAAACTTTCTATAACTTATTTTCTTATTCCATTTTTTCATCTAATAAATCTTAGGTGGCCTATTAGCCTTTTATTATCTATATTTTCTCCTTGCCTAACTAATCTAGCTTACCATAAATTTTTAACAGCTTGAATCTATCTTGTGTTTATTTTTTTGGGGGGCAAACGAATCGATCTTGTCTTTAATCTACTGTTTTTGTAGAGATATATATGATGAAGATAATATGAACAATCCCTATATTAGTAAAAGAGAAGTACAAAAAATGCTTCCGGGTCGGGTCAATTTAAGAAAATTACCCGAAATTTATAATTGGATCTTTTAAAGTTGGATAAATTAATGGGTTTGGATACATACATCGGATACTTTCTAAATCTAATTTTAGGATTGTATTATTTCCATAACTAATTATAGGATTTACTAATATTTCTCTAATTAATTTAATAAAATCTATTTAAAAAATCTTATTCTTCTTTCACTTTTATTTAATATTATTTTTAATTTTTTGATATTATACTATATAATATAAAAATTTAAAAAAATTTAACTTTTTTTGCATATGTTGCAATTTGAATTTTTCAAAACGGGCATGTAATACTCAACTACACTCGGTTAAATATTTTGGACAATGGTTTAAAATCATTATAAGTATGACCAATATTAAAACCATTGTTACATGAGCATATTTAAAATTTCAAATAGTTTCAAAATATCATAAGTAAAAGGTTCAAATATATAAAAATTTAAAAATTTAAAATATTGAAATATTTTTTTGAAGACATAAATGTAATTTTGGAGACATAATTTTTATTGATAAAATATATTATATATCAAACTATGTAAATTTTAGATAGTTCACGGGTCGTTTGTTAAAATCACAATTATAATGATAAAGCGAGTTACGAATAATGTTTTTTTACGAAATGAATTAGGTTACGGGTTGGACCTTCAAAAAATATATTGTATATGTAATTTTTACGTATATTCCTACTTTTACTACAAAAATGGTCAAAATGAATAATTTATCGACAAATATTATTTTCATACTGTTAAATTTTCACCGTGTTTTTAATTGTATCAAAACTCAGTATATGATTATTTACTCGCTTTTTCTTTATTATTTTATTTAAACTTATTATACAAATATATGATTTATCATAATCGACTGCACTGTAACAAAATTAAAATATAACATATTGTAATCCGTTAAAAGTTATATATATGTAATTATTTCCCCCGCGCTGTAGCGCGGGTCCGAACCTAGTGGTTTCAGAAGAGAAGAGAAAAACACAAAAACTTGCAGTCGCATATATATTGGAACATTTAATGGTTCATTGATTTGTAAATGCATATAGGATATAAAAGTTCTTACTGATTTTGAAATTAAAACATATGAATTATGAAATAACATATTTTACTCACGGATACAAACCTCTTAATATTTCTTCTCAAATTCATTTGAGATCTATTGTGAATTATCTATTGTGAATTTTGAAATTGTTAAACAAATAGTACATGATTTTAACTAGTATGTAGAAATCACTGAATGCTACATAACATATGTAGGTTACGGGTTGGACCTTCAAAAAATATATTGTATATTATTGAAACAAACGAAACTAAACCAAACACAAACCGAATACGAATACCGAACTCAAACCGACCCCAAAGATAAACCGAAAAATAAATCGTAATTGTCCGGTTCAATTTCCGAGTCGGTTAGTTACTGACGGTAACATACATAACCCAAGAATTTTTCCTCTTCTTCTTCTTCTTCCTCTCTCGCTTTCTCGAAAGAATCATCTTCCAATGGCGAACGAAGAAGACAAAGCCCTTGAAGACCTTCTTGACATTCAGATAAAGGAACAAAAGGAATCTCTTTTCGCCATTAACGAAGCCCTAGCTTCTGACCCATCTAATCCAGAACTCCTCTCGGTAAAATCTCTTCTCTGAAAATCAAATCCCTAGATATCTGGAGAACTAAGATTACTACGATTCAGTACCAATACTCCCCAAAAAATCAAAAATTTGGATTGTTCTTTGTCTAGAAATTATAGATTATGGTATCAATTAGTCCAATGCTGTTTGTTCCAGAGTAGTTAAAGGTGAAAGAATGAGTTGGATACTTACTTTCATGTGTGTGGTTTTGTGTTTCTTAAGGTCCATGAAGAGCTTCTCGAAGCAATCAAGGAGGCAGAGGAAGGGCTTTTTCAGTTAAAACGTGCTAGGTTATTGCAGGAAGCTGATATAGTGCTAAATGGTCTGATTCATGATGCTGGTGGAGTTGAAGCTGAGGATAAAACTGAAATGGAACCAGAGAAAATTGAAGAGAAGAAGGATTTGGATGGATCGAAATGTAGGTTTCGACATACTGATGGTCGTTGGTATAATGGTCGGATTATTGGGTTTGAAGGCTCTGATACTGCCAAGATCTCTTTCCTTACACCTACATCTGAGAGTATGACGGTGAGAAATTTGTAGTCTTTACTCTGATTTCTTATGTTTTGTTGACAAATCCTTTTACAAAACTATGTTATCCACATGATCAATTGGTTAGTTTTTAATTACAAGAATTCTTATTAAGAACATGGTAGTTTGTGTTTGTGTTACAATAGTCATAGGAATCGGGTTTCGGAAAGCTAGGGTGGCTAGAGTTTACTAAAATCCTAAGTTGTGCTTGTCTATGTAGCTTAAATAGGTTTTACTGCAGGCATTTAATAATGGATGTGAAAGACTAGTTTTGAGATTGTTACTGTTGGCATTTGGTTCAATTGCTGTTTTGTGTCTGAGATACTAACGCTGCACCGGTCGATTGCAGATGTGCAAGTTTTTCATGGAACAGAGGTGCCGGTTTGGCAGTTCGTGTCGTTCATCACATGGTATGTTTCAACTTTCAAGTATAATTAGATGATAATAATATTTGTCGCTGTTGTTTATGTGTTGTATGTTCATAGTGTCCCTACATTAAATTTGCCGAAGTCGGGAATGTAGCCAATTTGTCATTCTGGTGACTAACTGCAAGATATCAATGCAGGACTAGATGTGCCGTTATCTTCTCTGAAGAACTACGAACAGACTGAGTGGAAAGAATCGATTGTAGGCTCTACGATTTGGGCGGTTTCTGGTAGTAAATACAACATATGGAGGAAGGCTGAACTTGAATCATGGGATGATGAGTTACAAGTTGGCAGAGTTGTTTTCAGAGATGATGGAAGCTCCGCAAAGCTAGGATCTAATTCTATGGCATTGTCAGAGTACGCTCAGATGACTGATGATGACGGGGAAGAGGAGGAGGAGGACGAAGAAGGGAGTGCTTCAGATTCTGAAGAATCTGTTTCAAGTGATTGTGATGAAGAGTCTCCACAAGGCATAGGCTTTCTAGAAAACCCAAATCAACCAAGAGGCATCCAAACTGACACCGCCTTATTTGCTAAGTGGGAGAATCACACAAGGGGAATAGCTTCGAAGATGATGGCAAGTATGGGCTACCGTGAAGGGATGGGTCTTGGTGCCTCTGGCCAAGGGATATTAAATCCTGTCTTAGTAAAAGTACTCCCAGCAAAGCGGTCGCTGGATTATGCTCTTGAACATATCAAAAACGGAGAAGGTAAATGCGAGAAACAGAAGAAGAAAAGGAGCAGAGGTGGGAAAAGGAAGCGTGGGAAAAAGTTTGCAGAAGCAGCGAGAGCAGCAAAACAAGAAGAGGAATCGAAGCCAGATATGTTTAGCTTAATCAACGAACGAATGAATTATACACGCCAGGAGAAAGTAAAGAGCATAGAGTCTGGAAAAATGAAACAAAACAATGGTCCAATAGACAGGAAAGATCTGGTTGCATACGAAGACGAAGTCAAGGACTTGAAGTCGGAGCTATGGAAACTAGAACAGATGGTGAACAGAAACAAGAAAGATAAAGTAGTTTCAGAAGCTGCAACGAGAAGATTGAAAGAAATCCGAAAGGCATTGGCAAGTACATTAGCAGCTCAAGCAGCTGCCTCCATTGCAGTAGAAAGCAAAGAAAAAGAGAAGAGATGGCTCAAGTTTTAGAACATAGAACCTTGTATCAGTTTAACAGAAATTTCATGGTTAAACTGTATCATTTATGACAAACACAGGAACCTTTGAATTATAATTGCGTTTACAAGCAAAATGGTATTCCATGGAATACATGATGTTGGAAGAAGAGGAGACATCACAATATGCATTTTCATAATCTTCTGTGTGTTCTAATGAAGTTATTGGTGTTTAGTTCTATAGCTCTTAAGCAAGCATAAGCCACGGCTGAACACAACGCTGCTGAACCTAACAGGACAGCCTTCCACTGTCTACTAACCACAAGAATGGCCAAAGTCGTCAAAACCAGTGCCGTGGCAGAGAGGATATTTTTCCAGAGCTCAAAAGATTTGATTACTTTGCTGCAGCTTCTACAATGGATAATATGTCTGAAGTACCGGTTAGCCAAATTGGGAGCGTGCATAGTTCCTATTCCTCCTTTTGCAGGGTAAGAAGCCGAAAGAGCTGCAATGAGCCCTGCTGGGGCGTGTTCCACTACTGGAGGAACCTTGGGGAGAGATATGGTCCTATGCCCGAAATGATAAGGCATCCCATGACCAACTTTGTCCATCCATTTTCTATACTCAGCAACCCATGTATCAGATGACTTAAGATTTAAATACAAATCCTTAGTTGGTACTTTCTCCTTCATCAGAACCTCGTTTTGAGACGATAGGAACCCCATGTCTTGTTCAAATACCTTGCAGGCGTTCTGATGCCAAAACCATTGAGGTAACACTGAAACCAAAGGTGATCTTTTCGTGACCCCAAACCTAACAATAAGCATAGACTTCCCTTGCCCTGTAGGTCTACAAAGAAACAGCCCTGAAAAGTAATTCTTCACACCGTCCTTCCCTTCAAATTCTCGATTGTTCTGCAGAACACATGGAGCATCAAACCGAAGTAAATTACTCCCTTTACCGCCTTCTTTCTCCCGTCCCCAAGTCCCTGCGAAACCCCGGTTAGTCCGCTCAGTGACCTCAAAAACCAGAGGCTGAGCATCTTCTCTTTTAGCAGTGAAGTCAGTTCTATCATGAGAAATAGGGACATGAGCCGGATCCATCAGATTCTCTAGAAGAATGGAATGGTCATAAGGAAGCTCATGAGTCGTCGATATGTCGAAAAAACCCGGTCTAGCAAAATGCTCAAACCAAGGAAGCTTTTCAGGGTTTGGAGGTGTCTTTGTTGACATCCACACCCATACAACTCCTTGTGAATCCTTCACCTCATACGTCTTCACACAAGCCACCTTTGGAATCTTGGCACTCGCAGGAAGCTGTCATAAAAAAAAAAAAAAACCACTAAGTAAAAACACAAAACCTCCAAAGTCTTTTTAATAGCAAAATCAGTGCACCTGAGGAATCTTGACACATTTGCCATCTCCTTCAAATTGCCAACCATGATACAGACATTCCAATCTCCCATCAATTAATTGTCCTTCAGACAACTTAGCCAACCTAAAACGACAAAAAAAAACTCACACAAGTGAAAAAAAAAAAAACTTTTGTCTTTTTCTACATTTCCAACAAGTAACTAAAGATTCATTCTGTAGAGATCAGACAAAACATGTGGTTGTGGTTTTGCTAAATCAATCTCTTACCGATGAGGACAACGATCCTCGTAACAACGAAGTGTTCCTTCACCGTCTTTATACAAAACTATTTGACGATCATACACGGTGAGGCCAAGCGGCGCATCGTCGGGAACATTCTTGGTGAGATACAAAGGGTACCACTCCTCTGTCCAATCATAATCAACCACCTCAACACGTTTCTCTTCTTCAGGGTTTAAAAGAACCTCTCCTCCTCCTCCTCCTCCTTCTGTCTGATCAGCTACGGCAGTTCCGGGGGCGGCGGAACGGCGGAGGAGATGGAATCGGGGTTTCGTTGGGGCGGTGCATGTTGTTGTTCTCTGGTTGTGGATTATGGGTGTTGTTAATTTAGTGAAGAGGATAGGAGAAGTAGCTGTGAGTTGAAGAGAAGAGCTTAGGAAAGGAACAGCCATGGCGGAGTCTTTGTTAAAGTAATCGATGACTTCTCTGCTAAATAGATCGTAATAAGGTTTGCTTGTACAACCGTTGGACCTCGTTCCACCACATATACGAGAAGTAGACAATTTAGACAAAAACGATGTCGGTTCGTGTGTTTTTAGACAAAACGATGTCGCTTTGCGTGTTTTAAATATTCATGGATATGAAATTCAGATTTTTTCTTTAAAATTGAGAAATTATTTGGAGTATCAACAATTCATTTGCATATGCAAAGTTACAAACTTTGAATATTACATAATACATATTGAAAAACAAAAATACGCAAACCGGCGTCGTTTTGGGTGGAATATGTGTGATAAAAATTTACACTTTGAAATAATAGCATTGATTTTAATCTTTCATTAGGGGATAACTTGTGGTATCGCACGGATGACATTTCATTTTTAATTTTATAAAACAGCATAATTTATATAAATTCATATAAGACTTTGTTGAACCAATTTAACCTAGTGATCTAATGACCTGCAAGGTAATCTGATTCACAATCTTGTTTGAGTTTACAAAACATTACATACAATTTTGAATTTGACATGTATATTTTGTTCGTATGTTTTTGTGTAATTGAGTATATATATATATATATATATATATATATATTTTAAACAAATGTGTTTAGAAAGATCTTTAATAGTTGAAAATATAATTGCAAAAAGGTTCTGAGCAATTGTTAAGATTTTTGATTTATAATAACTGTAACGTTTTTTGATATTTTTGAATTTTTAGTTTTTATAATATTTAAAACTTTTTAAAAGCTAAATTTTTGAAAAGATTCATTATTTATAATATTTTCAGAATTTAAAAATTTAAAAATTATAATAGTTTGAAACTTTTTAAAAAGTTTAATTTGCTCAAATAAAGAATGAGATTAAACCGAATAAAACTTTTAAATTTTGGGTGCTTGAGAATCAAACTTCCTGCTTATTCATATAGTTGGACACATGGGTCTTGTTTATAGGGGGATTTGCACAACTAACCTTTTTATGATACTCTTTTCTACGGATCGACGACCTATTTCCCCCCGATAACTATCACATCGTATTAGAACTACACAAAACTTTAATCTCGTCTTCAAGCTACCCGAATCGATAGTTCTATTCCTATTTCTCCCCAAATCGATAGTTCTCATCTAATTTTCCAATTTTCTGGGTTTGAACGGGTTACGAACCAAACCCAATTAAAACCAACGTAATCCTGGTATAAAACCAAATTTTAAACCCGACTCGACCCTTTATCCGATCCAATATTGTCTTCTTCACCCGGTTCTTCAAGCAGCAAATCCAACTTCTACATAATCAAAATTTGATTTAATTCGATTTAAGACCAGCTTCGATAAGATCGATTGTGAAGTTGTTGTCAAAGAAGAAGAATAACATAGGACTCGATTTAGCGGCAGCTTTCTCTGCTTTCACGTTATCCAAATCAATCAAATCCATTGAGAGAGAGATAAGGATTGGAGAAAAAAGGGAAAGAGATGAAGAACAAAATGGAGCAAACTTCTTCTCTCACATCTCCGACGATTATTCATCTCTCATCTCCGAAAAGCTTCGACGGCCGCTACTCCTTTCTCCATCATCTTTTGTCTCATGATCAAGCTTTGGGACCGTTAAACTCTCACCATCTGTTTCTTCTTCTTCAGCTTTGTCATTCTCCTTCTTTATCGTTGATTAGTGGTGGTGGAGATGATGGTGAGATTGAACACGGCGCCCCATAGATCCCAATCTTTAAGCACTTTCCCAGGATCCTTCCTATAAGAATTAGGAAATACCACATGCTTCAATCGCCTGGGAGTCACTAAATGGAGAAGAAGAAGTTGTAATTGAAGGATGAAGATCGAGTTTTTTCTTCTTTTTTTTTTCGTCTGGGAGTCACTAAATGGAGAAGAAGAAGGAGGAAGGAAGTGATCTTCTTTGTTTTAATTTTTAGGTTTTTCTTTAACATTAAATAAAAGGTTTAATCATGTTTGACTAAATTAAAATTGAAACCGGGTTGAGATAAAATTTAATTTGGTTAATAAGATTTGTTAATTGGTTAAGAAAATATTAAACCAACAGTAAACCAATTGTTAACCATATAAACCCAGATTTTTGGAAATGTAGGATGAGAAGTTCTGTGTAGTTCTAATACGATGTAATAGTTATCGGAGGGAAATAGGTCATCAATCCCTTTTTCTACAAGTACCCTCTCTATCCATTTTCAAAAACACCGTCTTTAATATACAAAAGACTAAAATTACCCTCCTTTATTATAACCCATGATGAAGAAAGGAATATTCTTTCCAACAAAAAGAATATTCCTTCCGAAAAATTTCCCGCCAAAAAATTTCCGCAAAAAAATTTCCCGCCAAAAAAAATTTCCCCCAAATTTTTTCCGCAATTCCTTAAAAAATCTTTTTAAAAACCTTGTAAATATTTTTAAAATCCCTTAAAAATCCTTTAAAAACCCTTGTAAATCTTTTAAATGTCATCCACAACCTTTCAAAACTTGAGTTAACCTTTTAAAATCATTGTTAATCATTTTATGACATTTATAAACACTTGTAAATCTCTTTAAACCTCTTATAACCGTGATAAATCATTTATTAAAAAACTTTTATAAACATCTAAAACCCTTTAAAAACCCTTGTAAATCCTTGAAAACCATCTTAAAGAACTTGTAATACATTTAAAACTTTTGTAAACCCTTTAAAAACCTTTATAAACTTCTAAAACCCTTTAAACCCCCTTGTAAATCCTTTTTTAAAACCTTTAAAAATCCTTGTAAATTTTTATAATCCCTTAAAAATCCTTGTAAATCCTTTTAAAACTGTTATAAACTTAGAAAAACATTTAAAAACCATTTTAAATCATTTAAAAACCATTTAAAAACCTTTGTAGGCTTCTAAACCCCTTTTAAAACCATTACAAATCTTTTTAAAACCATTTAAAAACTCTTGTAAATCCCTTTAAATACCCTTGTAAACCCTTTAAAAAATCTTGTTAACCCTTTAAAAAATTTGGCAGGAAAATTTTGTAATTTTTTTTTTGCGGGAAAATTTTTTCGGAAAAATTTTTGGAGGGAAAATTTTCTCGGAATTTTTTTTGGCGGGAAGGTTTTTGGCGGGAAATTTTTTGGAAGAAATATTCCTTCCTTTGGGAAAGAATATTCTTTCAAATAAGGGTAAAATGACCATTAAAATTTAAGAGAGGGCAAAAATGAAAATGGCAAAAAAAGGTATTTTTAAAAGAGGGTATCATAAAAAGGTTATTGGTATCAATTGCTCTTGTTTATAAGGGTTTTGAACAATTCTCTAAAATTTTCTATATAATGTGGGACGATGTATATTCACCTTTTTCTTTTTAAAATTAGCAATATACATCTGTTTACAAAAAGTTCAAATTGTAAAATATGCGGCAAAAAATCTATTTTTTATATATATGTTTTATGTAACAAAATATAAATAAGATCATATAAAGGTGAAATGAGAATAATAAATTTTGTTAATATGTTAGATTAAATTAGGTTGAGATTTATTAGGGAGATCAACATTACAAATGGAAATGATATAATATGCTGTAAAAATATCCGATTTATTATCTATATCCAATTAAATATCAAAAATTGAAGTATCAATTTATTTTAGTTAAAAACTTTGGTTATTTTCTAATGTGTACTTCAGCTTTAATAGTATATATATGTATATTTTACCCCATATTTTAGAAAAATGTTGATCACTTATATATATTATATCGATTTTTCTTTTAACGGAGTATTTTATTCATTTTTTTTAATTCTTATAATTATGTAAAATATGTAATCTTATAATTATGTAAAATATGTAAAATCAGTGAGAATGAACACATGTCAACATCTTATCATTCCAATTGACATGCATAATGATGATCATCATCATATACACTTTATTTCTATATACTACTTATTTTAATTTTCTCCTTTGTTGCGTATATATGAATCATCTACATTCTAGGCTATGGGGTTTATCAAGTAGTATTGATCATGCTTCTTTATATGTAATGTATTTAGAGAAAAAAAACAGCTTTTGCATTTTATTTTTTTTAGTATTTTCGAAATGGAGACGAGATCTCTAGCAATAGAGCTTTAACGTCTCCAAGATTCTGATGGAAACCACATTACATCTCACGGAAAAAATGGTTTCATAACCTAACATGTTAATATATATTTACATTTAGTAATTACAAAGTTAGTGAGTAGATAAGCTTGAATGTTTTGTATATAGGTAAATATACATTTTATATACTATTGCACAAGCTCTAAACCTAACAATGTAAATATTTTTGCTAGTTTTATTTTCACAGATAAATAATAATCTTGAGCAAGCAATTATGACTATATACCTACAAAAAAAAAATTGTTCTTTGGAACTTAGCTGATCTTTGATTTTGTACATGGTAAGTACAGTGAATTCCCTTAAATGATTAGCATGAGTTCAAAAAAAGAAATATCTGAAAGGTACAAAAAAACAAAACTAGCCTGTTTTTGTCACAAAACAAATCATATAGTACTATTTTAGGTTCATATTCCTGTAAATTCTCCTGCTTTCAACTTCTGGCAATAACACCAAAAAACACAAACCTTGTTTTTGCATATTGATGATGACTCCAATGGATGCATGATGCATTTAGAGAGTTAAAAGATGAGACTGTCATTAAATTCTCCTGACTCAACCACATCACTTACTCAGTTCTCTCTTTCTCCCTCTGACACGAACACACATGCAATTACAGTTATCATTTATCACAACAACTACCACTTCTCTCTCTCTTTCTCTCTTAAGCAACTTCACTTACCTCTCTTGAGATTGACACATTTTTAAAAAATGGCGTTGCAATTTTCTTCATGCAGACCAAAACCTACCTTGTTCTTTATTCTTCTTTGTCTTCCTCTACTTTTGCTTGTTTCTTCCTCATTAGCTGACCTCTCTTTCAACTTCTATGCTGGTTCTTGTCCTGGAGCTGAGTTAATCGTGAGGAACACTGTTAGATCTGCTGCTTCCTCTGATCCATCAGTTCTTGGGAAGCTTTTACGTCTCATCTTCCATGATTGCTTCGTTCAGGTATATTATATTACATTGCTTCAAGAACCACCTCTTTCTTGCGTGACAAGGCTTTTCCCACTTAATTTTTGTCTGTCGTTGCTGCTGTCTTAGGGTTGTGATGGCTCAGTGTTGATTCGAGGGAACGGTACAGAGCGAAGCGACCCTGGAAACGCGTCTTTAGGAGGATTCGCTGTTATTGAAAACGTTAAAAATGTTCTCGAAATCTTTTGTCCGGGCACAGTTTCTTGCGCTGATCTCCTTGTTCTTGCTGCTAGAGATGCAGTAGAAGCAGTAAGAAGCTCTGTTTCTTGAATTTTAAAAACTCTGTTTCTTGTTGAAAGCTCTGTTTCTTGATGTTTTAAAAACTCTGTTTCTTGTTGAAAGCTCTGTTTCTTGATTTTTAAAAACTCTGTTTCTTGTTGTTGTCAATACTATTTTCCGGACAGCTTGGAGGACCAGTAGTTCCAATACCGACAGGGAGAAGAGACGGGACGGTCTCAATGGCAGCAAATGTGAGACCAAACATCATCGATACCGATTTCACAGTTGACAAGATGATCAATATCTTTTCCTCTAAAGGCTTATCTATTCAAGATCTAGTCGTTCTCTCTGGTACCTTCTGTTTCTTGATATTCTATAGAGAAGAGTTTCTTTTTCTTTCTAAAACAATTTTGGATTATGTTACGGTCTCAGGAGCGCACACGATTGGAGCTGCGCATTGTAACACATTCAACAGCAGGTTTAAGCTTGGTCCCAAAGGCAACTTAGAGCTCATAGACTCATCTCTTGATAACTCCTATGCGCAAACACTTTTGAACAAGTGTTCATCTTCGTTGGATCCTACAACCACGGTCGTGGATAACGATCCAGAGACATCGTCCACGTTCGATAACCAGTACTACAAGAATCTGATAGCTCACAAGGGTTTGTTTCAGACGGATTCAGCTCTCATGGAAGATGATCGGACGAGGAAGATTGTTGAGATTCTTGCGAATGATCAGGAGAGTTTCTTTGAGAGATGGACTGAGTCGTTTATGAAGATGAGTGTGATGGGTGTGAGAGTTGGTGAGGAAGGTGAGATCAGACGCTCTTGTTCTGCTGTTAATTAAACAGAGACTAGACCGATCATGTGGTCTTCTCATTAGAAGTGCAAAACTGGAAAATAGTGTAATAATTTTATTTATTTATTTATTTTCAGCTCAAATGTAGACATATATACGAATTTACAAGCTTTAAAATTAAGTACCAAAGAGTTGCACTGCACAATTAAAGTAAATTTTAACTGTTGAACTGAAAATTTGTTGTTAAAAATAGTTAATTTATAGATGATCAAAGATTAACTTGTATTTACACAATTTGACATGCAATATAGAAAATAACGATTTTTCTAAACGAAAATTTGTATTATAATCGACCATGAATACCTTGGCAGTGTTTGAAGTAACAATATTTATATTTTATGAATGGAGAGTAATTATGGAAATAATTTGTTTTTAACGATATGAGTAGTTTGGAAATAAATGTTAACTATAGTTTGTACGTATTTCAGAAATAAATGGTGGACTTCCAATTTTTTTACAAAATATGCCACTGTATTTAATAAAATACTGTTAAAAGAAATAGAAAATAATTGGAAAGATAAAAATGGAAATACATAGATATTTAGAAGATTTGAAATTATAGTTCCCCTAGCATATTTGTTTGATATATCTTTTTTTTAATTATTTTGCATCATAATATAACACATAAAATTAATAAAATATATTTTTCTGCATATTTTTTGATTCAAAAATTTAAATAGGACATATATCACTCAATTAATATAAAAATTATATGTTTAACATCTCAAATCCGCTAAAAATGTAAAGAGAATGATTCATAGTCAAATTATAAATAAGATCAAAATGAATTTGAAAATTCATAAAACTTTAAGAGAATGATTTAGAGTCATATTATACATAAGATCAAAATCAATTTTAATCCGAGAGGCAGAAATTTTAACTTAATAGATATATGAACTTTAAGTTTGTATATTATTTACTTTGATATTAGATGAATTGTATCGTTTTATCGTTTATAGTCAATTTAAAAAAATAAAATAAAATTAAAATATTATAAATTATATATTTAGTTTAAATAAAAAAAAGTATAAAATAACACATATAAAATATGTTATAAGACGGGTTTAAATCAATACTAACTAAATCGACAATAATCTGATATTTTGATACGGGTTAAATCTTCATTTCACTATTTTTTAACAATATCAATATAAGACATATAGAATCAAACTAATTTAGTTAAAATTTGTATTATAAAATATTAATAATTATAAAACCAATTCCAACAAAATCTGTAAATTCAAAAAAAAAACATGAATTTAAAAAATGTTTTTCCGTGATGTATTTTGGGTTAAAATCTAGTAATATATATATACTAGAATATGTTATTTATACTAGTAATATTTTACATGTACGTACAATTTTTAATGGATTAGAATATGTTATATATTTTTTTTCATTGCAGTTCAGTCAATTACAATGAATCATATAATTTGTGTAATGAGTTTGAATAAAATAGTAGAAAAAGCGAGTAAGTGGTTACATAATGAGATTTGATACAGTAGAAGAAAAAAAAAGACAGAGAAAATTTAAAAAACACGATGGAATATTTATCAACAAATAATTCAGCTTGACCATTCTTGTAATAGAAAGAGAAATATACGTAAAAGTTATAAAAGATTTGCATTCATAAAAATTACATACTCACAATATATGTTTTGAAGGACCAACTCGTAAGAGATTACATTCGTAAAATTATTATTCATTATGCCCTTTACCATATAATTGTGAGTTTAACAAAATAACCTGTGAATTAGTTGTGATTTAATCAATATATGAATAGTATATTTTGTTAATAACCCTTTGTATGTACCATTGTAAAAATTTGATCTAGTTATGTTCTTTAAAACCGGTAAAAATAAAGTATTTTGCATATAATTTGAAATGATATTTATGTAACATTTTGTATTAATATTATAACTGATGTATCTAAACTTAAAAAAAGTTTAAAATTATTAATATTTAAATAGAAAAAATTAATATTGATGGCTTATATTGCATGACGGGTTGTATGATGAGACGGATTCAAATCAGTTTTATTAAAACTTAAAATATCATTAATCTGATACTCTCACGAGTTAAATCCTTATTTTACTATTCTTAACAATGCCAATATAAAATATGTCAAATAAACTAATTTAGTTGTAATCTTAATAGTTATTAAATAAACTACAATAGATTCAATAAAATTCAAAAGGAAATAAAACTTTAAAAGTAAATAAATAAAGGTTTGCCCCGCTGTGTACATCGGATTAAAATGTAGTATAAGTTATAATATATTCATATGTTATATGCGTCTTTAGAACATGCATATGATAATGGTATTTTCTAGATAAAATATTTTCAGACAGAGAGTTTATTTAACTTAAGAATCATGAATATTAAGCAATGGATGACTTAAGAATGATGAAATTTTTTGTATTTTAATATATTATCATCTTTTGTAGGAACTAGTTGTAACAACCCGTCATGTGGGATCATCCGCCATGTGGGATCATCCGCCATGTGGCACACCCTGCGACTGAAGAAGAAAGCTACACCATTTTCAGTCGAAATGGTTGAAAAGCTCTAAGACATTTTTTATTATAGCACTCTGATTGTTGGTTTCCTTTATGGCTATGAAAAGAAAGACATCTCTTGTATAGTGATGGTACCTCAATGGTAAATTCATCAACAGCTTCAAGTTGCTTCACCTATCTTTGAAGACCAAATTCCATACTACTTGAATTAAATTGGTTTCATTATTCATACGTAAACAAATAGAAGGACCTAGCACTTTGACAACATTAGACGTTATCTTCCACTACTCACACCATTTGGAGGAAATTTCATGATTGTCATTTTATACGGAGATAGGGGATCCAAACTGTTCAATCAACCATGTGATAAATACCCTAAGAATGCTAGGTTTCATGTCAGTATTATTTTTGTGCACTGAAAAATTCTTCCTTTATAATCTAGGACTACTTGGGAATGATTTGTTTTATATTTTCTAAGATATGTTTGATTATACCAATTCGTACTCTCACAAAACAACAATTAAAATTACAACCTAAAGTTTCAAATTTTGTACAAAGTACCACTATTGCAAAAAAAAAAAACACTATTAAATTTTGCTGACATGAATGACACTTGCGAAATATATCTTCATATTCTTAAAATAAAATACTACTAAATAAATAAAGTTTTAAAAATACACTAAATTTTTTTTAAAAAATTCTAAATTACACTAAAATCAGTAAAATAAAACAAATTAAGGAAACAATATTTGTAGACTTTTTATTTAAAATTCATTAGATTTATATTTTATAATTAAAGAAATTATATGTCGGTTTGTATTTATAAAGGAAGATTAAGGTTAGGCAAAAAAAAGAGGAAGATTAAGGTTTAATATTTATATATAAATAAATGTAATTCTATTTCAGTTTGGGTTTATAAATAAACATTAGGGTTTAAATTTTACAATTTAAGAAATTTTATTTATCGGTTGAGTTTATAAAAGAGAATTAGAGTTTAGATTTTACAATTAAACAAATTATATGTTGATTGGGTTTATAAAAGAGGATTAGAGATTAAATTTTACAATTAAAACAAAATTATATATATTGGTTTGTGTTTATTAAAGAGTGGTTAGGATTGAAATTTTACAATTAAACAAAATTATATATCGGTGTCGGTATATAAAAAAATGCTTATATGTATACAAATTTTGTTCAATAATTTTTGTATTTTTATTTTTAATAAAATATAATATGACATAATATAATACTCTAATTTTATTGGTTAAACCCAAAGGAAGCGGTAAATACATAGAAGTGAACCCTAGTATTGTCCTTCATACAACCCATATTTTAACAATCAAAACTCAACTTTTAACTCATTCAAGTTTAGTTATACGATAAAATCAAGTTTAGTTATATCGTAATTTAAATTTAACGATTATGAAATACTGATAAAGTTCGTTAAATTTGTAAACAATGTTCCGTGTGATTGGCTCATTTGAGTCGATCTTTTAGTTTGAAGATGACAAAAAAAAGAAATACTGATAAAGTACAAAAACATTTTAACAAAAATCGTTTACTTATAGAGATGGTAAATCAAAATTTATTAGTTCAACTTGAAATAAACTACTGTAATATTATGAAAATTAATTGTTTTTAACAACAACAATATTGTAATTAACTTAGCCCCCTGATTAAATAAGGGTAACATTATAACTTTATAATCTTTCTATTAACCGTTACGTTACTACCACGTTTCCTTAACCGGAAACTTCAGAAACTCGGAACAACGCCGAAACCGCCATAAACTCCGCCGTCTCCACCACCATCGTCACCTCTCGACTCAGTACGCTTAGCAAAACGTCCTTTAATCCTCGGCCTCATCTCAGCGTAAGCTTTACGCGACGCATACCTAATCGTCTTCTCAAACTTCCTATTCTTCCTCTTCTCTCTATACCTCAAAACCCTCGCTTCCCTCTCCGCCGGTGATAACTGCACTACTGGCATCGTCACCGTCGCCGTAGCCGTCGCCGTCGTAGCTCCTCCTCCACTTTCAGGAACCAACGCTACATCTAAAGATCTCGACAAATCCTAAAAAAAAAAAAAAAACTCAACTCAGATCTAAAATTCATTTTTCCAGATCTGAAAAATTTCAAGAGATACAGAGATGATTCGTACAGATTGATTGATGAAACTGAATCCTTTAGAAGCAGAGATGTCGATATTGAAGTAATCGTTATTGAGAAACACTAATTTGTTGTTAATAGGAACGACTCCATCGTTACCGGAGCTATTCTCCTCCGAAGTAACCTCAATCTTCGGATACTCAAGATCGGTAAAAAAATTAGAGATCTCAGTTTCTCCTCCTTCTTTAGGTAAAAGCCAAGAAGCAGCTTCACCGTCATCATCATCGTCGTCGTTGACGAAGGAGGAAGCTGATTTAACAGATCCAGAAACGGAGTCGTGAAAAGGAGTGATCGGGATACGTTCATGGCGGCTAGAGAGAGGATTCGCTGAGTGGATATCACGGTCGCACGTGACGCAGAGAGCTGCGGCGTCGGCTTTGCACGTGACGTGAGCAGGAGCTTGTTCGCAGACTTCGCATAGGTAGACACGTTCGTGACGAGAAGCGAGTTTGTTAGCTGTGTGGATCTTGGAATCGCATGGTCCGCAGAGAAACGCTGCGTCTGCTCGGCAGAATAGTGTCGCTGCCGTTGATTTGCACGAGTCGCATAGTCTCGACGACGCCATTTGAGTTTTTTTTTTTCTTTTTCTCTCTTCTACTGTTTTTTTGATTATTTTAATAATTGAATTTTGAGTCCGCTTTTTTTTTCTAGAAATTGACTCTTGGTGGTGCTGTGGAAATGGCGATTGGATTGGACGCGCTGAGATGGGTCATGGAGATCTGAGAGTAACGAATAAAGAGATGACACGTGTTAGTGAACCTTAGCCGAATAGTGAGACATTGCGGAGAGGTGGACCTAGACTCCTAGTAATGTGATGTGAAGTGATTTTCTTGGGACTTTCATAATTTTTTTCGGAATTTTTTTCTTACTTCTTTTTTTGTCGGCAAGTGAATTCGGATTTAAACGTTTGTGTCTTTTACTGTTACCGAACCAAAATTTTCGAATTAAACCGGTTTTTGGTCAGTTTTGGGCTTTTGGCTATGGGGTGTCAGTTCTAGTAAGGATGAATAGATCAGCTCATCCGCATGACATTTGTTGATAAATAGGTTCAATTTTGTACTTTTCAAAGTTACTTAGATTATATTAATTTTTCTTTTAAAAAGACAACCAAACTGAAAGATTTGTACGGGTATTTCTCATGTATTCATAGATTTTGGTATTTCTTATTATTATTATTTTTTTTCCTCTATAACCGTTGTCGCAACTTCGAAAATGTTATAAACTTATAGGGTTGTTACCAAAAAAAATAATGATGCACCTACTAACCGAACCAATATTTAAACAATATAACTAGAGATATATGTTTTATTAGACAAAATCAACTAAAGTTTACAATTGACAATTTTATCATTCGAAATTTCATACAAACATAAGCAAATAATGTAAAAAGAGAAGTCGTCGGAGCAGACAAATAAAAAAAATCCGGATTTTTAAAACAAAAACGGTTGAGCTATACTTACTGATCCAAGTCGACGAAACACACCACTCGGACCATTATCAGTGTTTAGTCTGGAATCAATTCAATTGCTTGTTAAAAGGTGATATATCCCTTACGGATCTCAATTAAAAATCGTATATTTTTTTTTTTTTCAAAAGGAAACAAAACAACAACAAAAAGAAAGGAGACAATATTAAGTGAACATGTCATTGATATTAACTCATAAGATGAAGAACTAAGATAAACCATACTAAACAAACCAATAAGTATAAATGATTCGAAGATACACTCTTTGAGGGGATGACCAATTGGTATATGGAAGATGCTTTTAGCCACTGCCCGACTTCAATGTATTACTCAACCTGAAGATCAAGATGGAGAAAGTCTAATATTTGAGAACAAACGCACAAAGAAATGGGTTTGGTTTCAGTAGATAGGACCAATCTATGATTTGGTTCGGTTTCAGAATGTGCTTACCAGTCCAATCCCTCGAAAAGTCCCTCGCCTTTCACAGCACAAGTTTTGAAGATTGCCCATTGACGACTCTTTATCTTATGTAACTCCAGAGCTTCTGTAACAGCCGCATCATCGAGTGCACCAGGAAGATCCTGTTTAGTCGTTTTAAGAAAAACCAGACCAGATTATTTATAGATTTGTTTCAGTAGACATGTTTAACACATGCAAAAAAACGTAAGCTTTTATAGCTATAGAAAACCAATGCAAACAGTCAAAGTTTATTAGAAGCGCTAAACATTTAGATACTACTAACCTGCTTGTTTGCAAATATCAGAACCACCGCACCTTTCAATTCCTCTTCCTATAAAAATCAATTGAAAGAGAGTAAGATTCAAATGCTGACAGTGGCAGAGGTACACTTTGTTGAATAATGAACAGTTTAAGGATAGATAATAAGATCTATAAAGCGACATGATAACTTGTTCTTTCCACCCAGTACGAACCTAGATACTTCAATTTTTGAGTCACCTATTAGAATCCTGTTTGACAATTTACAAATACTTGATACACAAAATTGAACAAATACTGTATTTCTTAATAGCTACCAATATACGTTGCGAGAAGTACATCAGGAAAAGGTTATCCTATATTAATTATGGATGGAAGAAGTCTATCATGAAAATAATACAGCAGTGTATGAAGAGGAAGACTCAGAAGTGGTTTACCTCCAAAATTGCATGAAACTCCTCTTTCGCAACCCCGATTCTATCCGTATCACTCGAGTCAACAACATAGATCACTGCTTGCGTATTCGGAAAATAGCATCGCCAGTATGGCCTGTCAAAATATCCAATAGTATTTTATTCAAAAACACAAAGAGTATAATCTTGATGTAACCATTTCTGTTCTTTGTGACTTCACACAGTACATGCAATGAAATTGAGAAAAGAGATCACTTATCTACCTTATGCTTGTTTGTCCACCTGCCACAGGAATACATTGTTTAGCCAAATCAATTTAGTTGTAAATAGCAACCATACCATATGTAAGTAATTAAACAGCAAGACAAACATACATTTTATGCAAAACAATCAACACACTACATAGTACATACCAAGAAATGTGTTACTTATCATCAAGCCATCACCTTTTTATATAATACAGAACACTTTGTCTGCCTCTTCAAGATCACTCAAGAAAAGGAGTCATAACATTAACAATACTAGTTCAATCTACCAAAACTACTTATCACTATGAAAGATATATAACCTAGGGACTCCAAACCAAGTAAATTTCTGATCATAGGTTCTGATAATTAACTCAAAGAGAAACATTCCAATTATTCAAATGCATCACTAAGGATCTGGTAACATGGAGCTAGTCAACTTAGAAAGAACACTAAGTAACTCAGACAATCTCACACTGAGTTCATCAGGTAAATGGTTGGATCTCATCTCACACTAAAATCCTACCTAGAACCTCAAAATTCGAAGTTTAACGCATCAAGGAAATTAACGGATTCAAAAAAATTCTAAGAAACATACCTAAATCCCAGACCTGAAACTTGATATTGTTGTACTGAACAGTCTCAACGTTAAATCCAATAGCTGCAAGATCAGATCACAAAACCACAAAAAATCAAAATCCGAAACCACATCAACTAGATCCACAATTTAAACAACATTAAGAGTGATAAATACATACTCGGAATCGTAGAGACAACTTCCCCCATCTGAAGCCGATCTGGAATCACATAGATTCAAAATCAAAATCAACACAACTCAGAAAAAACGATCGAATCAAAATTCAAAAACCCTAGTCAGTAAATGTAGCTATAGAGATACGAAATGCGAAAGATTAAAGGCAGTGATTTTTACAGAGGATTGTGGTTTTTCCAGCATTGTCGAGACCGAGGACGAGGATACGAGCTTCTTTGTTACCAAACACGGAAGAGAACATCCGCGTGAATAGGATTCCCATCTTCTTCTTCTTCTTCTTCTTCTTCTTCTTCGTCTTCTTCGTTCGGATCAGATCAAACGATCTAAGAGAGGTTCTTCTTCTTCTCTTGGATCATTCGACCTCTCAGATCTTTCTTCTTCTTTAAGAGTTTATGCGATGACTGAAAAAAAAAAAAAAAAAGGAAAAACAATCCCGAGAAGGACGAGAAAATATACGTTTTTCTTATTTCATTTTCATTTTTTTTTAATTCTCTTTCGTTGTTTCTGATTCAGTCAGAGGCTTTGTTTGGGCCTTTTTAGTATCAACTCAGCCCATTATAATCTAATCGTCTAATTGGGCCTTCACTTCATTAAAAATTTCATGTTAACAAAGAGGGAAGTTTTTTTTTTTTGTCTTTTTATTTGGAGGAAAGTGATTGTTGTGTTCTTCATAGTTTTGCAAAGATGTATATCAAAATAAATAAGGTAAAATAGACCCTTCAAAAAAACGATTAACAGGAATATCAAAATAAATAAAACTAGTGGTATATTAACATTGAGGTTAATAAAAGAATTATATGCTAGAAGCATGCAACAATTGAAATATTATATATATATATATATATATATATATATATATATATATATATATATATATATATATATGTACCCTCTTCCAACTTCCAAATCAAGATCAACTCCAATCACAACACTAAATGTCTCATTTGTTTATTTTTTTCATCTCAAACCACAAATACTAGATTTTACACTTAAAAACATATTTTAATATTATATTATTAATTTTCAAAAATAATTTTGATAAATACTAATTATTTTTATAACTGAATGATAATAGTTACAGTTGATAAATATAGATAAAAGCAAGATAAAATTAGATAGTATTATTCAAACTCCGGTTAACTAGAAAATAGCGAGATGACAGAGGAAAGACGAACGGACTCAATAACTTTATTTATGAGCTAAAAATGTTGTTACAAAGCTTAACTAATTCTAAAGTGTATTTTGACTTTATATACAAAGACATAATCTCAACAATAAACCAACAAACATTAAACTAATAGTAAACCAGACTTAATCCATCATATTAGAATTGATCCTAAAAGCATTTTTAAGGGGAAGTGAGAGGATGTAGCTTAGGAATTTTTAATTATTATAATAATGTAAGATGTTAAGTTAAAAACCAAAGTTATAGAGTTGATTATTGGTTGAACCTCTAGAATCTTAAAAAAATAATAATTTAATAATGTAAAACAATTTTAAGATCGTGGCGACAGACAATAGTTGTGTGATGAACATTTATATTTCGTTTAATTGAACAAAACTCTTAACCAATTCCCTTAAGGGAACATTCACCAAGATAAGCATAAACCAAACGACAACTAATCTCCAATCAGAGAAGATAATCAAGTGGCAACAACAACATAGATATATGAGAAGCACACAAAGTTTTACTCCATGGATAGATAGAATCAAATCCTGCAGCTACTAAGACTACTACTACAAACGCATGATTTAGCAAACTAAGAGGTTTTCTTTGTTCTGTTTAATAACACAGAACCAAGCCATACAATTTATTTTTTTGCAAATCATTCCATGGACTTGATTTCATCACTGCGATGGTTGTGGCTGGACTTGTTCCTCCCCTTTCTGCACCTCTTTTGGGGTTTCGTTGATGTCATCACCAGCTTCGTCCTGGAAGTAATAAGATAAGACACAAGTGTTATCAACATAATCTTAGTTGCTTGTTGCAATCACTAAAAGATTGCCAACAATGAAGAGTGTATGATTCCTCTCCCATTGTATCTAATTCAGAGATTGCCTCATCAAAAGCCTACCACCATGAAAATCATATTAACTACAATCCTATAGGTAAACATTTGCAGGCTTTACTTTCTCAATCATCATAATTAATTATAATCTTATAGTTAACCACTCACCGCCAAACACGTGACATAAGCAATCCTCTCAAAAACATCTTAACATAAACCCAAATACCCCTTATCAATTCACTGTTTTATTATTTTGAGTTTTGTTTAATGCCCTAAGGCCCGACAGGTTATCTCGATAAAAATACTTTATAATAAGTACTAATTAAAAAACATATATTTGAATCACAAATGTTTTGTCAATAAATTTAATATAATTTCTATTTTTTTGGTTTGTTTGTGTCGAGCTAAGAATTATCAACTTTTACAATTAGGGCCTAGGTATGTTTTGTTCTTCAAATTGTTGCATCAACATCACACCTTCATGCTTTATGATTATAGAATACAAATACAAAAATATAGAAAAGAAAAAAGCAAATTGTTCGTATACTCCTTTTATTATTTGTATATTTGTTTATGCGGCACAAAGTTTAAGAACGAGTTTATGAATGCAATGATAGAAAAAAAAAAAAAAAAAAAGTACGAACAATTTATTACTTTGGAACTTTCTTGCGGGAGACGCGGCTACTCGGCGCCTCTAAAGACAGCTCAGCAAATGACAAATAAGTCAAAACAGAATCATTGTCTTTTGCTTTCATTACTTAACTCTTTTCACGACACGTGTCCCATTTCCCATTTTTTAATACTACAACAGAACAAACGTATAAGAATTAATTAGCTACTACTAATGGACAAATATTAAAATCAGTGGTCTCTATAGCCTATAGATTTTATTATTATATATCAAAATAAGTTGTAAAATTTGTTTTGATTGAAGATATAAATATGCAAAGATTTATAAGTTTTAATTAGACTTTTGTGTGGAGTGCACTTCACTTCAAATATCTCTATGCATTAATATAGCGTGAGAACAGAAGAAAATTTTGTCTTTGTTAATGAGAGATATTATCAAATTAAAAGCAAAGTAGTTTAATGGGGCAAGTCATCGAATTATTATAACTTTTGATTGATACCATAAAACGTGTTTTTAACTTTTGTTTAACCTAAAACAGAATTTGATGCTTTCTCTTGTGTGTTTACATCCAACTAGTTTAAACGCAGTAACTGTGATTACTGTTAATCTGTTATGCAAGTTCGAAAACGAATGTTATGTAGTTTCAAATATAAGTTATGACATCATTAACAACTATTCTATTCAAATGCAAGTAATACATACATAGAGGAGGAGACAACATTATAACAAATTCATAATGAAAAACAAAAAGTAAATAAACGAATATCTTTGGGAAAAAAAATCTCGAGAATATATACGTAAATTCAAATGAGAATATATGTATATAAAAAAAAAAATCAAATATATGAATAAAAAAAAAACACAGTGTGTATTATAGGATGAATTAATCATGTTTTCACTGATACATTTGCAAGCTTTGAATTGACGATCAATCACTTGTCTTGGAATAAGAAATTACGATTAAAAAAAACATATATTAATCATAACTCTCAAAATTTTCTCTCTTAGTAAAATTTACATTCCCAAAATTTCCCAAGTAAAATCCCCAAGCAACAACAAAAAGTTCCAAAAAAGAGAAAAAAAAATAAAAAACCAAAACAAAAAGCTCAGTGATGACTCGTTTCTTCATCTCCTTTCGTTTTATCACCCATCTTCTCCTCCTCAGCACCACCGTCCTCCTCCTTGGAAATTACAACTTTACCCTCATGACCACCGCACATACACTTATTCATCGCCGGCGTAGCAAGATACCTAGGCAAGTCATCTCCGGCCATTATGACAAGAATCTTCTCCTCATACGCCACGCTCTCAGCCTTCGCTCCTGAACGACTCTCTTTCTCCTCGTCGGCTCCTCCACTGTTGCCTTCGCCTGAGTCATCACCGGAGGTGGACAAGCGCCAGTAAGAACAAGCGAGGATAAGTAAAGCGAATGCTATGAGTCCTAACATAGCCGCAAGACCACCGAAAAGGTACGGCACCGGCGAGTGCCACGGCGATAGAGGCGGTCCGTGGCTCTCGAGTGGCTTTACTGACGTGGCATGTCTCGCTACAACATGTTTAATGCTCAATGGTCTCATATTTTCTATGTTTCACTCAGATCTTTTTTTTTTTGCTTTCCTCTCTTCTTTGTTTAGCTAACTATTTTTTTTTATGTTCTCACACTTTATGAAAGAGAAAGAGAAGAAATTAAAAGCTGGAAAGATGAATAATAATATGAAACAATGGGTGCGGTGAGGTGTTATATTTATAGGTAAGAAGTTACCTGGGGAAAACGAAAGTGAGTCACTTCGAATATTTAATTATTTGAATTAAAGTCCTTTTTATTTTACTTTTTTATAAAATTTTGTCACAGCTCACAAGTGGTTTATTGCTTTTAGTTTTGCCGCATATATTTGCATGCAATGTCAAACTTACATTTTTATATAGACACATATACATATGGTTGTTTTTTCAAAATTACACAAAACTTAAACTGGAAAAACGAGACAAAATGGCCAATCGATAGATTTATAACCATATGAACTTTGGCATCAATGATTTGCTAAAGTTCGTCTACTATTTTTTTTTTTTTTTTTTTTTGTAAAAAACAAACTTACCCCTTAATAAAATTCTTAAATTAGGATCGGTAGATTATTTCGCTGAAAAAGCTTAGCAAGAGCATCAGTTTAATGAGGAAAATTATTTTCAATGAAAAAGGTATAACTTTTTTGGGAAATAAAAAATAAAAATAAAATATCTTGTATCGAAGTGCAAGCGATTGAAGAAATTTTTTCTACGCCTATCATCGGGCATATTGAAGTTCTTTGAGAAGCGTTTGTTTCGGCAAGCAACTGTACTATGTTTGATGAGATACAATTTTTGAGTTTTTGACAACCATCCATGCATGCTAACAATATATTTTAATTCAACTAGTTCTTTATATATATTTGTGGCATCTTAATATCTTATTCTTTTAACGGAACATCAGTCGCATTGTTTATAGCAATTGCTTAATTACATAAACTGCAAATAAGTAAAAAGCTATCTAATTGACTTATATTTTTGAAAAATAACTATTGACAGAAATAATTAATATCATTAATTTTTTTTAAAAATTAAAGAACCAAACTTTTTGAAGCTATCTTACTTAGAAAATTTATACATTAAAAGATTATTTGAAGTTCTGTATAGAATTTAAAAGTTATGCAATTTTTTCAAAAAAGAAATATTGAATTTGTTTTAAAACAATTTTTGTGCAATTTTATTTTCCAACTGTTAGTCACTTGTCACACCAACTACTCTCACCAGGTATAGCTGCTCAATAGTCCATAAAAGCTGTCATCATATTTAAATGTAAGTTACAGGTGCAAATTTGTGTATCAAAATTTTAAACTATATATTATATTTTTCACATGATCGGTCCACTTAAGGACCACATTATTTTCTTTCTTTCTTTCTATTTTTCATTTGTTATATACCCATCTATACATATACTTAAGAAGGTCTGTTTTGGAGTCATCTATGTATTTTCATATTGAATTGGAAAATGAAAAAACTAACAATTATCCACTAAAATGGTAGGCACAATCAAATATTGAATCATGAAATTGAAATAGTTAGAATTTATAGACTAGTTAACAAAACTTTTGATCGATCATTACCATGAATTCACTTTAAAACAAATCAATGATCGCAAAACGTTAACTCAGTAATACACAAGTTTAACTGACCAGCTCGTTCTAAAAGTGCTTAAACAAATGCATATCAGTGTTACAAAGTACTTTATATATATATTTGTATTTTTACATTATTCTCAATATGATATAATGAAACCTCCGTGATGATTATAGAGGCCCACAAGATATTAGTGCTGAGGACACAAGGAACAGTGAAAGAGCACATTGGGTTGTTTGGTGGTAAATGACAATGTTTGCACAACAAATAATAAGAGAGACAGAAATGATTGCGAAAGGACGAGAGGGAATGATCATTGTGGGTTAAAGTCCCAACATACCAATTTGTGCTCTCGTCTTCATCTTCCATATTCTCTCAATTGGTGCGTTGGTGTGATCTAAAATGCTTCTCTGTTCTCTCTCTTGGTCATTTCATCTTTGCATATCATAAGATATGGATAAGATTACTAAATATCTTGTGTTGTTTGTGTTTTCGATTGTTTATGTTATTACCTTTGGAACAAATCATTATATCTATTGAAAGATGCATCATGGCCAAAATTTTTCACATGGTCTCCATTATTCACATAAGTGTTTCATTAACATTTAACTTTTGTAAATGAACCTAGAACCTTTGTCATATTAAACATTTTATAGATTCTCTATAGTATGTTTTGTGGTTAGGACTTATGGTTTTGAATGGCGTTTGCAGATAATGCGGACTAAATCGTCAACGTATTAGACCATTCGATTTTTTGAGGTAGACAACAACAATTCGTTATGGACCAATGTAAAAACAATTCGTAGTTGGTTCATTACGGATATTGTTTTTTCTTCTGTCAATAATTCATAAATGGTAAACAAACAAAAAAATCCAATCCACGAACGGATTTATCCTCTTTAACCTTGCAACTATTCAAACTTTATATGTCTAACACTCACTATAAAACGGTTGGTACAAAATAAAAAATTAACATAGAATACTTGAAATCACTAGTCGTTGTCATTACACAAATTCAGTGTTATTTTATATTATCTATGCAAACAAATAAGATTAGATTCGATCAACAATATCTTTGGTCCAAATTGATTTGGCACATTGTCTACAACAAGAATCATTACCGCTATTATAAAATTATTAATACATTAAAGAACTCAATTCACCCTTTTTAATATAGTAATATAAAGCACTAAGCACCATGTCCTTCTTGCATTTCAACAATTAATTATATATATTAAAAAATTAACAATTAACTATTATCAGATTAACTTATGTGGGTAACTATAGTCGCATTTGCATTTTCACCCAAAAATGAAAAGAATTGCATTTTCATTTACTAGAAAAGAAGAATTATTTCATCCGAATTAAAAGAAAAATGTAAGACATTCTTTTCCGAAACAAATGTGGTATAAAAATCCGAAATGGTGGTGAAGAAAAGTTTAATTTTTTCGCATTTACAGAAAAAAAAAAAGACATTATAAAATGTATTTGCACTATTAAAATGGATACATTCATTCATGTCCCACGTTTCGTCAGCTTCCACCTGAACCTTTCAGGCTTTCAAGCAGTGGAGGGTACAAACTTTTGCACGGTCAATCATTTTGTAGTTTTTATTTATATCTATTTTCTAAGACTTTTTGGAATTCGATTCATATATAATAATATAACTAACAAATCAGACTAAATTTGAGCTTGATACCACAAATGCATAAACAATTTGATGCCTAAGGCAATATCTTAACATGACTAAGAAGAATAGTCATGTCGCATCATGAAATCAGACTTTTTCATGACAATATTGGCGAGAATCTGATCATATATAACTTAGGTCGTATATGTGACATCTTTGCGGAAGGGCTTAAATGAACTAATTTGGATTAATAACACATAGACCCATTTATGTGGTGTTAGTTTCTTGATGCAAAGGTCAAGGGTAACACGCTCAGACATACTTTTTACTTGTGCTATATTTTTCTTTTTTGTGTAGTAAGAAGCTGAGATGTGTTTTGACAATATTAATTAGCCTCAGATGAGTTGTGTAGTAGTTTAATATCCGATCCTAACTACCAATTAATATCGAATGGTTGATATTTTAAAAGACAAAAGTGTTAACTAGATAGATGTTTGCTTCTTTTCTTTTTCTTTTTTTTTGTAAACCAGATGAGGTTTTTTTTAGTTAAAAAACTATGGATATATTGGGAGAGTTGACGGTAGGGACGTTACATGTGGTATCAGAGTCAAATCCAGACGTGTGGGGAGTAGTGGGCTCACACAGTCTGGGGTGACGGTCTTTGTCCGCGTCCTATTAGTGTGCGAGAATTGTGAGTCTATAGTTTGCGGAGAGGCCAACTATGTCACCAAAGTGCACTTATCTTTTCGGTCAAGGGTCCTGAGAGAACTCCAGGATTAGGCATGCTTAAGATGTAGTAGTCAAAAGATGGATGATCTTCCGAAAAATGGTTATCGAAACTGTATGAGTGGAGCCAAAAGATCATGTGGTGATTTATAGGATTAGTAAACAAATCTTTAAGCTTCACGGACGTAATAAGCCATATGTCGGATATGGACGAGCTTAGTGAGAAAACGTGAGGTCTATTAATAAAAATAGGTCTCCGAACTGAAAATAAAAATGGACCGACTAGAAACGTTGACGGTCGATGTGTTACAATATAACACATCTTAACCTTTCAATGTCTGTTGTACTTCTAAATGGGGTAAGAAGACAGACACAAAGGATTTAAAGTTATTTAAAATCTGAAACCTTATACTATATAGTATATACCAACATATTTTGTAAATATTTTTCTTGTTTATTAATAAATTTCACATTTGAACAAAAAAACAAAATTCATAGTTTGACGGCTATTTAGTTAAATCTCACTCTTATGATTTTCCATAATTTTTTTACGACCAGTCACCTTTGTCGTTGATGGAAGACTTTGTAACACAAGTTTCTTTCTACTAGTATATTGAGTATTCTATGTTTGATTACAAAATTTAAATCATAACATATGCGTTAAGTTCCTTATAATATATGAACGATATGGGCATTTAACTTCTTATCAATAAAATTAGGATTACATAAAGATGAGATAAAAAACATAATAATTACAAATTTTTAAGAATTAAATTGGATTGATACCTTAAACTTAGTTAGAAATTTGAAATCTATAGTAAATTAGTTCATGTGTTATACAACCTATGTGTTAACACTGGACTAAAGTAACAATTTCAGAAAATTATGTAAACAAATTGTATATATAATTAAACATGTGGAGTAATACCGTTAAATGGTTCTGTAACGTCCGTTAATGACTGTCAACTTGCAGGTTTGAATTACTAATTATAATATTTAAAATAAAACATTGTTTATAAATTAAGATACTCGATTTTTTTTTAAAAGATTTTAGGTGATGATGAATTTAAGCTCATCAAATTATCAATGATAAATTAATGATAATTTGACCGAATTCATGCAAAGTCTTAGAACCTAAGCCTTTGCATGAGTTCTAAGAAATATTAAAAAAATAAAACATAGACCTTATTAAAGATTAAAAAAAAAAAGATTTTAGGTGATGATGAATTAATTTATGCTTAGAGCCAATGCAAAAACAAATCTAGGATTGTCATTCTTGAATTATTTAATTTGTCTACTTGTTTTGTCCAAATTTGCAGTAGTTTAAGATTTACTTCTTCTAGAAAAAAAAGGAAAAGAAGCTGTCCTGAAGAACTTTCCTATCAACACGCGCATGACTCTACCACGAAGATTGGAGCTTCTAATCTCCGTCGAAGTCTCTCTCCTCTTCACTCTGAAATAGAGGCACTGGTGTGGGCGATGCAATGTATGATAGGCCATAACTACAAGATGTGATGTTTTTTACCGACTGTTCAAATTTGGTGAAGATGGTGTCTTCTCCTCATGAGTTGCCGGCATTCTCTATTTACATGGAGGACATCAAAACAGATAGTGAATAATTTTCTACTTTTTCTTTATCGCTTATTCCTCGAAACTTAAATGTAAAAAAGCGGATTCCTTAGCGCGCAATGCTCGCTCTCATCCGCATATTATCAAGTTTTCAAAAAAATGTCTGTTGAGTTGGCTCGTCTGAGTCAATTTGATTAGCTGTTTTGGATGAAAAAAAAAAAAAGAACTCTCCTATCACTCTTCATTTTAGGCTAGACCAAATCAATGACCGTCAAAATAAATCTGAGAATGCAAAGAGTACAAGTACAAGAAGCTGTGGCTTTGGGTTTGAACAATGTGTGAAGGTCATTACAAAACTTGAGTGTTTAGGTCATGTAGAGCATGTTAGGACAGAAGTTCTCAACTTAGTTTTGCCTAAGAGCGGAAGCTGATCAGGAGATACATGTCGTGAAGATGTTCAGTCATGGTTTGAAGGAAAACTATATATAGTCCTTGCAAGCATTATGATTGTCTTAACAAGTTTTATCTCCGGATCAGATTTCACGCTTAGGCTAAAGCTAAGTCAAAATCTTATGTCTTAACATGCTCTTAACATGTCCCATACACTAAAGCTTTTTAATGATCTCTACGCAATGCTATAACCCAAAACCAATACGTGTTGTATTCTTCGTTTTCGCAAATATATTTTGACATGCGAGTTCTCCCACATAGCTTCTTTAATAATAATATATTTATATGTGTGTGAAAAACTAACGACTATGTATATATAATCCCATAGGTATATAAAAAACATGGATTAAGCTTCGCCGTTGAGATGGGGTATGGACTCAAACCTGTGATCAGCAAGGTTGCGGAGGCGGCGGCGGCAAGGTGCTTGTCTCTGGTAACGACGTCGAGAAGGAATCTGAGGTGAAAATATTATAATAGAGTATGCTTACTAAATCCATTTAAAAAAAATTTGGGTTTCAGAAGATCATTTGCTAGACTTTGATCATGATGCCTCAAAAATGCAATCTTATAAATATTTGCGAAGAAGTGAACTTCAATATCGTATCAAAAACCAAAGATTTGTGAACAAGATCTGCATGCCAAATACAGAAAAATACAGTAAAAGACATAATATAATTGAAGTTACAATTAGCACACCAAAGTTCGTTAACAAACTAAATTAATATTTGATAATTTTCACTCAAAAATCCGTTTGAAAACAATGTAGGATTCTTAATTACCACAGAAACTAATTTTAAAAGCATACTCAGGTTTTTAAAAAAAAACAAGTATTTTTGCTAGATCTGAAGATATCAGATCTATTAGCTAAAATCACAAGAACAAGATACAATGGAATAGGGTTTCAAAACCAAAATAAAATTCCGTTGGAAATCCATATCTCAAACCCCGAGTCGAACAAAATTTACTCTCTAGCTACCATTTACAAAGTAGTTGATACAATCAAAGACATGGGTGATATCTTTTTTTCAATCAAATGATAGAATTTATACAACTTTGGTATCATAGAGTAATGAATATGTGGCAAGAGTCAACACATAAATCTGGCTTTTACTGGTAATATTTTAATTTTTATATATATTTTCAGAATGTAATCTATTCAGTCAAACTTTCTTCAATTTTCAATTTATATCCATAAACAAACTTTGAATAATAATTATAATTGGATTGGGGTTGTTTGAGTCTTCTATAATTTTTTTTTTTTGCAAATCCTTCCTATCACAAGCATATGTTGAAATGGAAGGTGTTGTGGATTGATATAGATGCAATAAATATTAATGGACAATTTTAATACGATTTAATATTTTTATTATTGTCAAAATGAAATATAATAGATGTCTTAAATATTTTTTTAAGCAAAACATCCACCCGAAAAACATCTTAAGCAAAACCCGGATACTCCTTCAAAATACACTATTTTATTATTTTATGGGTTTTTTTAATGATATAATACCCTTAAATTGATGAACAAAAAAAAAGTCAACTGTTAAAAAAACAACTATCATAATTCATTAGTCATAACATAACCAAGATGCTATATAAAATAAGTCTATCGAGAAGAAAATTAAGTCAACTGAAGTATGAAAAAGAATCGATAGTTGAAAAAACAGACCTTCTTAATACATCAACCTCAATATACAAATTTGACCGAACTCATGCAAAGGCTTAGAGCTTAGCCAATGCAACAACCAATATAGGATTTTCAGCTCGTAGACATATACAAACTCCAACTATACTATAAAGCATAAACAAATAGATATAACGAAACTTGATACTTTTATTCAGAATTGCATTACATTTTATGTTCTTCTTATAACTTAACTGCATACTCTACTTTAACCACTTGTAAAACAACAAAGCTGGTGGAGGACTCATATTACTATATCCATAAACACCATCTTCTACTGCTTTCCATGTACAAATTTGACATCTTTCCTCATCTCTAGTTGCGTCGTAAATGTCAAAAACACCTTTCTCTATTTGTCCATTGTGAAATCCACAAAAGTAGAGTGTAGTTTTCTTCAAATTAAGACGAAATCTCCATTCATATAGCTCACCTTTCTTGAGAAGGCGATAACCGATATCTTTATCACCAGATTTACAATGGACTCCAAGAGAATAGTCATTCTCATTTTGAATCGAGACTGTCATGATTTTCCCATATATTGAAAACAGTTCTCTATCTTGTTGTAGAGCTTGTGAGCTAATAAAAGATATCACCACTAAGAAGATGATAGTGAATTTTGAGAACATAATGGATAAGAGACTTTCTTTAGATGAGTTAAATAGCTATTTTGACTCTCAAGAATACATATATATGGAATAAGTTTATGAAAACTGTAATTTTTATTAACTATGTTGAATAAGCTAAATAAGTCAAAAGCTAGAGATCGTTGAGAAAAAGTTGAGCAAAAGAGTATATAGGCTTTTTTGAGATAACTTTCTTGATTTTATATTAATGTTATTTGGCTTTTTAAGATTTCAGAATTTCCATATAGTAATATAAGGCAACTTTAATAAAATAACTTTTATTAAATATAATCTATATCAATTTACTCTGGCTAACCTAAATTTGTTGTCGACAAAAAAAAAACCTAAATTTGTCTAAATCCATTAGAGATATTTGAGTAATTATATACTGTGTAGAAATATATTTTTTGATATATCTCCTCCTCTTAGGGTATCTACCAAATCAAAACCATATATTTTCTACATTAAAATTTATTTAAAGCATTCATTTAATTTACACCTATTTATACTATTTATTATTACTATCATTACTATAAATAGAATTAAACACCAAGCTAATTAAGTAAAGAAATGAAAATTTAAAATAGTAATTACTAGTGGAAAAATAACAATAATTAACTATTTCATTCGATATTTTAATTTTGAACTTATTATATAGTTACTAGATTCGAATCCGCACATACATACGGTGTTATATTTATCTGAATAATAATTTTTTATATCATTTATAACTCATACCTAAATTGGTTTGGTTTTATCAAATTTGTGAATGTTTGGAATAATAATGGTTTTATTCTGGTGGGAGAACACATTCACCTTTGTTGGAGTCTCTTCTTGATCCATGTTTATCTCCGTATTATCTGAAATTTTCTCGATACTTTTGGCATTAGATTACTGTATAAGAAAAGTCATGGAAGTGTTATTAAGAGAATGAAACATTTCAGTTTGAACCCTATCACTTCTAGGGGTGGAAGTTCCATGGGCTTGTCCGGTCCAAACTATTACGGACGGCCGTCCGTTTAAACTGGAACATCCTCTAACTCTTACATACAAGAATAATTGGTTTTCCTAGTTCCTCTTTTGTACCTAGATTTTTCTCACATTTTCGAGTTGTAGTTGGTGTTTGTTTTAAGATATGATCTTGTTTGCTTGGACAAGCCTTTGATATGTGTCCCTAATTCTTACACATGTTACATATTATTATACGAGTAAAAACCTGAACTTACTATCAAACTTGATACTTTTATTCAGAATTGCATTACATATTATTTTCTTCTTATAACTTAACTTTGCATACTACTTTAACCACTTGTAAACCAGTACAGCTGGTGGAGGACTTATATTACTATATCCATAAATACCATTCTTGACTGCTTTCCATGTACAAATTGTACATCTTGCCTCATCTCTAAGCGTTGTGTAAATGTCGAAAACACCTTTTTGAATTCCTCCGTCGTAAAATCCACAAAAATAGAGTGTAGTTTTTGCGAAATTATTATAAAATTTCCATTCATATATTTCACCCTTTTTGAGAAGGCGATAACCAATATCTTTATCTTTGGCTTTACAATGGACTCCAAGATAATAATCATTCTCATTTTGAATCGAGACTGTCACACGAGGTCCTGTTGCAGAAAACAGTTCTCTATCTTGCTTTAGAGCTTCTGAACTAATGAATGATATCACTACTATGAAGATAGTAAATTTTGAGCACATAATGGATATAATATTTCTTCTAAATGAGTTTATTATAGTAAAAGAGTGATGATATTTCCCTTCTCAAGAGTACATATATATATATATATATACAGTATATAATGGAATAAGTTTAGAGAAATTATCATTTTATAATTAACTATGTCGAATAACATAAATTAGTATAAAAAACACTAAAGATACTTGAGAAAAATTTGAGCCTAAGAATATCTGGGGTTTTTAATTTTCGAGAACTTTATTATGAAGATTTTGTATTGATGAGACTAAGATTTCATAACTACTATAAAGTAAGATAAGGTAGCTTTAATAAAAGAACTAAGAACTTTTATTAAATATCATCTATATTAATTTACTTACTTATAGCAACATAAAAATGTGGCTTCTATAAAATTGGGGAATGACCTGCATGATACTTGTTTTTTTCTACATTCGTCTTAAACTAAGTGAAGAGTCGGAAGAAGTTAAAAAATATTGTATTACTGTTTTGATTCTTACATACATCAAATTTATAAAATCGATTAATGGCAGAATTGTGCCTTAACCATTTGGTAAAGCTGACAATAACAAGGTACAATTACATTACCCATGCATAAAGAAATAGTAAGCTGAGATGTACTCTAAGATTTGTTATTCTCTCTTGCTTTGATATAACATATAAAAAAAAACGATGAGCCCAAACTGGTATTGTCCAAATGAGGAAGATGTCATTAGATTTGGTTTGATAGAAAAGGTATAAAGATACTTGTATCACGTGCTTTAGTTGACTATGTCACGGTTATCTTCTTGGTTTGATTCTTGAATGTTGTCCCCATTATCAGCTTGGTTGTTTTCATGAGTGTTGTTCCCATTATCTTCTTGGTTGGGTTCTTGAATGTTGTTCTCAGTAGCTGCTTGGTTGGTTTCTTGATTGTTGTTTTGAGGAGTTTGTTGGTTTGACAAACAAGAACATTTCTCCACGTTGTTGATGTATGAATCTCCATCTGGTCTGTGAAAATCTTGCCATAAACCATTAACCTTTTTATTCTTTAAGAAAAAGAAAGTGAATTTGCTGAGGGTGAAAATACACATTACTAATGCGATGACAAACAAAAGCCAGAAACTGTCTACACCAAGCTGCCTGGTTGATGTAGATGGATTTGGATCTGGGGTTGTGACTGGATCCCGGCATGTTTTGTCTTTATTTTTGAACAATGCCTGCTCAAGCTCTCTTCCTTCACGTGATTCTGCCACTTTTAGGATAGCCCTTGATACATCAGCAACCAGAGGTGATCCAATTGGAAAAACCTACGAAAAAAGGAGCTCATGATATAGACATTTGGGGTAGAAATTATCACAAATTGTTGTATGGAAACTCACGAAGCCGAATCCGTCAACGCTAAAAGGTTCTTCGACCATTTGGTAAGCGTTGCAGTATTGTCCAAGAAAGAGTCGCATGTAGGGTACTTCCATGAATGCTGCGGAGACACCACCATTTTCTGGTCCTTTCCTTAGAAGCTCGTCACACTTTTCCGCGCTGTCGAAGGGTATGAGGCTGGATTGAGTGAAACCCGATTCTTGAAGTTTTCCAAAGATGAATGATGTCCTTGGATATCCCACATTGTCTCCTTTCTCAAGCAAACTTCTCATGCTGGTTATGGTTGGATTAAGTTGTCGTGATGTCAAAAGGGATGCCAAACTAGCTGTGTAACTTTGAGTCAATATGAGCACGATAAAGTACCATGTGATAACCAGAAGCCTAGCTCCAAAACTAAACACTCTTTCTCCTATAAACCGAAGATCAATAGAGTAAGCATCAAGGGAAGTGATGTTTTTGAACAATGACTATATGTTGAGATGTAGAAACGAAAAAATTGAACTTACTTGGAGAAAAGACCATGGTAGAGAAGGAAAACCAAAAGATTGTACTAACTTGGTACTTAGCTGGTCCACGAAAGTCCGGGTTAATTCTATGTTCAATAACCCAAACTGTAAAGCCAATAAGGAAGAAGAAGAAAAAAGAAGTCATCCAGAGTTTCCACGTTAAAGGCTTCAAGAAACTAATACTATCTCTTTTCACTTGCTCTTCCACAGGGGCAATCAATCCCACACCTGATTTAATGAATGGAAATGTGAAGTCGACATAAGATGACCTATTTGCCAGTATAGTCGTATCTCCCACAACCGCGTCATATTTCTTCCACACAAATAAGAAAAACAAGATTTAAGTAGTGTCCTCACTGGGATAATCTCTATAAATGGTAATGAGTTGGGAATGCAAGGATTAACTCACCCCGAGGTAGACTTGGTAGATTAGATCGTTGTGGTCTCCGGCTGGTTTACCGCTTGGTGTTTCAAAAGGAAAGAAATCATAGGAAATGTCATAAGGCATTACTTGAGTCACAGCCTTGAAGAAAGCTATACAAAACCCTTTGACTTCTTGTAATTTCGTGGTAGGATCCCTGGTGACCTCCACAAGATCAATATAACCAGTTCTCTTTGGAACTCCAATTCGTAACCTCCTTCCGTTTGTTGGGATTTCCCATCCTTTGGGAACAGAATTAGCCTCTCCAGGCCATATAATATGTTTAAGATGATCTTGCCAAGTGAATAAAGCTCCCATACTTTGCGTCTCTTCGTCTAATTTCTTCACAATACCATTTTCTTTCGTCCAAAATCCTATTGACCGTTCTCCATTTCCTATCACATTAATAATCTCAAACACGCGGGGTTGTAGTTGCCCTTCGATAAAACAAAAATCTCCTACAAGTCCTTTGAACTGTACTCCTGAGAGTGCCTGGAGAAGTTTTGGACCGTATTGAGATAAACCAAGAGCTTCAAGTTCAGAGACATTCTTTCCAAGATCCACATTACTAAATGTCATGTTATCTGTTCCAGTTTTTTCAATGGCTATCGCCAATGCGATGGTAGCATCATAAGCCCACAATCCATAGACATTTAGGTCCATCTCCGGAAACCTCTTCCTCCAACGAGCTCTAAAATTTGTGAGGTCTTTCGATTTTCGAATATAAGTTTTAACACCCAATACTCCTTCCATAGCCTCAATACCCGTCTCATCTACCAAACTTAAATCATCAGTTACTCCACTGGTAAGGATCCAAACATACCCTGGTTTCATTAAACCAATCTTCTTACTTATAGTAAAGACTCTCGAGGCAAGAGAAGAAGGCATGTGGACTATAAATACTCTTGTGGGCATGGTCATCATCTTAGAAAGCTCTAGAGAGATTTCATTATCAGTAGCCTTGAGAGAGATAACATACCGGTATGGTATACGAACGTTAATCTCTTGTAATGCATCAGTAAGATGTGGCATTATACCTTCTCCATATGTGTTGTCGATGTAAACAAGCACGACTTCTCTCCACCCAAACAGCTTAATGATAGATTTTATGGCGTTTACTTGATAGGAGTCCTCATATGTAGCACGAAAGAAGTATGGACTGTGAAGAGAAGTAAGAAACGGGCTTGTTGCCGAGTAAGATACAATCGGTACCCGAGATTTTTGTCCAAGATCGATCATAAAATGAGCTTGCATGGATGACCATGGCCCCAAGATCGCTACCACTTGCTTGTTCCTTATCAACTTAATAGCTGTTACAAAGTAAAAACAAAGAAAATATGCTTGAGCGGGAGATATAGAAATAAACATACTGTATTTGAAAATTACAATAATTATAATTAATTCAAATAGATGGAAATAACATTACATATATTTATAGAAAACGAACTTGCTTCTAGCATTGAATCCTTGATTCATTAACAATTATGCAAATTAATGAAGGTAAATTTATAGGACATCTTCAGTGATCCATAAATAAGGCTGTTTGCCGTGATTTTAAATATTGAAAAACGAAACTAGTATTATCAATCGTGAATCTAATATGATCGAAAAATATTGTCCATCGTAAAATCATCTATATAACAGTTGTCGTAATAATTAAGTAATCCAAAACTAAAAAAATAAAAATATTTCAGGTTTGGGAAACTAAGCCTTTTGCTTAATTTAATTTAAATACTTGACCCAAAAAAATGAGAAAGTAGTCTTGAATTTAAAAAGAAATTAATTCACCGGCTTTGTCTCGTCAACGTTCGACGTGCATTAAAATCAAAACAAATTTTTTTAACCGCGACCCCTACAACTTGACCGATCTTTTACTAAATTTTTATAAACATGTTCTTCTATTATTTAGATCTAACTAATTAAATATTGTTTCATAAAAGAATTCTCCATTATTTTCGGCTATTTATAAACATATGTAAAATTATATGTACACACACATATAATGGTGAAAAAGAATTTTCCTCATATTTTGAGTCAACCCTTTTAAAATGGTGAAAAGGAATCGAAGCCTAGTGAAGAAAACTAAAAATTATAAATTTTCAAAACGTTTTGTATATACAAATACATATATACATCATTGTTATGTCACCACCATTTTAAAGATTTTGATAAAGTATAGACAAAGTACCTGCATTGGCTGCACCAACGACATCGTTTCTGGAATCCACTATATTAGGAACAAGCCTAGTCTTAAACTGTGGACGAGAAGAGTAGAAATCGGCTAGAGCCAAATTAATGCAGATCATCTCAATGTCGGAATGCATTGTCCCGACATCTGTTACAACTCCCACATTGACTTCAGTTATTCTCTTGCTCTGTCCACTGCTGAGTTCCACCAAGAACAAGAATAAGAGAAGCATCTTGTTTCTCTCTATCATTTGTTTTTCTTCGTATACCAAAACTGTTTGATGTTTTTGCTTCTTCTTATATTTTAGTTGAAATGTGTAGTATGAGAAAAGATATATATGGACTATTTGTTTGGTACGTACGAAGAATGATATAATAAACCTTTTCAACAGAAAAAATTGATTTTATATTGAGAAATAAGTAAAGATATAGTCAATGATTGAGATCTTCTTATTCTTTTGTCTTAGATAATTTCTGGAAAAAAAATCTTTAACATGAAAATTTAGTAACCAATGTAAAATAGGAATACACGATATATATCATGCTTTGGTCTCGGGTCTAAAGGGATGTAAGGGTTTCGACTCAGAACCTCTTAGTTATTCAAAAATAAAATATAAATAAATATATGTTTGGTTTAGTTCTATTTTGATGTTGGTATGAATTTGATTGCTATATAGTCATTTTAATCATATGAAAACTTGGTTTGGTATTCATATTAGTTATATTGGTTTGGATGGAAACTGTTTATAATAAATCATTTCAACAGAATAATTGATTTTATATTGAGAAATAAGTAAAGATATAGTCAATGCTTGAGATCTTCTTATTCTTTTGTCTTAGATAATTTCTGGAAAAAAAATCTTTAACATGAAAATTTAGTAACCAATGTAAAATAGGAATATATGATATATAGGTTTGGTTTACTTTTGTTTTGGTGTTGGTATGGATTTGATTGCTATAAAGGCATTTTAATCATATGAAAACTTGGTTTGGTATTCATATTAGTTATATTGGTTTGGATGGAAACTGTTTATAATAAATCATTTCAACAGAACAATTGATTTTATATTGAGAAATAAGTAAAGATATAGTCAATGCTTGAGATCTTCTTATTCTTTTGTCTTAGATAATTTCTGGAAAAAAAATCTTTAACATGAAAATTTAGTAACCAATGTAAAATAGGAATATATGATATATAGGTTTGGTTTACTTTTGTTTTGATGTTGGTATGGATTTGATTGCTATAAAGGCATTTTAATCATATCAAAACTTGGTTTGGTATTCATATTAGTTATATTGGTTTGGATGGAAACTGTTTTTTGGATGGAAATGTTGATCGCGTGGTCTCGTCCGGGCTTGGGTTGGGTGACGGTGAATACGGATGGCGCATCACATTGGAATCCCGGCTGAGCGACGTCAGGTGGGGTAATAAGGGACAGTGAGGGCCGATGGCTGGTGGGTTTTGCCCTGAACATTGGGGTTTGTACAACACTGGTCGCCGAACTCTGGGGTGTATACTATGGTCTCGTGTTGCGTGGGAGAGAGGGTGGAGACGGGTGGTGTTGGAGGTGGATTCGGAGTTGGTAGTTGGGTTTTTACAGTCAGGGGTTCGGGAGATGCTTCCGCTGGCTTTCCTGGTACGGTTGTGTCATGGCTTTATTTCAAGAGACTGGATAGTTCGGGTTAATCGGGAAGTTAACCGTCTTGCCGACAGGTTAGCAAACTATGTTTCTTCTATGCCACTTGGTTTTCAATTATTATATGTTTGTCCGGAGAGGTGTTTCCCGGTGTTGCGGGAGGATATGAGGTTTGGCTAGATTCCTCGAATGGTTTGTATGTAATTTTGTTTAAGTTTGAATAAGAAGTAGGGGACATTGTCCTCTCTTCGTTACCAAAAAAAAAGAAAACACTCTTATTTGAAGAAGACTAATTATAGATAATAGTGAACTTCGAAGTTACATGTTTGTGTAATGTAATTCAGATCTTACTTAATTAAGCAAATCTCTTAATTGTATATAAAACAATCATGTGGTAGGAGACGACTTCGTTTTGTGAGGTCAACTGGAGACGACGACTTAGCTAGCATACAATAATTGCATTATACCAACTAAACCAATATGACAATTAATGTGCGACTAAACCGATACTATAGTGCGACTGAACCAACACTCTCTCTATATTTGATAATGCATGGTGAAAGGAACATCTATGAACAAAATCATGACTTGTACGAACTCTTTTTGTCCAAGTTCGCTAACCCTTAAAATAAGTTGTAATATTTTTCTTTCAGCTTTTTGATGGAGAGCGAAGCTAATTTATGCTATATTTGTTGGAATATTGGTTTGAGAAGGAGGAAACAGAGTGAGAGATATATGCACAAATGATTTTCATCATACTTGAGGTACAAAAAAAGTGTCCAGCCATGCTTGATTGATGGTAATTAAACTTGTTCAGAACAATTTAAATTTCTTATAAGAAGTCTATATATAAATCTTAGCCAAATTTTTGCACATGTTTCAACTTACAAACGGATCTTGATTAGAACGTCAAAATTTGACGAAAAGACAACAAAAATAGATCGAGAATCCTCTTCTCAGAATTTCGCACAAGAACTCTTTAGGGTTGAGAGTCCTCCTCTCTAAACTTTAGACAAAGCTATCTTAAAACTCTTTTATTCAGTGATCAAAATTGTCTACAATCTACCTTAGATACTTACTTAAATAGAAATCATAAAATGAAAACCCTAACATAATTAAGCTGATTTGAAAATAAAATTTGAAATATAAATAAAGCCCATACGAATTAAATCCAAAACTAAAAACAATAAAGAGATCTAGTCGCGACACTGGTATCGTGATCATCGCAAAGATGCGCTGCAACAGCTTTCGACATTGTTTTTTTTTCCAAAACGAATCAAGAAGTATATGAATCAAGAAGAAGCTAAAAACCCAAAGTGATCATTGTGGAGAAATATAAAGTGGGTGATCTTTTTTGAGCGAAAAGTTTTGGTGTCAAGTAATTTCTTGATGTACAAAAATATTCTGACAAGAATATATACAAAACTTTGAGAAGGGATAAAGTATTATGTTATTGCATGATATGCATTAAAAAAAAAATATACTTTAAAAAATCTACAAAAATTCGTTTTGACAATGATAAAAATATTAGAATTGTATTAGAATGGTCCATAAATATTGATTGCATCTATATCAACTTACATCACCTTCAATTTCCGCATATGGTTGTGGGAGGAAAGCTTTGTAAATAAAATTATAGAAGACTCAAACTACCCTAATCCAATTATAATTATTATTCAAAGTTTGTTTATGGATATAAATTGAAAAATTGAAGAAAGTTTGACTGAATAGATTACATTTTGAAAATATGAAGAAAACATTAAAATATTACCAGTAAAAGGCAAATGTATGTGTTGACTCTTGCCACATATTCATCACTCTATGATATCAAACTTGTATAAATTCCATCATTTGATTGAAGAAAAGATATCACCCATGACCCTTGCCTTTGATTGATGGTAAAAACTACTTTGTAAAAGGTAGCTAGAGAGTAAATTTTGTTCAATTCGTGGTGTTTGAGATATGGGTTTCTAATGAAATTTTATTTTAGTTTTGAAACCCTATTCCATTGTATCTTGTTCTTGTTGTTTTAGTTTATAGATCTGATATCTTAAGATCTAGCAAAAATTATTTTTTTTTAAACCGGAATATATATGTTTTTTAAAATTAGTTTCTTTTGTAAGAATTCTACATCCTTTTATATATATTATTATTAAAGAAGCTATGTGGAAGAAATTCATGTCAAAATATATTCCTGAACACAAAGAATACAACACGTATTGGTTTTGGCTTTTAGCATTGCGTAGAGATCATTAAAAATCTTGAGTGTAGGGGACATGTTAAGAGCATGTTAAGACATAAGGTTTTGACTTAGCTTAGCCTAAGAGTGAAATCTGATCCGGAGATAATAGTTGTTAAGACAATCATCATGCTTGCAAGGACTATATATAGTTTTCTTTCAAACCATGACTGAACATCTTCACGACATGTATCTCCTGGTCAGCTTCCGCTCTTAGGCAAAACTAAGTTGAGAACTTATGTTCTAACATGCTCTACATGACCTAAACACTCAAGTTTTGTAATGACCTTCACACATTGTTCAAACCCAAAGCCACAACTTGTTGTACTTGTATTCTTTGCATTCTCAGATTTATTTTGACGGTCATTGATTTGGTCTAGCCTCAAATGTAGAGTGATAGGAAAGTTCTTCGGGACAGCTTCTTTTTCTTATTTTCTAGAAGAAGTAAATCTTAAACTACTGTAAATATGGACAAAACAAGTAGACAAATTAAATAATTCAAGAATGGAATAAATTCGTAAAGATGTGTATATATCTCAACGACTTGTGATTCAGTTTGGTTATTGTTTTCTCCAAAACCATGTGACATATTTAAGAATTAAAACCGACATGGACATAGAGATGGTGCTTAGGCACTTTGAAGGCATGAAATATCTTAGCCAACTCTTTGCACATGTTACAATCAATCTTTTCTACTCAAACCTAAGTAGTTTCTCCAACGGCTGTTTTGAATTGCTTCAGAGAATGAAAATTTAAGTAATATTATAAACCATGAATAAAAAAAATATAACATAACTAAAATTTAAGCAATGAATGCATGCATATATAAAAGAATGAAATTGAAAAAAAAAAAAGATAAGCTCTTGATGTTAAAATCAATATAATTTGGTCAAATATTTGTCAAGTAAATTGTTAACAATAACTTGATAAGCTCTTTCGGTTGGATGATAACTATCCCAAAATATATAAGTCGAAGAGTTTGAACACGTGAATGGGTTCAATGAGTTGCACAAATAGGATATCGCAAGATTTCCTTTACCACAACATCCCTTATCAGCTACCTCAAAACCTGAAACACATTTAGATCAATTAAATATAGTTTAGTTTAAAATAGATAATAACTGAAAATAATATAATTTTAGATAAATCTGTGAGATGAACTTACCATATTTTTTAGGTTGTTGGATCATGTCGAAAAGAGTATCATAAACATTAATGTAAGGATAACACCATCCAACTCTTTATCTAAAGAATCAAGTGCTGGAGAAAGTCTTGAATTGAATTGTTTCGCCATGTTGTTGAAAGGTTCATTGCATCCTCTTGTTAATAAACCCCCAAACACAGTTCTTTGAAGTGG